AAAACCAATGACGCACCTCAAAACATACCACGCACAAAGCCTGATGAAGACAACATACGCATGCGAGGTCTGATGAAGATATGACGCACACAGAGACTAATGAAGATAACACGCATCAAGACGACGTCAGAACAAATTCTTCGGAGAATGAGAGGGTGTAAGCTGGGACGCTTATCGGCAGCTTCGACATGGCAAGGGTTCTCATGCAAACGGTCGACCGTTTTTTCAAAGACCGAATAACCGTTTGGACCGTTTAAAAAGCACGTGAGGTTGGAGGTCATGTGACGCCGGAATTTGCCGCACTTACAGAGTCAGAACATGGCGCGGGGGGCGACATCTAACACGCTCAAAGCTCAAAGCAGTGTGCATTGCCCCTGTGTCTGTTCCCATTCCGAACAGGAATCATTGATCTTGTTCTCTATGATCTTGTCTTCAGCAGAATAATATCATTGATCCTGTTCTCCTACGATCTTGTCTTCAGCGGAGTTCTCAATATCTTAAGTTGTGAGTGGGCCTGCTGCACGAATAAGGAACACAGTGAGTCGACGAACAAACGAGACCACAATGGCATTGTGTGGGGACAAACGGAACGGACAGAACGAACGGACACCAAACGGAACGAACAGATCAGAACGAACGGACGAAATGGACGAACAGATCAAACAGATCGAACGAATGGGACAAATGGAAGCGGGTAATTAAACGGAGGGATATTTGGAATTCGTTAGTGCAAGAATTGGGAGCTGGGAGGGGAGCCAGTCAAAATAGGGTAACCGGTGAGAGACAAGAGATCTGTGTGCGACTCACCGAAAAAAAAACTTTACTGCTGCAGGTAGTTAATCCTCAGCCATTCCTCACCGTTGCGAGAGACAATCTGGTCATGGGGAGTGGTTGGGTCAGTGATGAAACCCTTGAACAGTCGAAAAAGCACCATGTTATCCGACTCGTGAACCTCGGTGCGTGAAATCAGCAGCTTCGAAAATGCTTCGGTCTCGAGCAGGTCCATCTCTCCTGGTCCCTGCATGAAGACGTGCTCATAGACGCGCTGGACCGTCGACAGGAACATGTGAGGGTGGAATGTTCGGCCCTCAGAGAAGATTCCTCGTGGCTGAGGCCAGGGAGGCAGTTCCTCGCCAGCAGCCTTGGAGGACTGCTTGACACCATCTGCGCAATACCCCTTCTTGTGGTTGAGGGGCGAGTTCTTGGGTCCTGGATACATAATTGTTTGACAGCGGGAGCATGTCTGTGCCTTTCGAGCCTTGGAAATAAAATGATGGTTGATGGGTCAGCGTGAACAATGTGCAAATGACCAGACACAAGTGACTGACCTTTCTGCCTGGTTCTTCCTTCACAAGTGGGACGACGGAACAATGACAGCGCCAAAATGACTCGCTGTTTTTGTGTGCTGTTTACCCAATGTCAGAAAAGTAGTTGAGAGATGGTGTTTGCAAACGGACTCACAGGTATAGTCATTCTTGGTGATTTTGCTCATCAGCTTCGGCTCGATGTCACCCAGCGCACGTAGGAGGGCTTGTGGGTTCTTCTGGATGACTGACTGGCCCTTTTTCTTGATGAGACGGCGGTTGTACTCTTCTGTCGCCAGCACCCAGCGCTTCGAAGTTATTTGATATGACAGCCATTTGAACTCAGCCCGCATTTCCATAAATAAGTAGAACTCGTCCGAATTTTGGAAGGTGAGCGAGCGAGGATCAATACCCATGGAAATGGAGAACAGGCACTGAGACCGGGTCTGGCCTGCCACGATAGCCATCAAGTTATTGATGCCAGTGCTGCCAAGCACTGGGCAATCCTGTGAAGAATTCGGGAGGAAGTTTTCGCGTGTAGCATTGGTCGGGTGTGATTGCACATACCTCTGCAGTAGCCCCAGGAATCACTGGGCGATCGCTGGTGACTCCAGCACTGGGGGTAATTGCGTTGCTGATGCCAGCGCTGGAGGTAATTGCATTGCTAATGCCAGCTGCATTGCTGATGCCAGCGCTGGGGGTAATTGCATTGCTAATGCCAGCGCTGGGGCAATCCTGTGAGAATTCGAGAGGAAGTTTTCGCATGTAACGTTGGTCGGGTGTGATGGGACATACCTCTGTGGTAGCCCCAGGAATCACCTGGCAATCCTGTGAGAATTCAGGAGGAAGTTTGTGTGTGTAGCGTTGGTTGGGTGTGATAGCAGTGCTGGCAACCACTGGGCGATCCTGCGAGAATTCAGGAGGAAGCTTTCGTGTGCTGCACCGTTGATGGTCTTGCACAGAAGGAAAGTACACATCGAGTCGTCCAGTACCTGGGGCCATGCTAGGAACTTCTGTGCTGGGCAATGCTAAGGTTCATAGTTTTTTGATGGTGCCGCCACTGGCATCCCCTTCATCATCTGAGTCCAACGAGATGCAGACAGCCTTTCTCTTTGGTGCTGGAGGTTTCTGCGCGAAAAAAATGAGATATGGGGGGGTTGAATGGAAGTGTTGTTACTTACCATTGGTCTTGAAGTTTCAGCTGGGAGCATAAGAAGGGCGGGGTCAATTTGCCACTCGTTGATGATGACATTCCAACTGGCAAGAAATGCAAGGTCGACTTCCTCACCTGTGGTGGGGTCAACAGACAAATCAAAGGAGTCAAGTAGGCCCTTCTCAATGTTCTCCTCCTTGATCAAAAGACCACCGAATGTCGCTACATGATCTGACATAACTAACCCAAAAGTCTCACCTGAGTCGATATCACCAAGCTCAGGAAGAAGCTGCAGCTGAGAGTCAGTAGTTTTTTGCTGGAGCGTGTTGTGAAGCCTCGCTATGTAGTCACAGAGTCAGAGGTGATGTGAACCGTTGGTGAACTTGAGGAATGGCATGAGTTCGGGCCTGCTGAAAGCCACTCGCACGTTGCGACAGAGGACAAAATCATGGCCGAGGGCAGTGAGCATCGTCACACCGCTTGGCTGTGCTCGCTGAAGGGAATTCCACCCTTTGTGGGATCCCTCAATGCGACTCCCATCAGCTCTGACGCCTTGGACACTGCGCTCAAGGCACCCTTTGCGGACATGTTTCAACTGTTCTTGGTGAACCTGAGTCATTATTGTCAGTAGCGATTGATTACAGTGGTACTTAGCGAAAAATGAAACTTACTTTCTGCGCTGCAGCTGACCAAACACCTTTGTCTGCCCATTTGCTGAATGCCACCATAAGCCTCCGTTCCTGCTCTGCTCGGTCCCAGTATTGCGCAGGCTGACCTTTCTCAGCATGTGTCTTGAGAATGGCGCCTGTGATGTCAGCAGCGACAGCGCCTCAATAAGGACTTTTGCTCGATTGGAGCATGACAGCGATGTATCTTCAAGTGCACATTGAGTAAGTAGAAACTAAGTAAAAGTAGATGCATGGCATTCACCTCGCACTAAAGTGCCAAACATCGAGTTTTGAATCCGTCTCCGGCATTGCAGAGGTCACTGCATTTCGAACTTGGCAGCAATTATCGGCGACCATCATCTTTGGCTGGGGGACGTTTAGAATGTCGTGGCGGTGCTTAAGATCTTGAAGGAGTTCAGTTATCTCTGTGTTCATGCGCGTCTGGCAAAAGCGCTACATATGGAACGAATATGTCAGTGAAAAGCTTAGGTGAGTCATTGTCAAAACTTACCCATGAAATGATCTGATTGTCCTCATTCAAAACACTCAATATCCCGCCTTTCCTGCTCTCCATCGAAACATTGAAACTGACTCCCTGAGTTAACCGAGGACGATCATTCTCATAGGACGCAGGACGCCAGACGCCAGACTCCCTGGGATCGTTTTCCGGCTTCGGAAGTCGGACCCCCTGCGAACCCTTGGAATCTTTTCGGCTCGCCTGCGGCGAGCCCCCCCCTTGCCATGACCAATTTTTCCGCTTATCACATGCTTACCATATCCCATCACGTGAACTTTCCCCATATATATAAACCACCCTTTTGTATCACCTTACGCTAGACTCGGGTCTCCTACCTACCATCATCCGCTCTCCCATATAACGCTCTAGAAATACACAGTTTCGTCCTGTTACTTCGCCCGATCTGTCAGAGTGTTCCCCGCCATTTTCCTGGCGAGGTTCCAATGTGAGCCTTGAAGAATGCGACGCGATATTCCCTGGTGCCTGTATTATAAATTTGTATACTGTCTTTTGTTGCGATGGCAAGAAGTTCTCCAGAGGGCGAATATTGTACGCAGCGGACATAACGACATTCGATTGGGTCCGACCCTTGTTGCTCCCAGGTTTGGGTGTTCCATAGTTTCGTCGTCGTTTTGCCGTCATATGCACTAGTGGCCAGTACTGTTCCATCGGGAGAAAAATCCAGCGAGTAGATAAAGTTAGAGTGGGTTTCGATCTTGGCGAGTGATTCGCCAGTTTCTCCGTGCCAAACGATGACCTCTCCCTTTAGAGCGCCGCTTGCTATCAATCGCCCATCTCGTGATACTGCCAATACGAACACCTGCCATCTATGCCCCTCCATCTTCTTCAACACAACACCTGTCTTCAAGTCCCACAAACGAAGAGTTCTGTCATTCGAGCCAGTAACCATCCGGCGTTTATCGGGGAACACTGCGACCACTGTTACGTCTTCTTTATGACCTCTGAACTCTCGCAGGGGTGTAGTGATTGGAATGGGCTCCGACATTTTACTGGAAGTCGATGGCGCTGGGTGCAGTCAAAGTGACTTTTGAAGGTTTGCCAGCGTCTTTCTTCAGAGGTGCGTGTATTTTGCGGATGGAAATGTGTGACTGCACCCAGCTGCCTCATTTCAATAGACGCCCAGGGGCCAGGACACGAGGCTGTCTTCACGGCACCATCCCATCACTACCTCAGTGAACCGGTGAACAAATGGGAAAACTGTTCAAAGCAATAGGGTACGTGACGTTGGGTTTATCCAGTTGATTATGTCTTTCCGTCTAAACGATGCTTCACTCCTCCTAGGATGTATTTCATAGGTGCGTTCTCACTTGCGCTAGCAATGTCAATCCCAGATCCACAGCTGGTAAGCTCTGTGTGGGGCTATCCAAGAGAAAATGTGTATCATGTAAATAAACTCGCAAAACACCATGTACCAACTGTATGCGTGTCGCGCCACAGAAAATCTCTGAACACAGATTAGACACCAAAGATGGGCTCCACAGCCTGAGATGAAGCTTGTTCTATAATCCAGGACCTTAGGCGAGAAATGTGGATATTATTGGCGGTAAGTACGGGCCACATCGCCAGGACGAATACGGCGACCCAAATTGGAGATGCAATTGAAATGACGACAACACTAGAAGTGCGGAAGATCAGGGTGGACAATGCTCCAGCAAAGAACGCCATTCTGTAAAAAAGGATGAGCCACTAATCTGTGGAATGTAACCCGGAAACTGACCCCCAAATCAGAAGTGCAAACGGTAGGCTGAGCATCAGGGCAAGGCTTTCGAGGCCGAACATAGACTGTAATATTCCTACCATGAAAGAGGCCTGTGGACATAATCAATGTAGGTGATACGATCAAACAAAAAACTTACTACGTCTGCAGCAGAGCCTCGCCGGCTGTCATTAACTTGGCCAGCCAAGACAAGCGAGACCACTAAAGAGCCCAGGGCGCAGAGGCAAGACAGATATGTTAGAGCGATCGCGGCCGTTTGAGTCGCCATAGCTGGGACCGCGAGAAAACTAATATCAACAGCGAGCATCACAGTAGACTGAGACGTTCATTTATTGCATGACAATCTGAAACGAAAGCGCAACTCACAAATATTGTATATCCATTCCATTCGGTGATCATCCTATCGATAAAGTCCTTCCATCGCGGTTGAACAATGGTTTCATCGACCCATATCCTGTGAATTGCCTTGCTTTGAGCAACTGGAGATCCAAACAGAATAACATTCATGATACGAAGGATGATCTTATTCAAGCGGGTGTCATGTTCTCCGTATAGCGATTGATCTACGTCAAGTCGGGCACCTGGTTGTCCACAGAAATTCACAAACTTTGCGTTGCCTAGTAAAGGAATCAGGAAATGGAAATCGCGGACTACTAGACGAAACTCACAGAAAAGCCTCATCGATCGAGCTGAAACCAGTAGACATATCATGAGCAGTCAGCTGACATTCCATGATCACACTTACCAGCAATCCACACGGAGTGCTCGCGCTCCTTGTTAGTACTGCCTGAAAAGACGATCAACAACAACTTCCCTCATCAGGGAATAATTCACCCTTGAGATGATCTACGAGGCCAAGCATACTTGCAACTTCACTCGAGGCAAAAGGTGCCAGGCACGTTTCAGAAGTAATGTTTTCTATTACGATATCAATCATGTACGACGTGAAACGCTTATTGATCTTTACTCACCTGTATGAGCATGCATGACAATTTCTTTGAGCGTTACAACAATATCTTCTGGAAGGATGCGTTTGTTTGGAAATAGCTCAATATGTCTCCTGCCAAGTTCCAACGTCACGGTATGTGAATCCTGAAAAGTAAAAAGGGCTGTAACAAAGGGGTGAGTGCATTTTCTTTGGTTGAGCGATGGAACGTGCGTACATCTGGAGGTCACACGAACCAATACTGTGAATCCAATGCATACTCTAGGAGCGACACAATTACAGCAGCTCAAAACGAAAGCTCCCCGTGGAAAGAACTTACTGATGTGGCTTTTGCGCTCTACACCTCGAACATTATTCATAAGGTGAGGAGATTCGTAGTCTTCGAACCAGAAAATGACACGTCTGTCGTGGTCGACAAAGTAATAGCCCCAATTTTTTTTGTTCGCCTCCGCAATAAGCTCCAATGCAAGCTCGACGGATGGACCCAAGACGATTTTTGCCTTCCGCGCACCTTCGTACGCCATCTCAACAGCTTTGTTTATTTCGAGACTAATTGCAGGATCTCGAACATCGGCATCAGTGAAAATTCTCTGGTGTGACTTGAGTAAAGTCATGTACTGGGAGCAGGCGGCGGACACACTTTACGGGACCGATAGAAGAATAAGGCGCCTTCCGGGTGCGTGAGCGGCTCCCACCCTTCTACTGCAGCAAGCTCCCTACGTGAAGTGTTTTAATCTCATCACTAGCTCTTTCATCGGCATGCTTACTCTGAACAGTTCAAAGGACCTTTCTCAACCTTAAATAACTTGGTATCACTATTTCTGCGAGCATGGATTAAAACAGCAGCTCACTCGACATAGTATAATTTGCGTACATGGGAACATGCCTGTCGTATCGTTTGACCTGCGGGCCGGGCACAATGGGGGTTAGAGAGATATCAACGATCTGTCCTAACATCGTGGAAGACGATGACATCGCGACAGCCACGGAGATGCTGGGCTCGGGCATAGAAATTGGTGTGAACGGCACAGCAGAGCTCCCGGGAGATTGTATGCCATGAATTGTGACGTTAATATTTGTCCCTTCGTAGGGCTCTGGAACTGGCATATGAAGGTTCATTCCAGGTTGGGATTCGTTGGTTTGCAAAGCTGCCTCAGGTGGTAATGGCACTGCAAGGCTCACAGAAGGCGTCGGCTCGGGTTGGCTGGCTACTGACTGGGAGCTCAATGCTAAACTGGGCCGCTCGCGAAAATCTTCTTCCTTTCCATTCACGACAGATTGACAGTGTCGGATCAGTCGCATGAGAATAGAGAGAAAAGTCCTGTATGATTGAAATGCAGTTGTTTTGATAATAGCCCTCAACCAGGAGATGAGCATGCGAATGTATCCTTCCCGCATGACGACGGGACCGACTCGTGCAAGAGCTATGCAGGTTTTCGCTCAAGGATGTCATGCCAAAATCAGACACCACGTGATATAGGGCTCATTGTTGACACGTGCCGCATCAGTGACAAGATTTCTCTTTTCGCACACGCACGCTCAGTGCAACACATTGGTAGACACAGGGAACAAGCTATGCACCCTCTTCAACACGCCCCATCATCGAACGTGCAACAAAGCATGTGCAACCATGACCTAGCCTTTGTCACTATGGACTGGACAATGTCATTGTGGCTTCTTGGACTTGCCTGGACGGTATCTAAGCTGTCTGCACTCCGTTGGCCATTATTTTTCTCTCTTCTCAACAGACCAATCGCTTTCGAATCCCCGCAACTCCCGTATTCTTCTTGACTTCAACTTGCTACCTAGAAAGATCCTTAGCAACATGCAAACTGCAGCACTCACTCCAAACAATGCACCACCCGCCGCGGCTCAGTCCACGGAAGCGCTTGGCTTGCCAAATAACACACCCTTCAGCGTCATAAATCGGGCTAGCAAACTCCAGCCCGTACGCAAGAGTCTAATTAATACCTTGCCTGAGGAGATCATCCTGCACATATTCAAGTTGGGCGTGTCCTGTCGCGATTCCCAAAAACATATCGATTTTACGGTCTCAGTATCGCATGTTTGCTATACACTTTTTCTGGCTGGCCAAAATGAAGAACAGACACACACAGCGGACAACTTGGATTTGCTCCCAAAGTTGACACGGGTTTCATTGTCCGGGTTCCCAGTCTCATGGTCTCGGTGGTCTTTAACGCGTCTGACATCCCTATCGATTAATTTCATGACCTTGCATGACTGACCTTCGATGGATGTGCCGAAATAAATCCTTACATTGAACGGAGAGACTCTGGACAAGCTCGAGATCCAAGGCTCCATTTAGCGATTTGGGAGGCTACCCTGTAACGCGGACGAGTTGCCGACGAACTTGCCGAGGCTCATAGACCTTACGCTCGGTTATCTATCCCAGTTGGAAGCCATAATTTTTTTCCTTCACTTCGAGGCACCTGCGCTGAAGCACCTCAAGCTATGTGACGTCTCTCGCTCAATTCTTACTCGGCACTTCAAAGACGGATTCGACTCGAACAATCTGAACATCCAGAACATGCCTGCTCTTCAACCGTTCAACAAATTTTCTTCTACGATCCTCCTCGAACATCTGGTTTATGTGTGTTCACCACTCGAACAAGTTGAAACGCTCGCACTCGAACATTTTAGTCTACCACCTTTGGTCTCTAACCTCTTCTGGCAAGACGATGATCCTCTGAAAAATTGGCATGAGGCTCCTGTTTTTTTTGGCTTACTGCATGTTACAGAAATGCTCGCGACTTCGACACCTCACTCTCATCGACCCGGAGCAGTGTTTCCTCGATGCACTCAATATGTATCCTGACGATCCAAAAACCAGCAGCCCGGCTCCTGTGCTTACCCACCTGTGTCTTGCTTGGTCTGATTGTGAACGCCTGAAGCTCTTTTTGGAGCGACGGGCGGAAAGCCTTGCGAAGGAAAAGGGTCCACGTATTTTGGACTATCTTGAACTGGCGACAGCGAAAAAAGATGTGCATGTGTTGGAGGATATCGTATCGCAGCATATTGATATGAGCCGTATTGCAAAGAGTTCGCTGGCGGCTGAATGGCACGGAAGTTTCACTACCGGTGTTTTATGCCCATCCAAATGTATAGTATAAGACACAGGGTGCACCGTGTGCATCGACCGAAACTCTTATACACGCGCTGTATCTTATCTTACTAATTTGGGTATTGTTGTATACCTTTTTTGGACGGCTGCAACGATAAATCATAAAGTTACACCTAGAATGACCGGCATATTGATTCTGCTTGCCGTATTCAACCTGCTACTTGAATGATGTCGGTCTCTTCGACAGTTTTCAATGGGAACTTCAATCGATCTGTTGACTCTGTTTTGGTAGACATTACGACAGGTCCCCTGCGGCTGCCGTAGCAACTCCGTTGCGTCTCTCACCTCACGAACGCGTCAAATCTGTTGACAAGATCCTCAGAGAAGGCCTTTCTTATGGTTCCATTCGCATTCACGTTATGGTATTCTCCTCGAAACCTGCTCCAACTTCACGTTCTTTGATAAGATCATGTGTGAAACGATCCAGAGCATTGAGTGATGCAACGTGGATTCCCCGATGCGGGCGATGTAACAAGAGAAATTGGCACAGGTGTGAGTACTTGAGTTCCGGACTGTTCCGGAACGGCGAGCTGGAAGGTTGTTCATTTTTTGACTCCGCAAAGTTTTGCCGTTACGTAAGGTTTTGCTTGATGTTCTAAATTTGATACAAAGAAGGTTAAATAGTTACAAATACACTGCCAAGAGCGATTGGCAAGATTTTGACTTGGTAAACTTTTAAAATTTGCGTGCTCGAGTGAGGGTGTGTTACTGTATTTATAAGTAACTACGGATATATCGTGCATGGCACCCATCCGCCGAGCCTCGTTATTCCTAAAATTTCCTAGGCAGACTAAGTTCGGAGTACAAAGTTATATTTTTAGAATGATGACTCACTTTACTTCCGCCGAACCTCTATTACAAATTTACAAACCTAGTTATGGCAATTCAACAGGTCATCGAGAACAACGTGAAGATCTACCTGAATCTTCAGGCGGTGTCGAAATGTCGTGGAACACGCGCATCCACTACTAACTTATTACCAGGGTGGTCACATCAGGTTCCTATACTATACGTAGTATTACGAAGACCGTACTGATACGTGAACTGCCAGCACAGGTGACCCGATTCATCCGCGCAGGTGTTCGGTTCGTGTCTGTATAAGTATAAGTCAGTGTCATGCACTCTAATCTCACCCTACCCGTCGCTCATCACAGTAAGTCACCACCTCTCCGTTCTGAAGTACTTAGCGTTTTGCAAAATAGCGGGGTGTCTGAATCGTGACTAGCAACAAGCCAGACCATTTCAATGGCGATCATCATTCCCGCATGCACCCTTATCATTATCTTAGCCAGCGTCTGGATAGTGAAACAACGATATCAGGCCGCAAGACGGTTGCCCTTACCCCCTGGACCGCCTGGACGTTGGCTATTAGGAAATGTGATGCCAAAATCATAGTAAGTCATTGTCAAGGGATACCAACATGATCTCTATCTAACTCCTCACGCAGTGCGCCGTTTCAATTCGCGAGATGGACAGAACAATACGGACCTGTGTTCTCGCTCAAACAAGGCCATAGGATTTTCGTAGTTATAGGACGTCATCAGGTCAGCATAAAACAATACATTGTCTAGTCAGGCATGAAGTAGACCACGTCACAGGCTGCAGTGGATATCATGGAAAAAGAGGGAGCAAATGTTGCCGACCGCCCACGTTCTATTGCAGTGCACGAGACGTTGTCTGGCGGGTTCAGAGTGATCCTTGAGGGGAGTACTGAGAGATTGCGCCGGATGCGCAGGTACACATCCTGTCTCTACCAGGTGCGATTAGTGAGACTAAATGCAAAGCAGGGTCTTGCATGCAAACCTGCAACCTAAGGTTGCGGAGACCTACGAGCCCATGCAGACAAGGCATGCGAAGAATGTGGTTCTAGATATCTTAAATGACCCAAAGAACCACCAGAGACATGCCATGCGGTACGAACACCAGCCCTTAGTCGCGGTACAGGTGATAATCCGAGGATTTTAGTTATTCAGCTTCCGTGATCATGTCCTTCACCTATGGAAAGATTACTTCGACTTCATATACAGATCCCGAAGTCGTTAACATCAATAGGTTTTCTGCGCGTCTTGGTCAAGCTGTAAAGCCGGGAGCATATCTTGTGGATGCGTATCCAATCCTGCGTTTCGTGCCAGGCTACCTGAGTCAGCTGAAGGCATGGCACAAAGAAGAACTTGCTTTCTATACCGGGCAGTTAGACGCAGTGCGAAGACAGATGGTTCGTGATTTTCTTGTAATCATAGACATGCTCGCTCACCACTGTGAAGCGTGAGGGGACTGCAGGGCCATCCTTTGCGAGGTTCATGTTAGAGCACCAGAAACAGTACCAGCTCGGAGATAAGGAAGTGGCATTCCTTGGAGGAGTGATATTTGGGGCCGGTTCTGATGCGGTAAGTTCTTGCATTGCATCGCGTCATAAGTTGACAATTTTTGTAGACTGCGTCTGCAATCACAATTATGATGATGGCTGCTGCCACTCATACAGATGCGCAGGCTCGCGTACAAGAGGAACTCGATAACGTCGTGGGGCGTACGCGGCGTAGGTTATCCCTTTTCTTTATTCGTCTACTGACTGAGATAGCTCCTGATTAGTGCCAACGTTTGCTGATCAGGAAATGTTGCCGCAGGTTACTGCGTTCATGCTCGAGAGTCTGAGGTGGAGACCTGTCAGTCTTGGTGGTACGTTTTATTTGAGTTGCGATGACGCGATAATGAACGACCACCTTGCACTACAGGCTTTGCGCATCTCGCGATTAAGGACATGATTTGGAACAACTACCTCATTCCGGCAGGTGCGACTGTTATTGGCAATCATTGGTCAGTACGCAATCATTTTCGTCCTCTCACCTTTGGGTCTGACGCTCGTGTTTCAGGGCTATCGCAAACGATCCTGAAGTCTTCCCCGAACCACACAGGTTTAATCCTCAGCGTTGGATCGACGATGCAGGTCGTGTGCGCGATGATCTCCGGTTTTTCACTTATGGCTTTGGCCGCCGGTGAGTAGTATCGTTCATCTCTCGACCATTTCTTATGCCTTACTTAAAAATGTCAGAGTGTGTCCCGGTCAACATCTCGCGAATCGGTCCATCTTGATCAATACGGCTCTTATTCTGTGGGCTTTCCGCCTTTCGGAGAATCCTGCAGCGAAGATTGACACGCTTGCATTCTCGGACACTGCAAATGTACATGCTGCTCCGTTTGAGATATGCTTTGCGAAGAGGATCGATGAGAACGTGATCAGGGAACTATGCGCACCGGGCAAATAAAAGATAAAAGGTGTTTATTCTAGAAACTTGAAATTTTGTGTAAAGGAGTTCGTCTTGCGTTTTTTCGTTGTCTATCCGACAGGATTCCGTTTTTTTCTTTGAAAAAAAACTTGATTATTGTCCTTCGGGGCCGGGCCCTATGATGGACATTACCTACATCTATGTATGTTTGTTCATTGTTCACTATGTAATCTATGTGTCAGTCTTTTGCGATGGTTCTGGCGCGAGCGAGAACGGTTTGGCTTTCTTCAGGCATTGGGTTATTGGTGGGTGGTTGCATCCTTCCGTCATTGCCTCTTCCCTTCTACTTCTCTTCCTCTGGGGGCGATACATCTCCGAAAATGCTCTCCATCCTCTTCGTTCTTGAGTGTGGCCTTCACGCCTTTTCCTTCGTTTAACAGATACTTGAGATTACAGTTGTGTGAGCCTACTTCCGCTCTTAGTCTGTTGCGTTGTCTGATGTATGCTGGGCAGACCAGCAGGAAATGACATGCCTGTCGTATCGTTTGACCTTTGGGCCGGGCGCAATGGGAGTTAGAGAGATATCACCGATCTGTCCTAGCATCGTGGAAGACGATGACATCGCGACAGCCACGGGGATGCTGAGCTCGTGCATAGAAATTGGTGTGAACGGTACAGTAGAGCTCCCGGGAGATTGTATACCATGAGTTGTGACGTTAATATTTGTCCCTTCGTACATAGGGCCCTGGAATTGGCATATGAACGTCCATTCCAGGATGGAATTATTTGGTTTGCAAAGCTGCCTCAGGTAGTAATGGCGCTGCAAGGCTCACAGAAGGCGTCGGCTCGGGTTGGCTGGCCACTGACTGAGAGCTCAATGCTAAACCGGGCCGCTCGCGAAAATCTTCTTCCTTTCCATTCACGACAGTGTCGGATCAGTCGCATGAGAATAGAGAGAAGAGTCCTGTATGATTGAAATGCAGTTGTTTTCAAAATGGCCCTCAACCAGGAGATGAACATGCGAATGTATCCTTCCCAGATGACGACAGAGGTAAACGGACTCGTGCAAGAAAGGTTTTCGGTCAAGAATTTCATCACCAAAATCAGACACCACGTGATATAGGGCACATGTGCCGAGATTTTTCACCTTTTCTCACGCGCACGCTCAGCTCAACACATTGGAGGCGGTCCTGGCCGGTAGACACAGGGAACAAGTTATGCACCCTCTTCAACACGCCCATCAATGAATGTGCAACAAAGCATGTGCAACCATGACCTAGCCTTTGTCGCTATGGACTGTGGACAATGTCATTGTTGGGCTTGTCTGGACGGTATTTAAGCTTTCTTTTTCTGGCTGGCCAAAAGTTAAAACGAAGAATAGACACAGATAGCGGACAACTTGAATTCCCTCCCAAAGTTGACACGGGTTCCATTGTCCTGGTTCCCAGTCTCGTGGTATCGGTGGTCTTTAACCCGTCTGATATCCCTATCGATTAATTTCATGACCTTGCATGACCGACCTTCGATGGATGTGCTGAAATACATCCTTACATTGAACGGAGAGACTTTGGAAAAGCTCGAGATCCAAGGCGCCATTCAGCGATTTAGGAGGCTACCCCGTAACGCGGACGACTTGCCGACGAACCTGCCGAGAATGTCCACACTTATCCAACTGAGGGCAAGTGATGGCGCAGCAAACATCACCGGAGTGAGGCCTGGCTCATTGCACCAGTCACATTTCTCTTGAAACACTGCCGCCAGTTGTTGTCTCTTGGGGTTTTCTTCAATGCCACTTTCGAACGTGACATCGTATACACGGCCCCGGTCGACGCGATCAGTCCGCAAATCAAAAACTTCCTTGTCAGGGCATCCCCCATCAATGAACCTGTAAAGGTCACAGCAGTGCTGTTCTTTCTATTTCCTAGTGCATGTACATGCATCAGCCATCGCATTCCGAAGGAATCGCCTTCGCAGCTTCAGGTAAGGCTGAAAAAGTGGGGGTCAGTAGATAAGATGTTTGAGACGTGACATATGGTAGGCTTGCGTTGTCTGTGCTCTCACGTACACGTATCCTGCATTAACTCGTAAAAGGCTCAAATCAAATCATTCCACACTTCCGACTCACTAATTTCATAATATCCAAGAGTACAAAACAGGAAGACGTGTACTCACCGATGTCTCCTTGTCACCGACTCGCTTGCCTCCTGGATCTGGCCCTTACATTCTCCTCCTTCACTCTCCGCAGCCGTCGATGGTGAGACGTGCTTCACCGAAAGACGAAGATTGTAATATTGAAGGCCTGCCAACGGAGAGAGTTTAAATCTAAGTGTGTCAATATATATAGGTATTATAAACCAGACCTTTCTTTTGAGAAACACAATTTTCGCGTGCTGAGTGCTGAGCATTGATTTCTGGATAATAGAGACGGACACTGCACGCCAGGTCAAGTCAAAAGGTAACTATCTCGTCGATCGGGAACGATGCTACCTGCTCATCAGTTATCCGCTTCATCAGTCATAACGTACCTAATAGCCTATTTCGCTACCATCCAGGTGATGAACAAGTTCTAGCTGAGTGGAGCTGTGTTTGGTTGGTCTCATGTCACGCCTGCAGTGATCGCACCGTTCATAGCGGTTGGGGGTACCTAGGTCCATTGTCGATCACAGGTATCTGAATATCACTACAAAAGTATGGTATCACAAGTACCGTGATGAGGAACTATACTAAGTGCGGCACCAAACTGGTCCACGACACCGCTTTGTATGCGTCAAGAGGAAGATGGCGTAAAGTGGTAAACATAAGTACCAAGAGAACGGCACGAGACGTGATATACAACATGATACATAATGCATAGAGCAGGATGAATATTAGAAGTGGTGTGCCCAGAGCTGTAAGGAGCGGTGCAGCGAGTAAACCAATCCAGGGCGTGCCAGTTATAGCGACGGCACTCATGCGCCATAGCACCCGTTCCTGGGGTGTTGGGAAGGCAAAAAACCAAGCCATACAATGGATGCCGCCAAATATGGTTTCCAGCGAGCACAAGAACAATCCTGTCCACATTTCCGAGTTTGATGCTGCCATCAAATATTGGAACCTGGAGCTTCCGACAAGTGGGAATGCCAAAGAAGCCTATCAGTTCTAGAATTGGGTGCAAGACTGGAGCCAAGATCTTAAACTGGGCGATGTCATCTTTTTGAATGCCACTAAGGCAGACATAATCAGCAGCGGTATAATTGTTGAGGCGCATACATACCCAATATGATCCTCCGGTGTCGAATTCGAGTCGGTAGATGTTGACTTCGAGTTGGTCAACTTCCAGTGCACTGGATGTGGACATTGCACATTGAGAGGCTTGTCCCACCACGCAGCATAAGTCAGGAAATTAAGAACCGCAAAAGCGAGTGTGCCCACTTCGAGCTGAGTGACTTCGAGGTGATAGATGGCGCGGGTAATGAGCTGCATAACAAACCAGGCCACCTGGAGCACGACCACTGCTTTCGATATCGCATTGCCCTTGCTCTTGTCGTGGATCTGGTCTGCCATTAGGGTAGGAAAGTCGATACACCCCTTTTGTATCAGTTTGGGAATGTGATCATGCTGTAGTGTATGATAGGGTTTCCCGTCCTTATAAAGCATGAAACCACCCATGAGCACAAAGAAGCTGTGCATCTGAGTCCACGTATAATCTAAGGATGCACATGAGCCAACGTCTAGGTGAGCGCGAATCGGGCTTACCTTCCAAGTCAGACTCAGACTCAGATTTCCCTGACTTACTCCACCATGCGACCCACCTCAGCACAGGAGCACAAAGAACATGCCAAAGAGATGCGAGCACATGCCAAAGAGACATGAGCAGAAATAATACTCCTGTAGCAAGCAGGAAAAAGAGTCTAGGGAAAGCGTTGCGAATATTGCGGAGGATGCCATTTTCAGTTTCAGGTGCTATAACAGACTCCTTTTGAGTTGTGAGATGCAGGGTTTCCAAAAGCACAACTCACCTTCAGACTCCGGATGACCGTTGGGATACCCCGATTTCTTGAACGGGTTTGTAATTCAATCAGTGCTCAACCACTGTCGCATAGCCCATGCGGCGATCAGTTCAGGAGCGATTAGTGCCATTATCATCATGCCAAGTTGTCGCCATATGATACAAGGGTAGCTGCGGCGCTTAGTAGGACTCGGGATATTGGGGTGGATGGCACTGTAGATGCATGCAAAAAGAGTGAGAACGGAACTAGAAATGATGGTCCATAGGGTTCTAGTCGTGAATGACAGGGCTTTAAAACTGTTGTTAATAGTAGTATTTGTTGCATTTGTTGTAGGTGCAGCTTGGGTCACTGCTCCAACGAGGTAGAGGAAGAGGCAGAAAAGTACTGAACACATTATTGGATTTCAGTCTAGGGTGTACCATGGTATGCATGCCATCATGGATCCTGTTCACTATTTGTATTTTACTAGCGGGCGTCATATCAAGGCAATGAGTTTGCAGCATGGCAAGTATCTCCATTCTTACTTCAATTGCCAGTGAATGAGGCTGCCTCATTCTGATTCCCGACGGTTTACCAATCGGTCGGTTCTGGGTACCGAACTTGCCCCTCGAAGGCTAATACCCAGTCAGCATTTAGATTTAGTGGGTGATGGGCAATATTATGTAATATTGATATAGTTATTTGCAAGCGTCGTGGCCATGACCTACTACTAACTAGTGAAGTTCTTCCTCAAGACGCATGCCCCCATGAATATCTACAGGGTGCACGAGGGTGTCGCACCTCTACATAAATTTATAGCAGCTCAGAGTAGACTCCTCCCTAAATCAAACCAGCATGGCTAATGCCTCACCCTGCCCTCTCATCTCTGGTACTCAAGTCTTGTCATTAAGCAGTATCATCGAACCCGCTGAACATATCCAAAATAGGTATCGCCATCGATTTCAGCAAGTTCAAGACGGATATAGAATTCGCTCAAGTACAGATTGGCGAATTACAATTGCGAATTGATGCACCCAAAGGAAGAAGGAGTTTGCAACACACATTTCCTGAACCCATGTAAGTACCCGACCCCAGCACATGTTCTCGCCTGAGTTGTTTGTTGTAGGATGCTTTCCAAAGGGGATACATTTTCCTTATATGTGGATTACATTGACACAAGCCAATGCTTGGAGAAGAAGAGAAAAATGACTACTCTCAAGTCAGATGACATTTTCTGCGCCAATACCAATTCTGAACGAGGTAAAACAAGAACCATCGCATTCTCACCTTAATCACTCATGGATTCAACCTCACATACATAGAATACATCTTGATTGATAAAACAATCACCATCACCATCAAACTTTCCAGGAATACAACTGAAGTAGTAAGGATCCACGTCTGGCATCGAACCCATCTGAGTCGTAGATCAACAGACTGAACAGTTTGGCTCTCCTGATGAAAGCCTCGAGCCCCAACCTACCACTGGCACTTCTGAAATATCTCAGATCGGTCCCTGGTGAGTCGGGATGATCATAAAGTGCCATTCTTGAGGTTGACACTCCTAAGGTTCCGAATTCTGGTGGCAGGAAAGGTATCTGGCTTTTTCCGATTTCAGGCCAGTGTTGATGACATGTTTGTAATAGGCTGGCGTTGGCAAGTCAACATTGATCCACCGCGCATTTGGAGTGGAAACAGCAGTGGGCTGAACATGACACTTCAACGAGCACAACCACTCATACTGCCATTAGTTCCCTTCATCCGATAAGCCAGGCAAGGCCGACATCGAGCACGAGTTCATCCCACCTAAGGACGACAGATTGGTTATCCATGATAGCAATGGTTTTGAAGTAGGGGACAAAGAAAATCTCAAGACCATCCGAGATTTTATTGACTGTCGGAGGAACATCAGTTGCATGCTATTTGGTAGTGATTCTATTTTGACCATTCCGTTATGGTGAACTGACCAAACACACGGAAGGCTTTGCTTTCAGATACCTAGTGCAGGCGGTCGTTTTCTAGATATGGCAACGGAGGAATTCCTGAAGTGGGCAAGGATTGGAATACTGGAAAACGGTAAATGAATCGATAACCATCTCTTCACTATGTTAGAGCTCACACTTTGTACAAGTTCCCATTATCGCCGTTTTGACAAAATACGATATACTCATTGATCACATGGAGCGATCTCTAGACAAAGCCTCTATCGATGGCAAGGACAATAAAGCCATCAAGGAACTGGTCGAGAACAATGCAAAACTCGAGCTGCATGGTACCTGTATTGTACCTCTAGAGCGATTTGCAGGGTCTGATATTCCCCACGCTATGACCTCTGGTATGTACCAATACTCTGACAGGTTCATGTGTGCCTCTGAAGTGTAATATCGCAGCCAAAAGAGGCTATGATGAGACACTCAAGCACCTCATTGAATTAACAAAAATACATGTCGCTAAGCATTCTGCATCTGAGGCAGTGTAGGTATACAACACAGAGTGGGGCTATACAAAGATGGCTCCAAACTGATATCTTTATGTTGTGGTCTTGCACTGCCTATCTGCTATACTTGCGGACAAGTGCGTTCGACCCAGGGGTCTGCGGTCTGGGAATAGTTTTTTGGGGGTCAGTGGGTGATGTGAGGTCAATAATCCGAGCGCGGGAAACAATGTCCGAAGGTATAATTACGATGTCTGATGCAAAAGCGTTGGGTCCGATGTTTTTCGGGTTTCGGGTTCAGGTTCGGGTTATCGGAAACTAATAGTAATGCTATAGCGAGCGTCGGGGAAGCGAGCAGTGTGCGCAATGATAACAATGATGGATACGGACGGTGAAGGAACGATGATATTCGCAATGTCAACTAAGAACTACGAAATATCGGGTTTGACCCCTAAGTGTCGGAGACGATTCTCCTCTACTTGGATGATGATGATGCTATGGGGAGTCCAATATTTAAGTAGATATGTAGAAATCCGGAACCCTATAGGCGAAAGTAGTAGCGCAATATTTCAGGTCCGATGTCCTATGTAATAAGACATGAGGTACTGCGGACTATGGGAATACATGTAATAACGCGGTCGACAATGTTAGCGATGTGAAAACAAGTAACTATGCACCTAGTGGGGCTAGCACAATGAGACTGGACATAGGTAGGATGAGTGCGCGCGATATCCGATCGGCCGATGCGAAACCCGATGCGAAACCCGATGTCTGATGTCCGATGTCCGATGTTTTCGGGTTTGGTGCATATTGAGTCAGATATGATAGGGAATGATTTGGGCAATGATTAGCATTCACATGCATCGGAAAATAGACCTCTACGAGGCCACAAGGACTCCAAGTCCTACAGCTGTTACAGGCATCCATAACACCTACAGGAGCCCCAGCTCTGCCTACGCCTGCCCCCGCTCTGCTAGACTCCCCGCATGGCGGTGCGCCGCCCGCGCCTAGAAAGACAGCGGTCTGGACCGCTGTGACCCCGCCCCTGGCGCTATGACCCCGCCCCTGGCCTAGACGGCCTTGTACCTGATCCATGGAGGCTGTACGCCTCATGGTCACCCTAGATCAGCGCATGCATACCACATGTCGCTTCATGAAGATCCAGAGCGCTCTTGGCGCTTCCTGTACCTATGCGCAGCTGCCCTTGGTGCAGCATGCTTGATCAGAGGTTAAGCCTCATGTACTTATCTGAACCTCATGTCTTGTTATCATAGATCATAGATATATTATTGATTACAGACTGAGCTAGAATACTTGTAGTACTTCCCTATAAGTAGACAGGATTATTGTACTTAGACTTTACTTTAATCTACTAGGTTCATCCCCAGAACTTGCTCATCTAAGCCTTAACAAGCTTCGTTGTGTGAGACCGCACTTCTAAGTCGCTCCCATATGACTTAGCACATATCCGCTAGCCCTGCATCTCGACGAGCGCCGTCTTACCGAGATCGCCAGAGGAACCCTTGACGTTCCGTCAAGCCGAGAACCACCCTCAGCTTCAGTAGGCTCACTCGAGCCGTCGCTGAGAAGACCTATCCTAGTTTGCACACGCTGACCGACGGTCAGCGTAACAACAGCGGCCTTACTAGTCCCGGCTGGTAGACACGTTATGCACCCTCTTCAACATGCCCCATCAATGACTGTGCAACAAAGCATGTGCGACCATGACCTAGCCTTTGTCACTATGGACTGGACAATGTCATTGTGGCTTCTTGGACTTGCCTGGACGGTATTTAAGTTGGACTCCGTTGGCCATTATTTTTCTTATAACTGCTCTCTTCTCAACAGACCAATCACTTTCGAATCCTTGCAACTCCTGCATTCTTCTTGACTTCAACTTGCTACTTAGAAAGATCCTTGGCAACATGCAAACTGCTGTGCTTGCTCCAAATAATGTGCCACTCGCCGCGGCTCAGTACACGGAAGCGCTTGGCTTGCCAAATACCACACCCTTTAGCGTCATAAATTGGGCTAGCAAACTCCAGCCCGTGCACAAGAGTCTAATCAATGCCTTGCCTGAAGAGATCATCATGCACATATTCAAGCTGGGCGTGTCCTGTCGCGACTCCCAACAATGTATCAATTTTGTGGTCTCAGTATCGCATGTTTGCCGCACATAGTGTAACGTCACTTTCAGCTACTCCTCGTTGTGGGCGGACATCATCATCACGACCGATAACATGTATAATGTTGACGGAGGGCACGCTACCGTAAATACACCCCTTCTTCGTGCAAAGGAGTTCGCCTCGTGTTCTAGAGTCTTTCTGTTGTTTGTCTGACTCAAACTCATTACACCTTGGCCCATAGGATTTTTTCCAACTCCTGGCACACCACCTCAAGCTCGATGGGACAAAGCGTGCCGCACGCGTGATGTATGTACTTTGAAGAAGGTTATTATGATTTGAATGTTTTGACGTGTTGGCTCTTTGTGATTCTCTTTTGCCTCTTCCACCGACTATAATATGAGTACTGACCAACAAATGCATTTGATGGTAACCCCTAGAGCTAGCTCGTTGCATCTGAACAAACCAGCATGTTAGCTCGTGCTTGCCTTTTTCTAAAAGCTATAATCCTACAAATGTCCTAGTCCTGACATTGTACAACCATATCTTGCTTGACAGGATGTTTAATGACCCCTCAGACTATGATCTCATTCGATGGTCTGACACTGGTGACTCTTTTTTGGTACTATGTGCCAGCGCCAGTCTTTCTCTATATGTGCCATGATATTCAACGAATCTGACATACTCATAGTCCTCAATCAAAAGTGTTTCACAAAGTCCTAACTTACTAAGATACTAGGTAGTGATACCAAATTCTGGAACTTTGAAGACGCAGCTGCCCTAGTGTGTCTGCAGGTGCCTTGACCCCTGGCCAATTGATGGACGTGAATTCAGTTGTCGATGGTATTCAGGCTGTCAGAAGACACCGAGCCACCATCTCTGCTGAACTCATTGACCAAAACTGACATCTTTGATAGGAAGCCATCGCTGCTTGTGAGAAGGCAAGTTTGTGAGTGATCAGGGTGAGAATGCGATGGTTATTGGGTACCAAGTGGAGGTCAAGTGTGAAAAGAATTGGCCCGATCGATCGATCTGAAGTGGTCCAATGATAATTTGATAAACACAACTTCTTGCTGTGTTGAGCGTTACATGGATCTAGATTTGGTAAACATAGAAACTCTACTTCACGCCCATGGTACACAGCTATGGGCTGGGTATTTGCCGGATTCGCACACTGCAATGATTATAAGGCTACACCAGTGCTTCTCCATTACAACTTCCCATGGATCCTTCAAGGATAAGACAGAAAATCGGTCGCTTTCGAATCCTCGTCATAGGAAGAGTGAATGCAGGAAAAACTACTATCTTGCAGAGAGTTTGCAACACACGGGACAAGCCAGAAATATATAACAGCGCTGGAGAAAAGGTGGGCATTACAATGCTAGTAGGAGTATGGTAGTGACCCATTGACATTAGATCGACCTTGCAGTTTTAACGGCATCCAGAGAGGTAAGGTGCACTCCTAGTCGATGCCATGAACTGACGTGCTCTCAGTGCAGAGTGCACAATATTGAAAATGAAATGGTGTTTCAAAGCCATCCAGGCTTCATTTTTCATGATTCACGCGGTTTTGAGCCAGGCAGCGCATACGAATTTGAAAAGGTCAAGGCATTCATCGCAAGCCACTTCAAGGAAACAAAAATAGCAAATCAACTCCATGCTATCTGGTAATTGCAACTGATCAATCGCGACAATATGCTATCTCACAGATTCAACATAGGTTCTGCATTCCCATGGACAAGGCCAGTACTAAGTCTTTCACCCAAAGTGAAAACAAATTTTTCTCTCAATGCGACACAGGAAGCAGTGAGCTTTCGCATTCCACCCTTGTCGACATTCGGCTGATACACAGAATCATAATCCTCAGTTCCAGTGATTGTATTATTCACCAAATTTGATGCCCTATACGATGTCGAATATGCAAAGCTAAGGAAGGAAGGAAGATCTTGGAAAGACGCCAAGGCACTGGCCCCGAAACAAGCTGAAGAGTCATTCCCTAACGGGCCACACTTGAAGTTTCTCAAGAATGTGTGATGGCCTCCAAAATGTTATGTATGCCTTTCTAGTAAGGCCAGTAGGTCTTTCACCCAAGGTGAAAACAAAATTTTCTCTCAATGTGACACAGGAAACAGTAAGCTTTCGCATTCCTCCCTCATTGACGTTCAGCTGATCACAGAATCACAATCATCAGTTCCAGTGATCGTATTGTTCACCAAGTTTGATGCCCTATACGACGTCGAATATGCAAAGCTAAGGAAGGAAGGAAGATCTTGGAAAGATGCTAAGGAACTGGCCCCGAAACAAGCCAAAGAGTCATTCCCTAATGGGCCACAATTGAAGTTTCTCAAGGATGTGTGATGGCCTCCAAAATGTTATGTATGCCTTTCCAGTAAGCCAGTTTGTAGTCAAGTCGCGATACACAATGACCTTTGATCTATTAGACATGGACAAGGATGATGCAGATTGCAAGACACTCATCGAGCACACAGCTGGAACTCTGGATAACGAAGTGCTTCAGCAATTATTCGTCTCGACCCAGCAACTCAACTTGGAGACCTGCATGAAATATGTAGTTGAGCAGTAACTACCCATGGTTCATTCACCTGCCACAAGCATTAGCGACTGATATTGCACAGAACACTCTCAAAACATTTTGGCTCTGCAGAGACAACAACATCTGAGGGTTATCAGAAATAATATGGTCACTGGGCGTCTGGTTTCCACACATTTGGGTAAGATTATTGTAAAGTTCAAACATTGCTCTCATTTACGTTGGGCGTTTACTTGCAGGCAGTATGTGTGTTGATCCTTTTTCAAACTCGAGCCATGCTGATCCAAGTCATTGCCCACCATTCGCAGGATGTGAGTGTGTTGATCCTCATTCGAGCAACAGCCATGCTGATCCAAGTCGTTGCCCACCGTTCGCAGTATGTTAGTGTGTCGATCCTCATTCGAGCAACAGCCATGCTGATCCAAGTCGTTGCCCACCATTCACAGTTCATGAGTGTGTCGATCCTCGTTCGAGCATCAGCCAAGCTGATCCAAGTTGTTGCCCACCCTTTGCAGGATGTGAGTGTGTTGATCCTCATTCGAGCATCAGCCATGCTGATCCAAGTCATTGCCCACCGTTTGCAGGATGTGAGTGTGTCGATCCTCACTCGAGCAACAGCCATGCTGATCCAAGTCGTTGCCCGCTGTTTGCAGTTGGTGAGTGTGTTGATCCTCGTTCCAGCAAGAGTCATGCTGATCCAAGTTATTGCCCACCGTTTGCAGGAAGTGAGTGTTTCGATCCTCATTTGAATGAGAGCCATGCTGATCCAAGTCATTGCCCACCATTTGCAGATGGTAAGTATTTGATCCTCCTTCAAGCTCAAGCCATGCTGATTGAATTCTTTGCCCACTGCTCAAAGCATGTGAGTGTTTGATCCTCCATCAAGCATAGCCTTCCTGAATCAAGCCATTGCTGCTGATCCATTGATAGAATGTGAGTCCATTGACTCTTTGTCGAGTTCAACCATTCCTGACCAATGCAATTCATCATCTATTGGCAGGAGGTCAGTATATTGATCCTCTAGCGACTTTGAGCTACTGATCGAAGATATTGTCTATTCATTGACAGCTTGTGAGTATGATTATCCTTTATCAACATCCTGCCTTCCTTACTGATGCAATTGCTGATTTATTGTTAGGATGTGGGTGTATTGATTCTACGTCACCTTCACTGACCGAACACAATACTGTTCCATTGACAGATTATGAGTTTCTCGATCCACCATCGAATGCAAGCCATACTGACTGAAAACATCGACCATCCATTCACAGGATGCAAGCGCATTGATCCACAGTCGAATTGGGGCCCCACTTACCATTGAAATTGCTCATCCCTGTTGACAGGTTGTGAGTGTGTTCATCCACCATTGAGCTCGAGCCTTGATCACCGACTACATTACTGATCTGTTGACAGTTCGTGAGTCTCTCGATCCTCATCCTCATCCTCATTTGAGCTCTAGCTTTGCTCACCAATGACATTGCTCATCCATTGCCAGAATGTCAGTGTGCTGATCCTCCATCGAGTTTGAGGTTTGCTTACCATTTAAATCGCGCATCCTTCAATAGAGAGTGAGTCTCGAGCCTTGCTAGTGAACGTCATCACTGATCCATCAATAGGACGAGCTTCGCGACGATTAACCTGTAGAGATATGGCATAGGTTACTCCCTGTGGTATGTCTAATTGGTTACAGATTGTGCACACATTTCTCATGTTGCGACTCTGTCAGGCCTCCGACTCATCACCATTGGAGAATATTGTTCAGCTCATTTCTGGTGAATTTAGAGGCTATGTCACGATGAACCTGCTTATCATTGACCATTTAGCTGTTGTCATTATCTTTCTACATTTTCAACAAGCGGCGCTATATTCAGGACAAGGAGTCTGATCCCTCGTTTCATGTCGCTCTCGAGCAGTACATGGCATCTCCGCATGCAACTACTGTCAGGGAAGCTGGGAGTGCTGCCATCCGGGCATATGAAGAAGCTGTGGCTACTGCCACCCACACATATGAAGAAGCTGTGAGGACTGCTGTCCATCCATATCAAGGAAAACTGCCTTCTTGGATAACGAAGTTATCATTTGAATCTTTCAAGAGGAAGGCAAAAAAGGCCAAGGAATCCTTTGAATGGTCTCAGGCAAAAGAAAAAGAATCTTTGTGCTCTCGGGCAAAGGTGGAGTTAATTGAAGCTGTTCTTGAAATCGCTCTAAATCATCATCTGCGTATGTTTAATCATCACATTGAGGCAGCACTCCAGCTGATCCACTTGTTTTCAGCTAGACCTTAATGTTGCACAGTGCAACACACTATCATGATAACTGATGCTCTGGTTTGGAGAGGAGTGGAGGTGCCTGGGCTGTAAAGGTTGCTTGAAATGTTTGTTGAGGTAGATTCAGGATGTGGAACTGTATTTGTATGATCATGCAATATAGTGCTTTGTGTGGTATGGGGTATACGTGTTTAGAGAATATCAGTCACCCTCAGTCGAGGCCATGGCGAGAGCTAAGTGCGCTTGATGTGCTTCTCAAGTATCCGTGGTACGATAAGAATCTGCTGACACACTTCACATGACTGATAGAAGAACAAGGTGCTTTCCGGGTGCGTGAGCGGCTCCTATCCTTCTACTGCAGCAAGCTCCCTACATGGAGTGTTTTAATCTCATCACTGGCTCTTTCATTGGCATGCTTACTCCAAACAGTCCAAAAGACCTTTCTTAACCTTGAATGACTTGTACTCACTATTTCTGTGAGTATGGATTAAAACAGTGGCTCACTCGACATAGTATAATTTGCTTACATGGGAACATGCCTGTCATATCGTCTGACCTGTGGGACGGGCACAATGGGAGTCAGAGAGATATCAATGATCTGTCCTAGCATCATGGAAGAAGATGACATCGCGATAGCCACGGGGATGCTGGGCTCGGGTATAGAAATTGGCGTGAACGGCACAGCAGAGCTCCCGGGAGATTGTATACCATGAGTTATGATGTTGATATTTGTTAGGCTCGTGACCAGCCTGGCTTACTAATACCACGGACAAGTTGAGTGGCGAAGCCAGGCTGGTCGATCTCGGAGAAATTTGGCAGGAGGAGTGAGGAGTTTGAAATTTGACAGATGCCGATCATGCCGGCTGAGGTACCTGCGATCATACAGTACTTATATTTACAACTTGTACAAGTTATGTGTTTCCTCTCGCTCAGCCTATATGCTATGAACCATGAGTTCCATACAACCTTTATCACTTGCTGCTCGAGACGCGATTGAAAATCTCCCAACAGACTTTACAAGTGCCCTTTCAATGGCACAACACCAGCAAGTTCTCGAGGCCTTCTCACAACTCAATTTTATTTCCAAAGGATCACAACATCCGAAATTGTTCCAGCTCAGATGCCTTATATCATTACTTTCTGCAAGACACATTGTACTTCGAGCTGCAACAGGCTCCGGAAAGACCCTCACAATGATTCTGCCTTTACTTCTTTCACCGGACAAAACAGCCATCACCATCACACCTTTGAAACTGCTGCAGCGTGATCACGTATGGCGAACATGAGGTCCATGACTGTCATCCGAAGCCCACGAAGGATTTTTAGGACCGCAAGGATGTTTTTTGTCAATGTCGAGGCTCGAAGGATCGACAATCCAGATCAAAGGCTCAACAGGTGGCTGATATTGCGGCATAGGCGGGTGAAAGGCATGAAAAGGGATCATTTTATCGTCCTATTAGATGTTAAGTACTGTTGCTTGATGGGCTATGATGTTTGAGAGGCATACAATACTTTGCTTAAGGTGCGAACAAAGGACTTGTATTGTCAATGCTGTACAATTACAACGATTACCTAAACCGGCATGACCGGCATGTATGAAATTTCAAACTCCTCGCTTCTCCAGCCAAATTTCTCCGAGATCGACCAGTCTGACTACGTCAAACACTTTTTTTTTTTTAAATTCATATTTTATTGTCCTTTGGGATCGGAGACCCTATGTCGGACATAGCCCTTTTCGCGGGGGGCTTACTCCCGCTTATCTATCGTATGTGTATGTGTGCTTTATCGTATGTTTGGTAGGTGAACACGTACTCCGTCAGCATGGTGTCGGGCAAAGGCCGATCGTCAAACACTTAACATCTCAAAGACGTAGTCCAGACTGGTTACGAGTCTAGATATTTGTCCCTTCGTAAGGCCCTGGAATTGACATATGAACATTCATTCCAGGTTGGGATTCTTGGGTTTGCAAAGCTGCCTCAGGTAGTAATGGCACTGCAAGGCTCACAGAAGGCGCCAGCTCGGGTTGACTGGCCACTGACTGAGAGCTCAATGCTAAACTGGGCCGCTCGCGAAAATCCCTTCCTGAAGTTCCATTCACGACAGATTGAAATTTGACAGTGTCGGATCAGTCGCATGAGAATAGAGAGAAGAGTCCTGTATGATTGAAATGCAGTTGTTTTCATAATGACCCTCAACCAGGAGATCAACATGCGAATGTATCCTTCCCGCATGACGACGGGACCGACTCGTGCAAGAGCTATACGACTAATTAAGGAGGACATCATCACAAATCAGATACCACGTGATAGGGCTCATTGTTGGTACGTGATTCAGGTGCCCTCGAGGTGAAGTTAAAAAAATTATAGTTGATGGGACTGTCAGCCGCGTTGAAGACTACCGTGACCGGAACCATGAGAGTGGGAAGCACACAATGAAACCCGTGTTGTAACGATGAGTTTGAGTCTGACAGACAACGAAAAGACTCCAAAACGCAAGACGGACTCCTTTGCACGAAGATTCAAGTTTCTAGAATAAACGCCTCTTATTTGCCCGGTGCGCATAGTTCCCTGATAACATTTTCATCGATCCTCTTCGCAAAACATATCTCAAACGGAACAGCATGTACGTTTACAGTGTCCGAGAATGCAAGCGTGTCGATCTTCGCCGCAGGATTCTCCGAAAGGCGGAAAGCCCACAGAATGAGAGCCGTGTTGATAAAGACAGACCGATTCGCGACATGTTGACCGGGACACACTCTGACATTGTTCAGTAAGGCATAAGAAATGGTCGAGAGATGAACGATGCCACTCACCGACGGCCAAAGCCAAAAGGGAAAAACCGGAGATCACCGCGCACACGACCTGCATCGTCGATCCAACGCTGAGGATTGAACGTCTGTGGTTCTGGAAAGACTTCAGGATCGTTTGCGATAGCCCTGAAACACGAGAACACAAGCGTCAGACCCAAAAGTTAGAGGACGAAAACGTTTGCGTACTGACCAATGGTTGCCAATAACAGTCGCACCTGCAGGAATGAGGTAGTTGTTCCAAATCATGTCCTTAATTGCGCGATGCGCAAAGCCTGTAGTGCAAGGTGGGCGTTCAATATCGAGTCATCACAGCTCAAATAAGACGGACCTCCGAGAGTGACAGGTCTCCACCTGAGACTCTCGAGCATGAACGCGGTGACCTGCGGCAGCATTTCCAGATCAGCAAACGTCGGCACTAATCAGGAGCCATCTCAGTCAGTAGACGAACAAAGAAAAGCCATAACCTACGCCGCGTACGCCCCACGACGTTATCGAGTTCCTCTTGTACGCGAGCCTGCGCATCTGCATGAGTGGCAGCGGCCATCATCATGAATGTGATTGCGGACGCAGTCTACAAAAATTGTCGAGCGAAGACGCGATGCAATGCAAGAACTTACCGTATCAGAACCAGCCCCAAATATCACTCCTGCAAGGAATGCCACTTCCTTATCTCCGAGCTGGTATTGTTTCTGGTGCTCTATCATGAACCTCGCAAAGGATGGCTGTGCAGTCCCCTCGCGCTTCACAGTGGTGAACGAGCATATCTATCATCACGAAAAAATCACGAACCATCTGTCTTCGCACTGCGTCTAGCTGCCCGTTATAGAAAGCAAGTTCTTCTTTGTGCCATGCCTTCAGCTGACTCAGGTAGCCTGGTACGAAACGTAGGATGGGATACGCATCCACAAGATACGCCCCCGGCTTCATAGCTTGACCAAAACGCGCAGCAAGCCTGTTGATGTTAACGACTTCAGAATCTGTATATGAAGTCGAAGTAATCTTTCCATAGGTGAAGGACATGATCACGGAAGCTGAATAACTGAAATCTTCGGATTATCACCTGTACCGCGACTAAGAACTGGTGTTCGTACCGCATGGCATGTTTCTGGTGGTTCATTGGATCATTTAAGATATCTAGAATCACATTCTTCGCATGCCTGGTCTGCATGGGCTCATACGTCACCGCAACCTTAGGTTGCAGGTTTGCATGCAAGACCCTGCTTTACATTTAGTCTTACTGGTCGCACCTAGGAGAGACAGGATGCGTACCTGCGCATCCGGCGCAATCTTTCAGTACTGCCCTCAAGGACCACTCTGAACCCGCCAGACAACGTCTCGTGCACTGCAATAGAACGTGGGCGGTCGGCGACATTTGCTCCCTCTTTTTCCATGATATCCACTGCAGCCTGTGACGTGGTCTACTTCATGCCTGACTAGACAAGGTATTGTTTTATGCTGACCTGATGACGTCCTATAACTACGAAAATCTTATGGCCTTGTTTGAGCGAGAATACAGGTCCGTATTGTTCTGTCCATCTCGCGAATTGAAACGGCGCACTGCGTGAGGAGTTAGATAGAGATCATGTTGGTGTCCTTTCACAATGACTTACTGTGATTTTGGCATCGCATTTCCTAATAGCCAGCGTCCAGGTGGTCCAGGGGGTAACGGCAACCGTCTTGCGGCCTGGTATCGTTGTTTCACTATCCAGACGCTGGCTAAGATAATGATAAGGGTGCATGCAATAATAATCGCCATTGAAATAGTCCGGCTTGCTGACAGTCACGATTCAGACACCCCGCTACTTTGCAACACGTTCAGTACTCTAGAACAGAGAGGTGGTGACTTGCTGTGATGTGCGACGGGTACGGTGATAATATTAGTGTGCATGATTACGCTGACTTATATTTGTACAAACACGAATTGAACACCTGCGCGGATAAATCGGACCTGTGCGAGTCACGTATTGCGGTCTTCCTATGTATCAGAACCTGATGCTGACCACCCTGGCGATATGTTAGTGGTGGACGCGCGTGTTTCAAGACATTTCGACTCCACCTGCAGATCAAGGTAGATTTTAATGTCGTTCTCGATGACCCGTTGGATTGCTCGTGCCACAGGACCGTCGACCGTTAGGTTTACAAAATATTGTAATGGAGCTCGACTCGGGCCACTCGGCTGAAGTACAGTGGGTCAACATTCTAAAAATAGAACTTTGTACTCCGACCTTACTTACAAGTTGCTGTCTACGCAAGCTCAGCTCAACACATCGGAGGCCTTAGTCCCAGCCGGTAGATACAGGGAACAAGTCATGCACCCTCTTCAACACGCCCCCATCAATGAATGTGCAACAAAGCATGTGCAACCATGACCTACCCTTTGTCGCTATGGACTGGACAATGTCATTGTGGCTTCTTGGACTTCCCTTCAAGTTGACGGTATTTAAGTTGGACTCCGTTGGCCATTCTTTTTCTTGTAACCGCTCTCTTCTCAACAGACCAATCACTCTCGAATCCTCGCAACTCCCGTATTCTCCTTGCTACCTAGAAAGATCCTTGGCAACATGCAAACTGCAGTGCTCGCTCCAAATAATGTGCCACCCGCCACGGCTCAGTACACGGAAGCGCCTGGCTTGCAAAATAACACACCCTTCAGCGTCATGAATCGAGCTAGCGAACTCCAGCCCGTGCGCAAGAGTCCAATCAATACATTGCCTGCAGAGCTCATCCTGCACATATTCAAGTTGGGCGTGTCCTGTCGCGACTCCCAACAACGTATCGATTTTGCGGTCTCAGTATCGCAAGTTTGTCCCACATGGCGTAAGGTCGCTTTCAGCTGCTCCTCGTTGTGGGCGGACATCACCATCACGACCGATAACATGTACAATGTTGACGGAGGGCACGCTATCGTAAATACATCTCTTCTTCGTGCAAAGGAGTTCACCTCGCGTTCTGGAGTCTTTCCGTTGTCTCTCCGACTCAAACTCCTCGTTACACCCAACTTCGTATATCTTCAAACAGGCACGATTATAATAATGGATTGGCTCCGCCTGGTGTTTCCACGCATCAAGTATCTCTCGATACACTGCGATACTCTCCAAGTCGCGCGGCTGGTCACGAATCGTTTACAGAAAGTCCCCATGGAGAATCTGGAGACCTACAAAATGAAGTTTGGCACTGAAGTCATATCCTTTTACCATTCAATTATTTTGCCACCACACATGCGCTTTCTTTCTCTGGCTGGCCAAAACGAAGAACAGACACAGACAGCGGACAACTTGGATTTGCTCCCAAAGTTGACACGGGTTTCATTGTCCGGGTTCCCAGTCTCGTGGTCTCGGTGGTCCCTAACGCGTCTGACATCCCTATCGATTAATTTCATGACCTTGCATAATCGACCTTCGATGGATGTGCTGAAATACATTCTTACATTGAACGGAGAGACTCTGGAAAAGCTCGAGATCCAAGGCGCCATTCAGCGGTTTGGGAGGCTACCCTGTAACGCGGACGAGTTGCCGACGAACTTGCCGAGGCTCACAGACCTTACGCTCGGTTATCTATCGCAGTGGGAAGCCATAATTTTTTTCCTTCACTTCGAGGCGCCTGCACTGAAGCACATCAAGTTATGTGACGTCTCTCGCTCAATTCTTACTCAGCACTTCAAAGACGGATTCGACTCGAACAGCCTGATCATCCAGAACATGCCTGCCCTTCAACCCTTCAACAAATTTTCTTCTACGATCCTCCTCGAACATCTGGTTTATGTGTGTTCACTACTCGAACAAGTTGAAACGCTCGCACTCGAACATTTTAGTCTACCACCTTTGGTCTCCAACCTCTTCTGGCAAGACGACGATCCTCTGAAAAATTTGCATGAGGCTCCTGTTTTTCTGGCTTACCGCATGTTACAGAAATGCTCGCGACTTCGACGCCTCACCCTCATCGACCCGGAGCAGTGTTTCCTCGATGCACTCAATATGTATCCCGACGATCCAAAAACCAGCAGCCCGGCCCCTGTGCTTACTCACCTGTGTCTTGCTTCGTCCGATTGTGAACGCCTGAAGCTCTTTTTGGAGCGAAGGGCGGAAAGCCTTGCGAAGGAAAGGGGTCCACGTATTTTGGACTATCTTGAACTGGCGACAGCGAAAAAAGATGTGCATGTGTTGGAGGATATCGTATCGCAGCATATTGATATGAGCTGTATTGCAAAGAGTTCGCTGGCGGCTGAATGGCACAGAAGCTTCACTACCGGTGTTTTATGCCCTTCCAAATGTACTTAGACCTAGTGACCAAAAGGGAATGCGTTGTATTGGTTCCTAATACGGAACAATAGTTTGGACAAATCTTTTTGTTCTTGTTTACATAAGTGTTTTGTTATATATCACATGGCCTCATGCTGGCAGCGCGCTGCTTATTGTTATGTAACAAGGTTTTTGCTTGAATTGTCTTTCGGCTTATATCAACTGACCTCTCAATTTCACTCCCTTCGTGTCCGTCTTTCGACAAGTACTGTGTACTTGGTTTTTCTTGTTTCGTTTTTGTGAATCTTATTGTCACATTGGTTACCGCGTGCTCCTAAACCGCTCACTTTAAGACTCCTTGTCTGCTCTCTAGTAATCTCTTGCTGCGCAATGTCTTCTACCGCGATCTCGACGATCATATATCCATGTCCCCCACCTACTACAAATATCCTTGACTCACAACAGCGCATGCGTCTCATACGTTCTGCTCGTAAATTGGAAGCAGTTATGGGCACCACACCCTACCTCCTCGAAGCAGACGTTCCTATCACACTCCTCCCCATCGGTGTTAATAAAAAAACAGTGACAGGCAAAGCACTGAAGCGCCAGGGTTCCATATTCACGCATTACCACAAAGGCTCCCCCTCTGTAACATCATTTAGCTCAGCCTCAACGTCATCCTTCCACTCCCCATCCGCCTCGCTCGTCTCGCTACCTTTGAGCATGCGGAGCACGGAGTCCCTCTCGGTGACACCGCCAGGCCTGCCCGCGCGTGGCAGAAAGTCGGCAGATAAACCCAGACCATTGTACCTCCGCATGAACACCATCCCTGTATCGCCCACCGACCACCACCGTACTACATCACTACCGCACACACCTTCCTCAGCTCGCACACCCTCCGCTTATTTCCCCCCTACGCCTCGTACACCAAGTTTCGACGCGGCAGAATTACGGAGAAAGCGGATGGCAAAACTTGCCCGTCATCTAGGCGAGAATGTGCCTCCTGAACTAGTCACAGCACAAGTGCCGCACGCTCAATTACCTTCCAAAGAAGGCGTGCCCAATGGGAAGCGACGCAGTATGTCCGTCCACGTCACGAGCCCACGAAATATACCTTTTGCTCCGAGGCCTGAAGTTCTCCCGGAGACTCAGACAAACAGCGATTGGGTTGGCGAGTGGAATCGATCTGATATCAGAGACGTTCAGAGGGAACTGAGAAACCTCAAGGCTGTACGATGGTGATGATTTCGCGATTTGGATGACCTTCTGTTATCCCACTTCACACGATTTTGTTCTACGCCCGTATTATGACATCCCCACTGGCTGGCTGCAGGCATCCAGCCAGACGACATGCAATTCACCATTAGTATTAGCCACATCTACATATGTATCATGTAAGGCATTTGCATCACATTTATAATTCGTACACTCGTAAGTATGTACTACTGTCATTTGTAAAACATAACAACACATACGGGGACATCGATCGCGATTTACTCGCCACCCAAGTGTTCCATGTATTTGGGGTGGTTCGGAGTCAAAGTAGCCCTAGCTATGCGTAACCTATGTGTGAGATGGGTGGATGCAGATACCTGGCGTCGCGCTGCCGCGTCCGTCTCATTATCCTCAAAATCTTTTAGGTAGATTAATTAGGCAGCTTCTTATAAGTTCGGAGTGTAAATATTGACCCACGCCGCCGCGTCGAAATGTCTTGGCACTGGAGCGTCCACTACACCAGGGTGGTTCCATCAGCTTCCTATCCTACTATGCGAAGACCGCACTGATACATGAATCACACAGGTGGCACGACCAATTTGCGCAGGTGTTCGATTCGTGTCTGTATAAGTATAAGTCAGTGTAACCATGAGCTCTAATCTCACCCTACCCGTCGCTCATCACAGTAAGTCACCACCTCTCTGTTCTAGAGTACTGAACGTGTTGAAAAGTAGCGGGGTGTCTGAATCGTGACTATTAACAACCCAGACCATTTCAAATGGCGATTATCATTCCTGCATGCACCCTTATCATTATCTTAGCCAGCGTCTGGATAGTGAAACAACGATATCAGGCCGCAAGACGGTTGCCCTTACCCCCTGGACCACCTGGACGTTGGTTATTAGGAAATGTGATGCCAAAGTCATAGTAAGTCATTGTGAAGGGACACCAACATGATCCCTATCTAACCCCTCACGCAGTGCGCCGTTTCAATTCGCAAGATGGACAGAACAATACGGACCTGTATTTTCGCTCAAACAAGGCAATAAGATTGTGGTGGTTATAGGACGTCATCAGGTCAGCGTCAAACAATTCATTATCTAGCCAGGCATGAAGTAGATCACGCCACAGGCTGCAGTGGATATCATGGAAAAAGAGGGAGCAAATGTTGCCGACCGCCCACGTTCCGTTTCGGTGCACGAGACGATGTCTGGCGGGTTCAGAGTGATCCTTGAGGGCAGTACTGAGAGATTGCGCCGGATGCGCAGGTACGCATCCTGTCTCTACTAGGTGCAACCAATGAGACTAAATGCAAAGCAGGGTCTTGCATGCAAACTTGCAACCTAAGGTTGCGGAAACCTATGAGCCCATGCAGACCAGACATGCGAAGAATGTGGTTCTAGATATCTTAAATGATCCAACGAACCACCAGAAACATGCCATGCGGTATGAACACAAACTATTAGTCGCGGTACAGGTGATAATCCGAAGATTTCAGTTATTCAGCTTCCGTGATCATGTCCTTCGCTTATGGAAAGATTACTTCGACTTCATATACAGATCCTGAAGTCGTTGCCATCCATAAGTTTTCTGCGCGTTTTGGTCAAGCTATGAAGCCGGGAGCATATCTTGTGGATGCGTATCCAATCCTGCGTTTCGTACCAGGCTACCTGAGTCAGCTGAAGGCATGGCACAAAGAAGAACTTGCTTTCTATACCGGGCAGTTAGACGCAGTGCGAAGACAGATGGTTCGTGATTTTCTCGTGATGATAGATATGCTCGCTCACCACTGTGAAGCGCGAGGGGACTGCACAGCCATCCTTTGCGAGGTTCATGATAGAGCACCAGAAACAGTACCAGCTCGGAGACAAGGAAATGGCATTCCTTGCAGGAGTGATATTTGGGGCCGGTGCTGATACGGTAAGTTCTTGCATTGCATCGCGTCTTCGCTCGACAATTTTTGTAGACTGCGTCCGCAATCACATTTATGATGATGGCCGCTGCCACTCATGCAGATGCGCAGGCTCGCGTACAAGAGGAACTCGATAACATCGTGGGGCGTACGCGACGTAGGTTATGGCTTTTCTTTGTTCGTCTACTGACTGAGATGGCTCCTGATTAGTGCCGACGTTTGCTGATCTGGAAATGCTGCCGCAGGTTACCGCTTTCATGCTCGAGAGTCTCAGGTGGAGACCTGTCACTCTCGGAGGTACGTCTTATTTGAGTTGCGATGACGCGATATTGAACGACCACCTTGCACTACAGGCATTGCGCATTGCGCGATTAAGGACATGATTTGGAACAACTACCTCATTCCGGCAGGTGCTACTGTCATTGGCAACCATTGGTCAGTACGCAATCATTTTCGTCCTGTCACCTTTGGGTCTGACGCTCGTGTTTCAGGGCTATCGCAAACGATCCTGAAGTCTTTCCAGAACCACAGACGTTCAATCCTCAGCGTTGGATCGACGATGCAGGTCGTGTGCGCGGTGATCTCCGGTTTTTCCCTTTTGGCTTTGGCCGTCGGTGAGTGGCATCGTTCATCTCTCGACCATTTCTTATGCCTTACTTAACAATGTCAGAGTCTGTGCAGGTCAGCATGTCGCGAATCGGTCTGTCTTCATCAACACGGCTCTTACTCTGTGGGCTTTCCGCCTTTCAGAGAATCCTGCGGCGAAGATCGACACGCTTGCATTCTCGGACACTGCAAACGTACATATTGCTCCGTTTGAGATATGTTTTGCGAAGAGGATCGATGAGAACGTGATCAGGGAACTATGCGCACCGGGCAAATAAGAGGCGTTCATTCTAGAAACCTGAATCTTCGTGCAAAGGAGTCCGTCTTGCGTTATGGAGTCTTTTCGTTGTCTGTCCGACTCAAACTCATCGTTACACCTAACTTTGCATATCTTCTCACAGCCACGATTGCAATCATGAACTGGTTCCCCTTGGTGTTACCACGCATCGCGTATCTCTCGATACACTGCGATAGTCTCCAAGTTGCGTGGCTGATCGTGAGCCGTTTACAGACAGCCCTCGGACAAAATGAAGTATGGCACTGAAGTGCTTACCTTTTACCATTCAATCATTTCGCCACCCCGCATGCGCTTTCTTTTTCTAGCTGGCCGAAACGGAAAACAGGCAGCAGACTACTTGACTTTGCTCTCAAAGTTGACACGAGTTTCAGTGTGTGCTTCCCAGTCTCATGGTTCCGGTCAAGGTAGTCTTTAACACGACTGACAGCCCCATCAGCTGTAATTTTTATACCTTCACTTCGAGGCACCTCCGAAGATGTGGCACGTGTCAACAATAAGCCCTATATCACGTGGTGTCTGAGTTGGTGATGATATTCTTGAGCGAAAACCTATAGCCCTTGGCCGGGGCCCCTTGCATGAGTTGATCCCGGTTACCTCCGTCGTCATGCGGAAAGGATACATTCGCATGTTCATCTCCTGGTTGAGGGCCATTATCAAAACGACTGCACTTGAATCATACAGGACTCTTCTCTCTATTCTCATGCGGTTGATCCCACACTGTCCGAGTCAATATGTCGTGAATTTTCGCGAGCGGCCCGGTTTAGCAATGAGCTCTCAGTCAGTGGCCAGCCAACCCGAGCCGGCGCCTTCTGTGAGCCTTGCAGTGCCATTACTACCTGAGGCAGCTTTGCAAACCCAAGAATCCCAACCTGGAATGAACGTTCATATGCCAATTCCAGGGCCCTACGGAGGGATAAATATCAACGTCACAACTCATGGTATACAATCTCCCGGGAGCTCTGCTGTGCTGTTTATGCCAATTTCTATTCCCGAGCCCAGCATCCCTGTGGCTGTCGCGATGTCATCTTCTTCCACGATGCTAGGATAGATATAGATTGTTGATATCTCTCTGACTCCCATTGTCCCCGGCCCACAGGTCAAACGATACGACAGGCATGTTCCCATGTACGCAAATTATACTATGTTGAGTGAGCTGCTGTTTGAATCCATACTCTCAGAAAGTGTTCCAAGTCATTTAAGGTTAAGAAAGGTCTATTGGACTGTTCAGAGTACACATGCCGGTGAAAGAGCCAATGATAAGATTGAAATATTCCACGTAGGGAGCTTGCTGCAGTAGAAGGATAGGAGCCGCTCATGCACCTGGAAGGCGCCTTGTTCTTCTATCAGTCATGTGCAGTGTGTCAGCAGATTCCAACCGTACCACAGATACTTGAGAAGCACATCAAGCGCAGTTAGCTCTCGCCACGGTCTCGACTGAGGGTGACTGACATTCTGTAAACACATACACCCCATACCACACAAAGCGCTATATCGCATGATCATACAAATACAGTTCCACATCCTGAATCTACCCCAACAAACATTACAAGAAACCTTCACAGCCCAGACACTTCCACTCCTCTCCTCTCTGAAGCATCATTGATCATGATGATGTGTTGCACTGCGCAACATTAAGGTCTAGCTGAAAACAAGCGGATCAGCAGGAGTGCTGCCTCAATGTGACGGTGAAACATATGCAGACGATGATTTAGAGCAATTTCAAGAACAGCTTCGATGAACTCTGCCTTCGCAGATTCTTTTTCTTTTGCCTTCCTCTTGAAAGATTCAAACGGCAACTTCTTTATCCAAGAAGGCAGTTTTCCTTGATATGGATAGATGGCAGTCCTCATAGCTTCTTCATATGCCTGGACGGCAGCACTCACAGCTTCCCTGACAGTAGCTGCATGTGGGGATGTCATGTACTGCTCGAGAGTGACATGAAACAAGGGATCAGACTCCTTCTTGTCCTGAAGATAGCGCCGCTTGTCAAAAATGTAGAAAGAGTGTTCGAAGATAATGACACCAGCTAAATGGTCAATAATAAGCAGGTTCATCACAACATAGCCTCAAAATTCACCAGGAATGAGCTGAACGATATCCTCCAAGGGTGATGAGTGGGAGGCCTGACAGAGTCCCAACATGAGACATTTGTGCACAATCTGTAACCAATTAGACATACCACAGAGAGTAACCTAGACTGTATCTCTACACAGTGATCGTTGCCAAGCTCTTCCTATTGATGGATCAGCGATGACATTCACTAGCAAGGCTTGAGACCCACTCTCTATTGAAGGATGCATGATTTCAATGGTAAGCAAACCTCGAACTTGTTGGAGGATCAGCACACTGACTTTCTGGCAATGGATGAGCAATGCCATCGGCGAAGAAAGCTAGAGCTCGATTGAGGATGAGGATCGAGAAACTCACAAACTGTCAACAGATCAGTAATGTAGTCGGTGAGCAAGACTCGAGCTCAATGGCGGATGAACACACTCATGAACTGTCAACAGGGATGAGCAGTTTCAATGGTCAGTGGGGTCCCAATTCGACTGTGGATCAATGCGCTTACATCCTGTGAATGGATGGTCGATGTCTTCAGTCAGCATGGCTCGTGTTTGATGGTGGATCGAGAAACTCACAATCTGTCAACCGAGCGGTATTGTGTTTGGTCAGTGAGGGCGATGTAGAATCAATACACCCACATCCTAACAATAAATCAGCAATTGCATCAGTAAGGAAGGCAGGAGGTCGACAGAGGATAATTACACTCACAAGCTGTCAATGAATAGACGATGTCTTAGATCAGTAGCTGAAAGTTGCTGGAGGATCAATGTACTGACCTGCCAATAGATGGTCAATTGCATTGGTCAGGAATGGTTGAACTCAACAAAGAGTCAATGGACTCACATCCTGTGAATGGTGGGCAATGACTTGGATCAGCATGGCTGTTGCTCGAATGAGGATCGACACACTCACATACTGCGAACGGTGGGCAATGACTTGGATCAGCATGGCTGTTGCTCGAATGAGGATTGACACACTCACTTGCTGCGAACGGTGGGCAACGACTTGGATCAGCATGGCTGTTGCTTGAATGAGGATCGACACACTCACTCTCTGTGAATGGTGGGCAATGACTTGGATCAGCATGGCTGTTGCTCGAGCGAGGATCGACACACTCACTCCCTGTGAACAGTGGGAAATGACTTGGATCAGCATGGCTGTTGCTCGAATGAGGATCGACACACTCACATACTGCGAACAGTGGGCAACGACTTGGATCAGCATGGCTCGAGTTCGAACAAGGATTGACACATGTACTACCTGCAAGTAAACACCCAATGTAAATGAGAGCAATGTTCGAACTTTATGGTAATCTTACATGAATGTGTGGAAACCAGGTGCCCAGTGACCCTATTATCCTCTGATAACCCTCAGATGTTGTTGTCTCTACAGAGTCAAAATGGTTTGAGAGTGTTCTGTGCAATATCAATCGTTAATGCTTGCGGCAGGTGAATGAGACCATGGGTAGTTACCGCTCAACTGCATATTTCATGCAGATCTCCAAGTTGCTTTGCTGGGTTGAGACGAATAATTGCTGAAGTACTTCATTATCCAGAGTTCCAGCCGTGTGCTCGATGAGTGTCTTGCAATCTGCATCATCCTTCTTCATGTCTAATAGATTAAAGGTCATCATGTATTGTGACTCGACCACAAACCGGCTTACTAGAAAGGCATACATAACATTTTGGGGGCCATCACACATCCTTGAGAAACTTCAATTGTGGCCTGTTAGGGAATGACGGTTCGGCTTGTTTCGGGGCCAGTTACTTAGCGTCTTTCCAAGATCTTCCTTCCTTCCTTAGCTTTGCATATTCGACATCGTATAGGGCATCAAATTTGGTGAACAACACGATCACTGGAACTGAGGATTGTGATTCTGCGTATCAGCTGAACATCAATGAGGGTGGAATGTGAAAGCTTACTGCTTCCTGTGTCGCATTGAGAGAAAAATTTGTTTTCACCTGCAGTGAAAGACCTACTGGCCTCGTCCATGGGAATGCAGTACCTATGTTGAATCTGTGAGATGGCACATTGTCACAATTGATCGGTTGCAATTACCAGATAGCATGTAGTTGATTCTTTATTTGCATTTCCTTGGAGCGGCTTGCGATGAATGCCTTGACCTTTTCAAATTCGGATATGCTGCCTGCCTCGAAACCGCATGAATCATGGAACATGAACCCTGGGTTGCTCTTGAACACCATTTCATTTTCGATGTCATGCAGTCCACGCTGAGAGCACGTCAGTTCATGGCATCGACTAGGAGCACACCTTACCTCTCTAGATGCCATTAAAACTGTAAGGTCAATCTAATGTCGATGGGTCACTACCATACTCCTACTAGCAGTGTGACGCCCGCAGGCCATACTGTGAGAATGATACATCAAATCCCTATAACTTATAGTAAAACTGTGATACATTAATTACTGTAATCCATAGGCACCTATAATTTATAGGGCTGATATATCACTGGAGGATCATTTGAAGAAGCCACCTTCGGGCTGGATCAGTTCCCTGGACCTGGACCCTGCCTTCATTTCACCATCAATGCTTCTTTCGGTTACTAATGTGATTGGTTCTGATCTAGAATCTTCTTCTCGGACAATTCCGCCATGCCTTCATTCTCTATTGAATCAGCTGCAGATGGTCCGTGCTTTCACCTGTCCTTCTCATGCATCGGGCTAGCTGGCTTTCTCATCCTCTATCATTGAAGGTGCTACATTTACGCACTCTTACTGGGATTCAGAATTTGTTGCAGCTGGTCATAAAACGGTGACCAGTGGTGACTGTCACAGTGCGCCAGATGTTCCACAACTTGTGCTGCATGCCAATACTTACCTGACTTTCCTCATAGTTTTTTTTCTGTTTCACTCTTGCAAAGGGAAAGGTGCATATATCATCATAGTATATCTAACATATTCACATTTAGTAGCTACTGTATTCTGTGTGTACTGTAGTTGTGATATCAGAATTGTAGTTGAATCTGTCCCGAAGTTGTGGCTGTGATACTTGGTTCAAACGCATGCATCGTTGAACACTTCTGTTACCAGTACAATGTCAACACAACAACAACGTTGCAACAACATTCCAAAACCTCTCCTAGTTTCACATGGAAATATATCATGATGTCAGTGTCTTGGTGAGTCTTTTGTTGCTGCATTACAAACCTTTTATTATTATTGATGTACTATGTACATTCAATGTTGTATTTTTGTGCTGTTCACCACACCCTTGCTCCACCTGCCGCCTTGTCGTAATACCCTCCCTGTGCCCAACTACACTATCCTCAATTCCATTGTCCTGCCAAAACCTCGCACCTGAACTATCTGGCACTGTCTAGCTTGCGGTAACATGTTGGTCTACTCTCCTGGATGACGACCTGGAGGCTCTTGAGACTGAAAAAGTGGAGATCTAAGAGACATTGGAGTTGGTCATTGCTCTAGCAGGTGCATTACAGGTCTTTTTGTTGACTTTTCTTTATCTCATTATTGTTTTACCTTTTTCATGCACATGTCGCACGAGCTTTCACTGGTCCTCCTAGCATCCCCTTGCTCCCCATCGGGTGCTCAAACCTGCTAGAGGTCAGCGCTTCAAGTGTCTCAGTGACATCACGCTCTCAGAAGGCTGGTCTGCATCAGCACTCTTCATTGGAAATCGCTCCGTTCTTATAATACTATGTAGACATGTGAGAGCCTACCAGTAGTAAGTATGATATTCACACTGTATAGACATGTATAGACACAGACACGCAAAGCACCGTGGAAAAGCATGCAGATTGATACTATATATGAGCTCGCTGTTGCAGACGACAAGCACAAGTGTGGCACCACAGCATTGAAGCTTCTATGAATAGTTACTAAATCAGCTCAAAATGAGATTCAATCACAGATCCTCAATCGATGACAGGAATGGAATAACATGGTGTTGGCTGAGGGAGAACAAATCCTATATTGGGTGGATGAGAGGGACTGTAATCAATAGTAGAATGATGTATCAGACTGCCCTATGACTCGTAGTAATTAATGTATCAGGGTTCTGCTATAACTATAGGGACTGATACATCAATACCACAGGGACAGGTGGACGCCCACCTTTTCCCCGGTGCTGTTGTAGATTTCTGGATTATCCCGTGTGTTGCAAACTCTCTGCAGGATGGTGGTTTTTCCTGTGTTCACTCTTCCTATAACGAGAATTTGAAAGTGACTGATTTTCTTTCTTATCCTTGCAGGATCCATGATGGTGGAAGTGGTAGTAAATGTGAGTTGCGGAGAAGCATTGGTGCAGCCTTAAATCATTGCAGTGTGTGCACATACTGCAGTGAATCATACCTGTATCTTACGGTCAGCCCAATGTGACAATTGCCCATACCATATGGGCCATCCCATGTGGGCCCAAGGGCATATTTTAGAGGTAATATACGGCTGGGCCCATGAATATATTGTAGAGGTAATATATGGCTGGGCCCATGAGTGTATTGTAGATGTAAATATGGCTGGGCCCATAGTGCTAGTTGGCCTCTCGGCTGGTCTACTATATGGTCTCTTGGCTGGCCATGAAATTAAAATTTTGGCCAGTCTATATTGAGTCTCGGCCATGATAATAAAACATTGGCTGGTCCATATGGTGCCTTGGCCAGCCATGACACCAAAATGTCGGCCAGTCCATATGGTACCTTGGCCAGCCATGACACCAAAACATCGGCTGGTCCATATGGTGCCTCAGCCAGCCATGATACCAAAACATCAGCCAGTCCCTATGGTGCCTCGGCCAGCCATGACACCAAAATGTTGGCCGGTCCACTGTATGGTACCTCGGCCAGCCATGACACCAAAACATTGGCCAGTCCCTATGGTGCCTCGGCCAGCCATGACACCAAAATGTTGGCCGGTCTACTGTATGGTACCTTGGCCAGCCATGACACCAAAACATCGGCCGGTCCACTGTATGGTACCTCAGCCAGCCATGACACCAAAATGTCGGCCGGTCCACTGTATGGTACCTTGGCCAGCCATGACACCAAAACATCGGCCAGTCCATATGGTACCTTGGCCAGCCATGACACCAAAACATCAGCCGGTCCATATGGTACCTCACCAGCCATGACACCAAAACATCGGCCGGTCCATATGCTCCCTTGGCCAGCCATGACACCAAAACATCAACCAGTATGAAAACAACAATCCTACTGGGCAGCAGGAAAATGTTGGGTCTTGCTAGAAAAAGAGTGAAAGAGACACTCCAAGCCAATGTCACCCAGCTGAGTTCCAGGAGCTAAGTAGTGAGCTGAAGAAGCTACAACTAGGAAAGTTACAACTAGGGAATGCTACTAAATAACGGGGAGCCATCAAGAACTGGAAACTGGGGAAATCAGGCAATAACCATAGAGTCCTAGGCGAAGGTAGAAGATGATTATATAAGCAGCAAAATGCAGACATAATCTAAGGAAAGTGTCAGGAAAAGATGCTATGTAAACACCCTCAATTGCCACCCAGTGGAGAGTTGAGTGTCATATCTCATGGGGGCTTTGAATACTAATTGTCCCCAGTCAGTCCATCACCAAGAAACAGAAAAGACTGCCAAGGAAAGTGCAAATGGTGAATATCTTCAGTCAAAATCACCTTCTCCAACCACTGAATCTCTCCACCAAGTCTAGCAAAACACCCATCTACTCTCTCTGCAACTTCCTCAAGATGGTTAAGGATGGGATGGAGGATAGAATCCAAGGTGGGCATGGATGAGGGCTGAGAAGCAGGAGATGGAGGAGGAATGGATGAAGGAGGAGCAGGGAGTGGTGTCTGAGTGTCCACAGACTGGCCAGCATTTTGGTGTCATGGCTGGCCAAGGGAGCATACGGACCGGCCTGATGTTTTAGTGTCATGGCTGGCTGAGGGACCATATGGACCGACCTGACATTTCAGTGTCATGGCTGGCAGAGGTACCATATGGACTGGCTGATGTTTTAGTGTCATGGCTGGCGAGGTACCATATGGACCTGGCCGACATTTCAGTGTCATGGCTGGCAGAGGTATCCATATGGACCAGGCCAACATTTTGGTGTCATGGCTGGCTGAGGCACCATAGGGACCGGCCTGATGTTTTGGTATCATGGCTGGCCGAGGCACCATATGGACTGGCCTTTGCATAGATTAGTCAGTAGGGGTAGAGCCTTTGGGCATTGTCATAGGTAGCATTATTATTAGGTCAAGGCCACACCAGCTTCCATCTGCCAGAGGCAGGCACATTGCCAGCCATTCCAGTCCAATGGCTGGCTGAGGACCTATATGAACCAGCCGATGTTTTGGTGTCATGGCTGGCCTGAGGTACCATGTGGACCGGCCGATGTTTTGGTGTCATGGCTGGCCGAGGTACCATGTGGACTGGCCAACATTTTGGTGTCATGGCTGGCCGAGGCACTATATGGGCCAGCCGAGAGGATAACTAGCATCATGGGCCCAGCTGTATATTACATCTATAATATTACCTATGGGCCCAGCTGTATATCATATCTACAATTTATCCATTGGCCCACAGGTATACTACTCAACTAGTATGGGCCCAGCCGAGACTCACGAGTATTGTCAATGATGGGCCCAGCCATATGTTACGGCTACAATTGCCCATGGGCCCATCTGGGATGGCCCATATGGTACGGGTGATTGTCACATTGGGCTGGCTGTAAGATACGGACTATTTCACTGAATGGGCTCGTGTGTGAACCTGACAAATACCCAACCCTAAGCCCGCATCTAGATTTAGTCTTGGGCAATGGGCAATGTTTTCAATATAGGAGAGCTGTGTACTACCATGAGGCGTACAAAGTGTGTTGGCACTTTAGGGTTTCAATTCATATTTGAAATTGGTTGACTGTCGCAAGTGTGGGAGCTTGTAGTACTTGCTCGGGCCTATGATCATAATCCGGCTACGCTCGACACACTAGCTGAACTTTTTGCCAGAGACGTTGCATCCATCATTAGACCAGTTTGATGGTGAGCTGTTGTGCCGAGTCCAAGTATTTGTTGGCCACCTGTTTGCACAAGTTTCCGGTCAGGCCTGCAATGCGACTAAAAGACAGACAGTTCCTTCATTTACCCTTGAAAAGACTCAACCATGGGTGCTCATGCCAGTATACGTGGTGGATCTCAATGAGTCTCCGACTCATATGATATATCACAATGCTTTTTATGAGTCCGACTGCACAGTGTTAGCCAGAAGCCCGATGGGCGATATTATTATTGATATCGCTGTGCACCATGAGGCAACCCTGTGCAATGCTGAGGTTGTACACGACAAGACCAACGATATTTGAAATTACTAGTTCGCAAGCGGAGTGTGGAGTTGGTTAGAAGTTGAACTTCGTGCAGTGGCTGTGCGGCATGTGGGTTCTCTTCTCTGCCTACTAGGTACCCCACAGCGCCCATTGGCAGATTAATTCTAGCAAGCTCTGGTGCCCTGTCCTCCATTCGGATTTTCTTTTCTGCTACAAACTCCGGTAAGCTCCAACGGCCCAGATCGTTTTGTGCAACGAAGACAAGTCTGGTGTGGAAGCCGGTCACGAGTAGCACTGGCACACTGACTCTCAAGCTCACTCGTGTAGGAAGTGAAATCTCGTCAGGTCCCTCACCGCAAAACCTGATAAGGGGAGGAATCATCCACCCAGTCACTATGACACCTTCTACCATTGGCAAGCGTGATCACCGTCCTTGCAAAGACCTGCTGCCGTGCGCATGTCGATTCCCGCACTTTCGTGGACGCGGATACTTGTATTGACGCAGGCGCTTGCACCGACGCGAACTCCTGCACTGACGTGGATGCCCGCACTTATGCTCACACGGATGCCTTCTTACTACTTTTGCTACTAACTGTCTCATGTAGCCTCACCTCGATGCGTCCCCTTGCGGGCTCCTACAATTGAGGGTTTCAACGTTTATTTTGGTGCGTCGCATTCACTCCTACTAATGTGGGAATAACAGCTCACCTCGGCTCACTCTTGCACAGGTGAGGATCACTATCAGGGCCCTGCTTCCAACCAAGCAGACATTTTTCTCGTTCTCAGTAACACAACCACATAAGAGCACCTACACAGTCTGTATCTACTAGTAAGCACTCCATTCATAAATCATACGCACAGATCGATGAAAGCTAACAAGTCACCATGTCCAACGAAGATGAAGCAGAAAAGTTTAGGCGATTCTCTGCTTCCATCCTCTCCAATCTCACCACGAGCACCTGTGAAGAGACAGGTAAAGCGGAAGCACAAGGTTCTAGGCTCGTGGAAGGTCCCGCATGTCGTTGCAGGTGTTGCAAGGGATTTTTGAGCCAATGATATCTCGTCATATGAGAATGGATCCAGGTTCTTGAATGATGACCATTTTTACCTCGAACGCATGCATGTGCAGCATCCGTTCCACCATCATGATGTGGGGCATTGTGGACCCGGAAGTCCTCATCACGAATATTGCAAGAGTCCTGTAGATGTGGTGATATCTTGAGACTCAGCCGCCCTCGCCGTGAGATCACACCTGAGGCCTGAAGCTTTAAAGACCTGAAAGGTCCATTTTTCAATTACTTACATTTCCAGATCGACAGCATAGTTTTAACATACGGGGGGAGTAGGAGAAAATATATATAAAACTGAGACATACGAAAAGGTTGGTTCGGTCGGGGATGGCTTGATTGTGCCCGTCGTCCGACGTCACTCATCTCCGGGTGCGTGCGTTCTCTCAGACTCCAACATGAACGTACATAAACAAGATGTTTGCGGAGAACCGTAGAAGATAAGTTGTTACAGGATTGAAGGACAGGGATGTTCTGTAGGAGCAGGCTGTGCGAATTGAATTCACCTTTGAAGTGCCGAGTAAGAATTAAGCCAAGGATGTCACATAGCTTAAGATGCTTCAGCGTAGGTGCTTCGAACTGAAGGGAGAGAAAGTATAGCTGATGGGGCTGTCACCCGCGTCAAAGACTATCGTGACCGGAACCATGAGACTGGGAAGCACACCATGAAACACGTGTCAACTTTGAGAGCAAAGTCAAGTTGTCTGCTCGTCATTTGAGCCAGCTAGAAAAAGAAAGCGCATGGGTGGTGGTGGAATAATTTAATGGTAAAATGATAGCACTTGAGTACTATACTTCATTTTGTCTGGGGGCTGTCTGTAAATGGCTCATGATCAGCAACGCAACTTGGAGACTATCGCGGTGTATCGAGAGATACTTGATGCGTGGTAACACCAAGGGGTGCAAGTTCATTATTATAATCGTGCCTGTTTGAAGATATACAAAGTTAGGTGTAACGATGAGTTTGAGTCGGACTGACAACGAAAAGACTCCAAAAACGTCCTATAACTACGAAAATCCTATGGCCTTGCTTGAGCGAGAACACAGGTCCATACTGTTCTGTCCACCTCGCGAATTGAAACGGCGCACTGCGTGAGGGATTAGAGATTAGATAGAGATCGCGTTGGTGTCCTTTGACAAAAGACTCACTGTGACTTAGGCACCGTATTTACTAATAGCCAACGTCCAGGCGGTCCAGGCGGTAAATGCAACTCCCTTGCGGCCTGGTATCGTCGTTTCGCTATCCAGATGCTGGCTAAGATAATGATAACGGTGCATGCGGGAATGATAATCGCCATTGAAATGGTCTGGCTTGTTGATAGTCACTATTCAGACACCCTGCTACTTTGCAATACGTCAAGTATCCCAGAACAGAGAGGTGGTGACTTACTGTGATATGCGACGGGTACGGTGAGATTAGTGTGCACGATTACACCGACTTATATTTATACAAAGACGGGTTGAACACCTGCGCGGATGAATCGGACCTGTGCGAGTCACGTATTACGGTCTTCCTATGGTATAAGAACCTGATGCTGACCATCCTGATTCCTGGCGATGATATGTTAGTAGCGGACGCGCGTGTTTCAAGACAATTCGACTCCACCTGAAGATTAAGGTAGATCTTCATGTCGTTCTCGATGACCCGTTGGATTGCTGGTGCCACAGGACCGTCGACCGTTAGGTTTACAAAATATTGTAATCATGATGGAGCTCGACTCGATCGGGCCACTCAGCTGAAGTAAAGTGTGTCATCATTCTAAAAATAGAACTTTGTACAGGGCATCAAGCTTCTTGCATTAGTAATTAGGTTATCAGTTCGGAGTACAAATTTTTATTTCAGAATACTGAACTTCCGCCGAGTCGACCTCCATTATAATATTCTGTGAACCGACGATCCTGTGCCACGATCAATATAACGGGTCATCGAGAACGACATGAAGATCTACCTCAATCTTCAGGTGGAGTCGAAATGTCTTGGAACACGCGTGTTCACTACTAACTTATCACCAGGGTGGTCATCAGGTTCCTACTATACTAGTATAGGGAGACCGCAATGCGTGAGTCGCACAGGTCCGATTTATCCGCGCAGGTGTTCAATCCGTGTTTGTATAAATATAAGTCAGCGTAATCATGTACACTAATCTCACCGTACCCGTCGCACTGACTCGCACATCACAGTAAGTCACCACCTCTCTGTTCTGGGCTACTTCGTGTTGCAAAGTAGCAGGAGGTCTGAATCGTGACTATTAACAAGCCGGACCATTTCAATGGCGATTATCATCCCCGCATGCACCGTTATCATTATCTTAGCCAGCATCTGGATAGTGAAACAACGATGCCAGGCCGCAAGACGGTTGCCGTTACCCCCTGGACCACCTGGACGTTGGCTATTAGGAAATGCGATGCCGAAATCATTGTAAGTCATTTTCAAGGTACACCAGCATGATCAGGATCTCTATCTAACCCCTCCCGCAGTGTGCCGTTTCAATTCGCGAGATGGACAGAACAGTATGGACCTGTGTTCTCGCTCAAACAAGGCCATAGGATTTTCGTGATTATAGGACGTCATCAGGTCAGCATAAAACAATTCATTGTCTATCCAGGCATGGAGTAGATCACGTCACAGGCTGCAGTGGATATCATGGAAAAAGAGGGAGCAAATCTTGCCGACCGCCCGCGTTCTATTGCAGTGCACGAGACGTTGTCTGGCGGGTTGGGAGTGGTGCTTGAGGGCTCTGGTGAGAGATTGCTCCGGCTGCGCAGGTACACATCTTGTCTATACCAGGTGCGATCAGTGAGACTGAATGTAATGTAGGGTCTTCCATGCAGGTTTGCAACCCAAGGTTGCGGAGACCTACGAACCCATGCAGACCAGGCATGCGAAAAATCTGGTTCTAGATGTCTTGAATGATCCAAAGAACCACCAAGGTCATGCCATGCGGTACGAACACCAGCTCTTGCTTGCGCGGTACACGTCGTAATCCGATCATTTTAGTTATTCAGCTTCTGTGGCCATGTCCTTCATCTATGGAAAAATTACTCCGACTTCATATACAGATCCTGAAATCGTTGCCATCAATAAGTCTCTTGCGCGTTTTGGTCAAGCTATCCAGCCGGGAGCATACCTTGTGGATACGTATCCAATCCTGCGTTTCGTCCCAGGCTACTTGAGTCAGCTGAAGGCATGGCACCAAGATACTCTGGCTCTTTTTAATGGGCAGCTGGACGCGGTGCGAAGACAGATGGTTCGTGATTTTTTGTAATGACAAATATCCTCGCTCACCAACATGAAGCGTGAGGGGACTGCGAGGCCATCATTTGCGAAATTCATTGTAGAGCACCAGAAACAGTACCAGCTCGAAGATCAGGAACTGGGATACCTTGGAGGAGCGATATTTGGGGCCGCTTTTGATACGGTAGGTTCATACATTCCATCACGTCTTAAGTTTACAACTGTTGTAGACTGCGTCCGCAATCACATTTATGATAATGGCTGCTGCCATTCACAGGGATGCGCAGGCTCGCGTACAAGAGGAGCTCGATAACGTCGTGGGGCGTACGCGGCGTAGGTTATGCCTCTTCTTTGTTCGTCTACTGACTCAAATAGCTCCTGATTAGTGCCGACATTTGATGATCAGGAAATGCTGCCGCAGGTCACTGCGTTCATGCTCGAGAGTCTCAGGTGGAGACCTGTCACTCTTGGAGGTACGTCTTATTTGAGTTGTGATGACGCGATAACGAACGACCACCTTTCACTGCAGGCTTTGCGCATCGCGCGACTAAGGACATCATTTGGAACAACTACCTCATTCCTGCAGGTGCGACTGTTATCGGCAACCATTGGTCAGTAGGCAGTCATTTTCGTCCTCTCACCTTTGGGTCTGATGCTCGTACTTCAGGGCTATCGCAAATGATCCTGAAGTCTTCCCGGAACCACACAAGTTTAATCCTCAGCGTTGGATCGACGATGCAGGTCGCGTGCGCGGTGATCTCAAGTTTTTCACTTATGGCTTTGGCCGTCGGTGAGTGGTATCGTTCATCTCTCGACCTTTTCTTATGTCTTACTTAACAATGTCAGAGTGTGTCCTGGTCAGCATGTCGCGAATCGGTCGGTCTTCATCAACACGGCTTTCATTTTGTGGGCTTTCCGCCTTTCGGAGAATCCTGCAACGAAGATTGACACGCTTGCATTCTCGGACACCGCAAACATACATGCTGCTCCATTTGAGATATGTTTTGCCAAGAGGATCGATGAGAATGTGGTCAGGGAACTATGCGCACCGGGCAAATAAGAGGCGTTTATTCTAGAAACTTGGATCTTTGTGCAAAGGAGTTTGTCTTGCGTTCTGGAGTCTTTTCGTCGTCTATCCGACTCAAACTCACCGTTACACCTAACTTTGTATATCTTCAAACAGGCACGATTATAATAATGAAATTGCACGTGTTACCACGCATCAAGTATCTCTCGATACACTGCGACATCAGACATTCAATGATGAAATGATATAGGCATATAAATAATTATATTAAGTAAAATACAAACAATAAGTGTAACAATGATAGGTCACATTATTAAGTCTTACATTGTAGGATAGACATGGCAGAACTTGCCAAATATACAAGAATGAGACATCACTTGTCGAGGTGCCATCAAAGGAACATAGATTGCTAACATAACATCTAGTATTACAATCGTGACACATATGTGGACCGTACTCCCTTGAATTATAATGGATGCTTACCTTTACTGAACTCATAATTGTCATCGTGGTGACAAGGATTTTAGGGGAACATCTGGAAGGCAAAACAGGTAAGCTTCGCAATTGTGATGCCCTGTTGACTCTAGTGACTAAGTATATAATGAATGCTTATGTTTATGTAGCATATGAAATTGACATCAAAAAGACTAGTATTGCATAGGCATGTCTAAATGTTATCATTCTTACAAGTACCGGCCACAAATACACTTATGATCAGCAACATGATCATTGGCAAGAATCTCAAAATGATACATACTAAATCTGTAGTGACAGACTGACAACATAATTCACCAAGATGCTATTATCACAGCATGAACACCTTGATTGCTACAATTGATAAAAATATACACAGATGAGGTATTTACTATGATTCACTTTCGGTCTGGAAGCTGGGCATAATCTTGGTGTCACAAGCAAGTCGTATGTGTTGTGGCAAGATTACTGAACGTTCTCTAGCAGTAAGGTACAATCAACTATCATGTGCCAACAGTATGCTACACACTGCCCCCATCACCATCAGTCACTGAAAGCTCCTTCATTTGTGCTCGCTTCTCCCGAATTCTTGCCAGCGCACTATTCTTCATGAGAGGACGTTGAGCGGTTGAGTATGAAGGGAAAATTTGCCTAGAAAACGTGAGAATCCGAATCAGCGGAATAAAACAAGGCATCAATCACCTGTTCCACCAAATGGCAAGGTCATCCACTTCTTGCTTCTCATCCGAGTCTTCAAAAATATCAAAAATGGAATTATAGAACCTTTCAGAGTCGGTAACTGTGTCTGTATGCGAAAACACAGGCGATGAAGTGAGGGTGAATCGGACCTGGAATGAATGTTCATTTAGTATAAATGTACGGATCCAAAGTGCGAACAGACCTGCATTGCAATATATGTGATGGAGGGCAATGTGACTCAGGTCATCCCGTGGATCCGAGCATTACCTGAACGAGTCGCCTTTGGTTCTTTGTCCACAGAACTGGGGGACGTAAAGACGTGTTTATATGCCTAAAAGTCTAGTTGAGTGCAAAGAAATTTGGAAGCAACGTAACATGTATATCATACACAAACTAGCAAGGCTTCGAAACAGACCGTTCCAAGGATCCTCAGGATCATAATGATAGTCTGCATACAAGAACAATGGCCATTGGTCTCTGGTTACGATGATTTCGCCATTCTTTAGTTTAGTTTTCATCCTGCATTCTATCAGTATTTACGTTAAGGAAATAGATGTCACGCACTTGGAGTTAGACCAGTTGAGGCCAGCAGGACAAAGTAATGCGCCTGTCCATTCATGATGAAAGCCACGGTCAATTTTCATGTTGTGAGCAAGAGGAGGAACGAGACTTTGTCCCTTTGGGGTAATCCAATCGAGCACACTTCCTTTGAGACTTTTAGTGTCATCACCCCTTGCTCCAGATGCGCCTTTGGTGAGCTGACGGTATGTGAGATAAATAGATAACTCTGAAAGACGTAGGACAATGTGATACTTACCAGCTCTGCAATGACATCAACCTCATCTTCACCGCCTTCGCTTTGCATCAAATGTTCTTCCAGGCCTGCCACAGACTTCAGAAGCTCTTGGAAAATACGATGTTCACGTCATTCCCTTGGTATACACATGTGAGTAAATAGCTGCACATAACTCTGGGGGAAAGTAAAATACTCGGCGGTGAAATTTTCTTCTGGAGTGTCAGCCAACTCTCCCATCCGTAAAATTCCGTTTGTAAGAAGGGCTTGGAAGTTGCATAAAGCATGGACGGTTCGGCCGAAATGATGACTGTAATGAACCAATGGGTCCGTCGCACTCCTGTAATACCATGATAATCGTTAGTAGCCGCATTGCTTCCCAAAAATATCAAGTCACCCACGGCCTTTTCCTGGGTCCAAGTTGTAAGGCATCAACCGGTTTACGACGTTGGCCGCAAGATTGCTGGTCCTGGGACATGACATGTTCAATAGCTGCGAGGCAGTATAAAAACTCCCACTATAACTGGGACTCTAAATGCTTTGGCTGCAGTGTTTGCTGCAGTTTGAGTGAACGACTGGAAATCTGTTTTAAGAGTTTAAGTTTAAAATAGCGACTTACAGTCAATTACGGAAGTACGAACTAGTATAGTCAGAGCACTAAAGTGAACATCTCACACATGGAGAGACATATGGAACCGAGAAGAATGCGATAGAACGTTCGATAATGCCAATGGACAGAATTTCACCAGTGCTGAATGTCGGTTGATCGAAAACGAGTTGAAAACGGATCTATATGGGATTCATAAATTAACGGTCAGGGCACTGAGTCAAAAGTTGTGCCAACTCACGAGTGTTGTGATATAAGCTACGGAAGGGACAGTAACCTTGCCACTGGAGTGAGTGACTGCATCGCCTTTGCCACGTCTTCTTGCTTGTGATGAATTCATTGCCATAGTGACTTGGTTCGCGAAATACGTGAGGATATTCTTACTATATGAAACGTGCTCAGCATCAAGTTGAAAGAAATGTGAGCGGGGACTAGCCTTATCGTTAGACAAGACAACATTACAAAGATGCGTAAATACTTGAAAATCACTGCTGAGTGAATGTTGTATGCAAGTAACTCAAGTCTTTGCCCTAATGATCTGCCAAGTGACGTTTGATATGAACAGAGGAGTTTCGGTTGCGTCGCTCGGTGATTGCTGAAGCGCTGAAAGGATGCTCCCGGGTGTAGTCTCGAAGCAAGGGAATCGCCGATTTCCGAAGCTGCGAATCATGTAATCTGGTGTGGAAGTTCCGGTTAATGTTTGCTCTAGATTTCGAGAGTTCTTAGCATTATTATCACAACAAGTGCCCGAACACGATCAACAGCGTGATTGAAATGCAAGTGGTAGTACATGTATAACGACATCATGATCATAAGCCCAAGATAAGATTGATGATGACAGAACAATCAAGACAAAGTCTGCGCGCTGTAGCACTCGGATTGGCATTGGGCTCGTATCCTGCCAAACACATAGGTATTCCACATACACATTCCTCGACACTCCATTTATCTTCCGAGAGTTCTGTGTGTTCGTCCGAGCCATCCGAAGGTCGTCCGTCCATTTCCGAGGCCTGTATACAGTTCCGATCCTCCATACCATGTCCCGTCCGTGTCCATTTGACTTCGCTGGTGCGTTTTCCACTTGGTTATCTGCTATTGATTATGTCTAGGGGCACATATGTTGTTGGCCCGTCGGTTACACGCATAACGAACACACCTTGCACCTTATTACATGCATATCTCTGTAGCGGCTCACCTTGAGTCTTATTACATTTCGGATGTCTTATCTCGCTACTAGTTTCGCCTACACAGTTTCCGGACTTTCACGCTGTAGGATATAATCTGCCTCGCTAGCTACTCGCACTTCACTTCACTTTCCCCCTGCTACGAGTCATAGTTAGTAGAGTCACTTTCAGATAGTCGTACTTCGCACAATCGATCTTTGTTCATTCGGAACGATTGTTTGGCCTGACCGCTGCCATTTCGCTCTTCGCTGTTTCTAAGTTCTCCTGATAGTCTTTGCTTAGTTATACTTCGCGAGGTCTTATACTTCAATACACCCGCCGTACTTCTCTCGGAACATTCGCTGTTCATTGGAAGCTCTTCGGACGCTTCGCGCAACCTTGGACCTTCGTTTCTAGACGTCGGACCACCTTCGGACCACTTCGGACAAGTACTTCGGTACTTTGGACATATCCTTGGAACACCGAGTGCACTCTTGGTAACTTTCCTTCTCTCACTTCGATCTTAACAAGATATCCCTTGCTTTATATCAAGGAGCATTTCTATAGGCAGTCTCTTTGGGACGAACATCTCACTTGCACTCTGAGTCTTAAGGTAACACTTTTGTAGCGCCCACATAGAATCAACTCTTTACAGCACCTTCAGCTTCAGTCCTAGGGCCCCGCTGTCTGTTTACCAAGTCCAGTGCCTGTCGACTGCACAATACATGTGAGACTGAATGACTGAAAAATCGAATCAAAACTATTTACAGGTCTTCCAGCCAGCCATTCGGGCCATCCCAAGTGTTGATCCATGAATTCAGCTCTTGGGCTTGCAAGTCCACGCTCGCATTCTGGCCGACGGTCCTGAGGATTTGCAGCTGGGATGCTGATTCTTTCTCCAATGCGGTGGATGAAATGTTGACGGACGGGTGCCCGGGAAGTCGACGCCTAAAGTAAATCACATACTGTGGAAAGGGATGAAATTCAATTTTCAAAATCGCAGATGTCACGCACCATGCCGCATGCAGTAGCTATCAAGTGCTCCGGAAGTTTCTGATACTGGGTAGGAAACATATGAAATAGTGAATGGTAACGATATCTGATCAGTTGCAAGATACGAAGTGCCAGAATTATTAGGATCGGCAATCAACGATAATATTTCTATAGAATACACATCAATGTCACATTCATATGAGTTCAACGAGAAATCTATACCCCTAAAGCGCAGGTAAATCTAATGGATGTTACCTCACCATTCCAGGTCATCAGACCGGTAAGTTGAGCGATGTATGGTATGACCGTCTTGGCATCATAGTTGTTCAATCTGAATCCATCCAGATGTATTTTCCGTGATCTGACTAATCTGTCCCATTCCTTGTATATCTGTAGGGTCTGCATCAGTACAGTCATCCAAACTCCAACAGAATGAAACGTACAATGTCAATAATCTGTTTGCACTCCATATCCAAGGGTTTGACCTCGTCGGTTTCCCAACACTTAATGCCTATGAAAAGGTAAGCGAATCGAGAGAGATTCTACTTGTGTTTATGCCCACCTCTCTCCACCGGCCGACCGGCATGCTTTGCAACTGTCACCATCTCCATGATGCCATCCTTGCAGAATGAATTAAACAATGTCCTTTTTATGCCGTGAGTATTCAAGTGCTGCCTAGCGAGGATCTTGGCATCATAGATGCAGATAGTGGCAACAGGAAAGTTTTTCTGAAGGCTTTTCTCATCATACTTGATACCATCAGTGAAGACGTCCGGATCGCAAAGCACATAGTGCGGCGTCACCAAAGCGGTGTTCGCCAAGGCGATATCAGTGATTGGTGTTAGAAGAAAGGTGGGGAAGCCTCGAGACACTGGATCATATTCCGAACCGATCCCTGCTGCAGCAGGAACTGGGAAATGTAACTCCGTGATCGCTGGGGCAGGAGGTGAAGGCAGCATGTCCACAGCAGGCATTGGGAATCCAACCCTGAACGCTGTTGTATCCATACCTACCCAATCGCCATTGAATGAAATCATAGCAGACATGAAATCATCATCGAAAAATGTGTCATTAAATCCAATATCATTGAACCCATCATCGAATCCAGTGTCACCACACCCACTGTCAGTGAACTGAGTTCCAGTGAGGGAGGCACAAGGATCTGAGATGACGATGTTGCGCTCTGGCTCGACAATTTTCTGTCAAAAGTCATCAGCTCGTCCCTAGCGCAATATCAATATCTTTTGTACGTACTTGAATCACGGGCCGTGTGATGCGATCGTCATCCGTGTAAACCCAGAGTTGTTTCCAGCCTTTTGGGACGGTGAATGACTAGAGAAACATAAGCACTGAGTCGACGAACACCTCCAAACCCTCAATGAAGCCCTTATGGGTACTACTAGATTCGGTTGCGTGCGCACATCCTGTAGAGGAATTTAGTAGTACATTGGCAGACTCGGATGTAACTTACTACATATACAGATTCATATGTGTTCTCTACGGCTAGAGTCAACACACCTTCTTGCGGAAGTAATACATGAGCTACCTTGAAGAAAATCCCTTCGAGGGTCTCAACTGCGTGTTGCTAGAATAATCCATGTAAGCTAGACCACATCAAAAGGTGAGAGCCTACCAAGCGACCAAACCAGTCGAATATAACTGCATCATTCCCATCTGTGAGAGGGCTGTAAATGTGGCCTATTTGAACCTGCAAGGACATTATGGAGGAAGGTCAGCAATAATCTTTCAGATGACGAGTTAGAAGGGTGATTAGCCGTTTTGGACAAGCTTTTAAGACCCTCCACCTACTGTATCATTCATTTTGTGTTTTACATCGAAGTTGATTATGATTGCACAGTAATTTCTAGAATGTCATCCCAATATCAGCATTGAATCGAGTAGTCGAATTCTAGTGCGACCTGTTTCGGGAGGACTCAAGGCAAACACGTGAATGATTGATCAATCAATCAGCGACTACTCACCCATATTCGTGGAGTCGTTGAATTGTTGACAGCCTTGTGTCAGTGAATATATTATGTTTCATGCGTTCAATACCTAAACGAGAATTCTTGTTTGGGTTGTTGATGGCTTTGTAATTACGTTTCGTGCATTCAATACCCAAATGAGAATTCTCGTATGGATTGTCAACAGCTTTGTGTTGGTGAATATATTATGTTTCGTGCGTTCAATACCCAAACGAGAATTCTCGTTTGGCAGAAGGTCAAATATTTGATAAATGGGGGCCAGAGGCCTCAGAAGTCAGGCTCAAGGAGTAGATCAATTGACTATTCTTGTTCCTGCAGTTGATTCAATGTTCACCCAAATGACAATTCTTGTTTGTGGGTGGAGTGTCTGACAAATGACCGTCAGATTATGGATGATTGAAGTACTGGGTTTGAGAAATATGACCAGTGATTCGCTCAATGAAGGGCTGCCAGAAGATCTGACTCGGAGGCATCAAAGTGCAGCCCAGAATAAAGTACGTGTGTGAGTTTCAGCATAACCCGTTCAATCTAGTAGTACTTGAGCAAGTCAGTAAAAATCAACAAGAAATTCTCCACTGATTCATTATGTCCTCCATGCTACCGCCTGTTCTTGCATCTATCATCCCTGATTGTCATCAAGTCAACTCACATATTCTTCAATCCAACGACCCAAAACCTGATTTCTTGAATCGTTGTACCACCTGGCGTACCAACGTCCCACAACGACCTCAGGATGCATGTCTTCCTTCACACTCCCATGAAGCCGAGTTGCAAGAGCCACTGCATGTGGGTGACATTATTACATATCATGTGAAGCGACTAATAACTGAAATAGATGGATATCTTCTGTCTTCCCCCATTCTGGGAGACTACTTGTGATAGCGATCTCACTGTCCGTCTTATCAGTGCTCAGCGCTCAGAGCATCGGGCAGAGAGCCGGCTTATCCAGAGACGCCTGAAGTGAATAATGATTGAACATGAACTATACAATCTCATGGACCAACACACATGCCAAAGGCTGCGCAAAGCTGATATCAGTGTTGGTGTTTCACGTGGTGTGTTGCGCGTGTCTGGCCTTGCAGGCAAGACATTTGATGATGTGGATAGCAATGCTTCAAGTATGTTAGATGAATCAGATGCAGAGCCATCCCCTTGAGATTTGTTGTGTGCCCTATCCGTTTCTTCATACTGAATATATGTTCTACCGTGCCTTTTGAATGGCTCTATACACGTTGTACCGGACACTAGCCCATTTTGCCTTGGAAAGATATATATTATTTATATATATATGTGTTATATGCTGCTCCCCTTCTTACTACTATCTGTTTCACCAGTGGCATTGGAAATACGAAATTTGTGCGGGCCCTAAAATCATACAAGTTCTTAAGCTTTGCTCTCAATCTTCTGAATGATCACGTCCCATGAGTACTAGAACGTGATATACAGGACCTCCAAGTCTAACTAATCTTCAAGATCAGTTAATGATCCTACTAATTAATATCGTCTGTAGTGAGATCGATAACCTCCCTGTTTCCTCTCTCCATGTTTCCTACACATTCATGACGTTCGAACATTCGCCTCATCATGACAAGTTCACAACCATTGCACTGTGTGAGAAAATGACGGAATTCAGCTTCTGTGAGACCGGGCCAGGAGAAGGAATCCAGTTGTAAAAGTTTGTCAAAGACTTGGCGAGCTTCGCATTGTTGAGGCTGGCTCCTTTGGACATCTACTAATCTGATATCTATGGCCAGACAAATCCCATGGTATTAATCTATTGTGCAAAGTCCTGACTGGTTCAAGTACGTACCATTTCCATCGAGAAACACAATTTCTTGCGGCCTGGCCTCGTCAGAGCCTGTGTCATCAGATATCAGTACATGTAACTAACACTTATCACCATGACAGGATTTATCTCACTGCGTCTTGGGTAGTACTTGATGGGTAATCCGGGCAAATTGTGCATTTTTTCGATGAAGACTACACCAATGATTCAGAGTCAACACTTGAAGATGCGACTATCCAGCCAAGGACAACCTACCAATATAACCGCATTTGCTCGATGTGCAACAAGCAACATACTCTCCTACATGTGCTCCCCGCGTTAACATGATTATTACTGCTTCGCGGTGGTCACTGGGATCGTTGTCACCACCCAACGCACACAAATACCATGGTCCTTGGAACTGATGAGATCTTCGATGCACTACGAGATCGGAAGGAACCACACGTTCTCCATCATCATTCACTGGCCTGGATCTGAAAAAAGGTAAGATCTTTAAGACAATCTTGTACTTAGTAAGTTGGCTAACATACCAATGCCATAAGCTCAGCTTTTCTCTGGTCTCATCTAATTCGAGCACGGCATTTTCCCTGTTACTGGCTTGGGCTGCAAGCTTCGCCCGCCGATACTCTCATTGAAGAGGTCTGTCAGCTGCAATGCTGGCCCGGGTTTGTACGCGATCAGGAGCCATAGTATGCCAGCAGATTGCATTGTACAACTGGACATAGCCTGAGGGCCGTCCTCAGGCTTTTATACCATTATGTGAGTACTAGCTTGTTACTCGGTCGAGGTTTTATGTAATTCTACACCTTTAGCAACTGAGGCATTGTTTTAATGCAAGTTACACAATGACGCGATGTGTGCCGTTTAGTTTGTGTATATTTCCTAATCGAAACATCTAGTACTAGGTCTTCATTTACATTGACAGTTCAAAGTTTTCTTTGATCCTTAAGCAGGTGCTTCCGCTGGTGGCCCTTGTGCACAAACATAAATGTGACGTCATGCTATGCGCTCGGCACATAGAAGCCGACGTGCACTGACCTAATCAGTCAGTGAGTGCTGTTCAGTTTGAACTTTTAGGTTTGAAGCTAACACTACTGCAGCTGGAAGCCCCAGTAGACAGCCTCACCAAGTCTTGAATCAATCTAGGGATTTAACTCTTGATCCTAAATAGCCGACAAACCCCTTCAATAGAGGTGTGGCACTCTACAGCGATATCACTATTATCACTTAATATGTTTTCATAGCCTCAGACCCAAAGATGGATGCATCATTATCAGCTTGCGAGTCATCCTCTGTGAACGTGGCAGGATATTTGACTGCCAGTGGTTGTCAGTGCACTTGCGGAAGAAGCTTCACTCAACTCAATGCGTACGCAAATCACCAAAGGACATGTAGAAAGCGGAAGAAGCACCTTTCGAATGCGCTAGCAAAGGCCAAAGAGATATGGACTGCAAGAAAAAAGCCGTGTAGAGAAGGCGAACAAGACAGTTTAGCTGCTCCTCCCATCATTGATCATAATGTAGAAACTTGGACCTCGTGAGCAGGAGAAAGCGGGGCGCACCCACAGCTAGGCCATATATTTGCCGGCTCAGAATTCACATCCAATCAGACTACTTTCAACAGAGAAGAGTACAGTTCAGCACTCCCAGGATCCGGCATCGAAATTAAAAGCAATGTGAGTGTCAGATATAAATGGTTCTTATTGATACCTGAACAGTCTGTTAGGATGGATGTAGGCCTCCAGAGTCTTTGCATGTGGTTGATGACCCACGATTGCTAGCTGAGCGTCGCCCACGACACCTCAATCATCGTCTTCCCGCACGGTTTTGAGATATCCTCCCTCAACCTCCACCCTCATCCCTGGCTGAGCCTGCCCCATCACCAGCTGCAGATCCCTCGCCCGCTTTAGAAATAAGTGCACTGTTGTCATGTACACGTCGCTTCTTTCACACACTTCCTAATTTATTTGGGCTTTCACGTCGGTATTATGATCACCTGCCAACTCATGACCCGGAAGAGCTTACAACTCTAGAAAACCTCACTCTGACGCATTCTGAGCCAGACCAGCAATGTCAGGATCTCAGCATGTCCGCTCATGTAACACATCACGACGGCCTGGAAGTCCCGGATACTTTCTATCCATATCCAAACAAGTCATTGTTTCTCCTTGGTGATTGGTTTTGGAATGGGGGTATCCAGAAGTCACAAAAGAGTTTCAAGGATTTGCTACGAATAATCTGTGATGCCAAGTTTCGGTCTGAAGACATCCGTTCGATGTGCTGGAATGAGATCAACCATTGACTTGGATCTAGTGCCAATGATGTAGAGGCACATAATGATATGCCCTTCGAAGGTGCTGGGTGGAAGAAGACCGCGGTCAATATTAAGATACCTATTCACAATCGTGCAGATAACCCAGGTGTCCACAATTATCTTACCACCGATTTCTATCATCAACCGCTCATGTCTGTCATCCAGGAAAGACTTGCAAATGAAAAGCACAACGAATTATTTCATTACCAGCCCTACAAACTATTCTGGAATCGCGGACAGTCTGACAGACCCATTCGTGTTCACGGGGAACTGTACAATTCCGAGGCTTTTATTCAGGCACACTGTGAAGTTCAAGAGTCCTCAGTGGAGCCTGGGTGCAATCTAGAGCATGTTGTCATCGCCCTTATGTTTTGGTCAGACACGACACATCTGACCTCCTTTGGTAATTCCAAACTTTGGCCTTGCTACATGTTTTTTGGAAATGAGTCCAAGTATAGAAGATGCAAGCCTTCTTGTCGTCTATGTAGTCATGTCGCCTACTTCAACCATGTAAGTGCCCACTGGCGTTCTGATATTCTTTTCCTACTCACGCATCGATTATCTTTAAGCTTCCGGATAGCTTCAAGGATTTTGCATCAAAACATTTCGGTGGGAAAGGTCCCAGTGCTGATTTTGTTGCACATTGCCATAGGGAACTTTATCACGAGCAGTGGAAGATTCTGCTTGATGACGAGTTTGTAGAAGCCTGCAAACATGGCATTGTGATATGCTGCTGTGATGGAATTGAGTGTCGCTTTTACCCTCGCATTTTCATGTATTCTGCTGATTATCCAGAAAAGTGAGTGACATCTCATGCTTAGAAGGTCGACTAAATTACTGTCCATCCTATTATCAGAATGTTGCTGGCTACAATATGTAATCTTGGTGGGTGTCTATGCCCTCGGTGCCTCATCCCGAAATCCTGCGTTCAGAATCTGGGTTTGCCACTCAATATGAAACAATGCCAGACTCTTGCGCATGTGGACGACAATACCTGGCAAAGTAAAGTCTCGGTCTCACGCTCGCACATTTATAATCTCAGTTATGGCATTCACAGTAATGCTGTTGAAAACATATTGAAAGAGCACTCATTGGTCCCAACCACTGTACACTTGCTTTGTCTTCACTAAATTTGTATGAGTATTGACAGACCTTTCAGAACACATTTTCTGAGAGACTTGGATGCCTCGGCTTCAATCTTTTCATCATGTTGGTCGTAGACCTCATGCACGAGTTTGAACTTGGTGTCTGGAAAGCGCTGTTTATTCATCTGATACGCATTCTCAGTTCTGCTTGCGCAGGTGATGAATTGGTGCATGAACTCGATCGTCAGTATGTTTTCTTGAATAAACCCGACGTAGGTTGTCTGAATGACAGAAAACACAAGCTACAGACTCACTCCTACCTTTGGCTGTAACACTATCCGAAAATTCGCTTCAAATGCTTCTGAAATGAAGAAGATGGCTGCTCGGGACTTCAAAGACCTTCTTCAGGTAGTGTTCCATATTCTTTTTGACCATTTCATTGACTCATGTCTATCTAATCAGTGCGCCATCCCTGTATTTGATGCCCTCCTTCCAGAGCTGCACAATATAAATATTTTAACCCTGCTTTGTACTTGTGCACACTGGCATGCTCTTGCAAAACTGCGCATGCACACCGACGAAACCCTTGACCTCCTTGACACTGCCACTGTTACACTCGGAAATCAGCTTCGTCATTTTCAGAAACATACCTGTGTAGCATTCAATACCCAGGAACTGAAGTGGGAAGCAGAACATCGCCAGCACTGGCAGTTACGTCACATTGTTAACAATGGAGAGACAAGGACCATGACACCGACAAATCAGACGTCTCGGCGAACAAAGACTTTTAACCTTCAAACGTACAAGTTACATGCCATTGGCGATTATTCCACCTCGATATGCAAATTTGGCACGACAGACTTGTATAGCACTGAACCAGTAAGTCGAACCACCATGATCGCACTGTCAGTCATGTAAACAATTTCTTGTGTATTATAGGGAGAGCTAGAACACCATACCTCGAAGGCAAGGTATCATCGAACAGACCGAAAAGAATTCGTCAAACAGATCGCCAGCATCGAACGGCGTGAGGCCCATATAAATCGCATTCATGACAGGCAGTCGCCATATGGTACGGTGATCGACGAAGAAGTTGCTACATCGCCAGATGCTCGCTTCCACATCAGGAAATCTCAAAATTATCACAATAATGTTCCGCTATTCCTTCAAAGGCACCTGGGCGATCCTGCAATCAAAGTGAATTCAACCCAATTATGAAGACAACTTGAATGCAACACAATGCTGATTCTGAATAACAGGACTTTTCACTCAAGCTTCAATCCTTTCTCCTGGCTAAGATGAAGCAGATCTTAACAAGGGAAAATGCTCTTTCGCATACCAACAGTTCCACTGCTGTTACAGTACCAGGAGCTTCCGCAACAATCTCAGATTCAGAAGGCCGCATTTTTATAAAGGCTGATCGCATGTACAGACATAACTTGTTGCGTCTTAACTACATGACATACGATGTCCATCAGGCGCAGGACGTGATCAATCCATCGACATCACATTGCAATATCATGCTTCTCCAAACCAGTGAGGGCCCAGTTGTCAAACAACATCCTTACTTATATGCTCGCGTACTTGGCATTTATCACGTCAATGTCACTTATATCGGTCCTGGCATGATTGACTATCACTCACGACAAATTGACTTCCTATGGGTGCGCTGGTATCAATACGTAGATATCGATGAAGGCTCGAGCCATTGCACATCTTTAGATTGTGTTTACTTCCCTCCCATGGCAGAACCGGACACGTTTGGGTTTGTAAGCCCTGATGACGTCCTTAGATGTTGCCATCTCATCCCGCAATTTGCTCAAGGCTTGCGACGTTTGGATGGCAGCAGCGTTTCCCAATGTGCTCAGGATAAGTCTGACTGGAGGTTTTATTACATCAATTGGTGCATTTCTTACTTCTGGTCTAATGAAGCACCTCTGACTTGACAGCTTAGTTTCGTAGACCACGACATGTTCATCTACCGCAGCCACAGGCATGTATCATTTCAAGTTTCTGTGCCTGTTACATCTCAAGAATAGGACATCTATCTATCTATCTTTCGGTTCTTTCTCAGTTCTCTCTCGGCCCATTGGTCTGTTCCTCACTATGTTTGAGGCATGCTTGGTGCATATCGATAAATATCAGCTATTCTACCTTGATCTGCCTTGGCACATCATACCCTCCCTCTAGTCATGGCTGCTATGGAAAGAATTTCTAGTCTCAATGACGAGAAATCCATGGACATGAAGGAGAAATCGAAATCTTACTGCATCAATGGGGATATCGAGACCTCTACTGGAGAAGACACTGATGACATTGCTGTTCTTCAGAACGAGCGAGATATTGCAACTCACGTCATTTCCGTGGACGACGATCCTAGTCTGAACCCCTGGACCTTTCGGGCTTTCTTCATCGGCCTTGGCCTTTCCGCCTTTAATGGATCCCTCGGTAAAGCAGTCGAGATCTTTCAGTCGAGGCTCCTACTCACTTGCACCCCTGGCTCAAATCTATTACTTTAAACCTGTGAGAGTTCTTTATCGAACATCAAGTCGGAGGGCTCATTCATGTGGACACTCCAGCAAACTGTCAGTGTATCTCTAATGTTCCTTGGCATCATATCCTATGTGATTGGCCTTGCGATGGATACATCCATTCCACACTACGGACTGCTCCGATACCTGAATCCAGTACGTCCGAGTCTTCCGCATAGCCCCTGACCCTGAAGTTCATGCATATTTATGAATATCAGGGACCCTTCAATAAGAAGGAGAATGTGTTCATTATCATCATGTCCAGTGCAGCCGCGAACTCTGCATTGGCTACAGAAGTTCTTGCTGTCCAATGGTGGGTTCGCAGTCCAATTCCTCTGTCAGTAGTGACTGATAAGTTATCAGTTTGTATTATAACATCACGCTGAATGCGGTTTCATCAATATTTTTGTTGTTCTCTTCTCAACTGCTCGGGTGCATTGTGCTGGCGTATTCCTTACTCCACCCATCGCTAAAGCCGCAAACCACAGCTATGGGATTGGCGGTCTGATGCAAGGTATTTTTGCTTCTGACAGTAGTTATACTTAGAATCTCAGCTCATGACACTTTGGCTCAAGGACCCTCCTCTATCCGTCGAAAATGTTGTATCCTAGCGTGCTCCCATTGCTCTCCATGCTCGACGCTTTCTATCACGATGGTATTGCAGCACGCCAAAAGCTCAAGGTGTTCTATTTAGTCTTTACTGCGTGCATTTAAACTTGATTGATAAATCATAATTTAATCTTTAATTTTCAATCATCTTAAACTCAGAATCTTTATATGGGAGCCTTTTCCAGAATGGATATTCCCCCTGCTCACCAGTATCTCAATATTCTGCCTCGCCGTTCCTAACAATGCTGCTGTGTCTCGCATGTTTGGTGGTTCCAATGGAATGAGGGCCTCAGTCTATTGTCCCTGTGCCTCAACTGGCAGGTAATGCCCACCATCTCCATTTTGTTGACACTTTACGTTGAATCCAATGACATACATACAGCAACTTAGTGGCACAGCTTGTTTTTTGTGGTTCCATGAGCAAATTTCTCATTCAAATTCCCTGCCCATGGCCTACTATGTTCCTGCAGGTTCTTGAGAATACATATATCAAGCTCGGTGTTCCTCTCGTCAACGACACCTCCTGACTATATATGCTCCTGCCGATTCCTTTCGATCCCCCAAACCCTCTCAACTTCGTCCAGCCGCTAATTCCTTTCAATCCCTAACACCTTCTTTGTTTCATTGAGCTCACGCCAAGCTTTTTCTAGCTCCCTGAAACTCTCCTGCAACTCTTGCTCCTTTTTAAGTGCCAACAACGTAACCCAGCACACAGGTTCATGTCATTGTAATGCATTATTTGCTGTGATTGTAGCGTACCTGTGATGCATTTTCCCTACAGTTGTAGCGCTCTTTCCTCCCCTATGTTTCTAGGCTAATGCATCCTTCTCATTGATGCATCGCGTTTTCTAGATTAATGCATCCCTCCCCCCATTTGATGCATCCTTCTCACTGATGCTTCGCGTTTTCTAGGTTAATGCATCCCTCTCGCCCTTTGATGCATCTTTCTCACTGATGCATCGCATTTTCTAGGCTAATGCATCCCTCCTGCCCTTTGATGCATCCTTCTCACTGATGCTTCGCATTTTATAGGTTCATGCATCCCTCCCACCCTTTGATGCATCCTTCTCACTGATGCTTCGTGTTTTATAGGTTCATGCATCCCTCCCGCCCTTTGATGCATCCTTCTCACTGATGCATCGCATTTTCTAGGCTCATACATCCTCCCGCCCTTCAATATGGCGCGTTGCTGGTTGATCCCCTCCCGCCCTGATTCATTCCGTTCATATTATGACGTGTCATGTTCAATAGTGTGTTGTATCATTAATCAATCTACGTTTACAAGGGCCAGTGTCTCTGCCCAACGAGCTTCAAATGATGACGTGAGATTTCGGCGTAAGTCAGCCTGACGTTTTGCGTACGCCACACAGCCATCTTTGTGTTCTGCATTGGCTGGTATAGCATCCTCTCGCCTTTTGTCCCAGCCCCCTGCTTCCCACCTCAGAAATGATAATATACGCTGCATTTCTTCTTGCAGCAGCTCTACTTCTTCCCCCCAGCACATTGCACGTGCCCTTGCCTTACACCACTCAATTCTCATATCTGTTGCGCTGTCAGTAAGAGAAGCATTTTGTGGTATCGCGCTTACCTTCTAAAGCACCGTTATCATCCTTTTTACTGCCCGCAGCGCCACGCATATTCCATATCCACGACAATTTTCGTCTGCCCTCCGATTCACCCCACAGAAGGTCAGACATAGAGCGAATATCCTGATGATTTAGAGGACGCAGCGACGACTGCCAGCCCGACTCATTCAGGAGTCCACCGAGAATCACGAGAGCCTTGTGTGCACCTTCGTATCTGCTAGCAGCAGCATCAATCCTCGCATTGATGATATTCAGTGTATTGCGTGCTCGAGTATTGGCTCCTTGTCCTCAAAGTTTCCGGTCCTTGTACCTGAGGACAGCAGTCTGTGCGCGGAGGTTGGAGTGTCGGTCCTTGTACCTGAGGACAGCAGTCTGTGCGCAGAGGTTGGAGCGTAAGGAGCGGAGGGTATCGTGGCCTTGAGCATATCTCAATCTCCATTCCATCCTCTGAAGCCGTTCATCACAAGGCGCCAACCTGCCGATCTGAGATGGTAGCCACAGTTTGAAATTTTCTGCAGTAGGGATAGAGTTGGCATTGGTGGAGGTTGATTTGTCCGAGAGATGCATGGCAGCAATGTTCGGCATATATAGCTCTTGTATTTTTGACCAGGCGTCAATCCTACGTTGTAATGCATTGCTCCGCTTGAGCAACTTCCCTTGTTGATTATCGGTGACGTGTATACCATGCCTGCTTTTGTCAGCTCTCAAGCGTCGTCTGGGAGAAGTTTAGTGATGTCACATGCGAGGAATTGAGAAAACAAACTGTTGCTCCTTGAGCTCCAGTCCCGAGCTAATCAACACACTGGGGGAACAATCCTCGTGCAAGGCAAGGCAAGCTCCACTCCGAATATCTATTTCCTCTTCCTTTGTGAGTGCTAACCAAACAGAAGCCAACATAACGACTGTGATTATGACAAATGAGTCACTTAGCATCACATGCATCACTTCGAATAATGAGCAAACGAACCGTCTGTGTTTCGCTCAAAAGGGTTGGACTGAGACTGGTCATCCTCCCAGGCTTCCACCTGCGACCTCCATTGATTCAGAACATCACCGTACTCATCCTTCAGTCCTTCTTCCAAGTCGTCAAGTGCAGCTTGCTGATTCGCGCGCTCAGGTAAGGCCTCCTTCATTTTACATAGCATTGTAGTACATAGTCAAGCAGATGAGACTTGCACCACGATAAAACATATATACGCACCAAGACCCACAACTTTCTTCCAGTTCCAATCTCCAAAAAAATCGTCTAATGTATCATGTCTTGCACCGGGTCCCATTTCCTTCGTACTGGATGCGACAGGATTGATGTTTGCCCACCCGCGCTCTGGAGCTTCTCCATCCGTTTGACCAACACCACGCTTGAAGTTAAATGAGAACATCATCTGACATTTCTCAATGTGGGCAGGGAGGTGAAATTTCGGGACGAAGAAGGAGATAGCCTTCTTCACAAAATCGAAGTGCATTGAAAGAGGAAACACACTCATATGCTGCCAGAGTTTTTTGTGCCATTGACAGGCAATATCGTATGAAATGTTGAGAGTTGCTAGGGAGGTGTGATGAAGCGTCGAAAAAAAAGGTAGTCCATATTGATGTATCTGCCGGTGAGTACCTATCAGTGCACGTAAATGATGATTATTGAGTAGAATCACTTCTCTCCCTTTTGAAGGTCTCCAACAGCATTCGGCTGCTTCATGTTGTGACGTGCACAGTCGATAGTACCAAGCCCAGTAGCTGCTAGGCCTCGATTAGCCTTTGTATCGGCCATATTGATGGCGTTATGGCTGGAGCATGTAGATTTCTAGAGGGAATCAATGAGGGACGAGTGCAGAGTGAAGGCGACCTCACCTCTTGGAGGACATCGATTTTATCTCCGAGGAATTGCTTGTACGCACCTTCCTCTACGAAGTACGCCCATCCGCGACTTAATCCCAGGTCCGTAGTATTATTTGACACAACTTTTCATTTGAGATGGAAGTTCACATCGATGGCAATGAATAATGCATATAACCAACTAATTCAAAATATATCAAGCTTCAATCAACGACTGATGACAGTGTTTCCAACTCACCGTTTTGCATGGGGAGCATTCTCCCAGTTGTCAGGCAGATTCTTACCCAGGTGCGTGCAAGCCGGGCACAAGACTGCACACTCTCCTTCTCCCGTGGCTTCTACTCCCTTAGGATCATGCCCTCTCCCAAAATGTTTGAGCATCGTGAGATGCCGCCATTCACGGATCATCCTCATGGAAGCTTCGTATCGGTCCTGAAAAATCAAATAAGTCCACACAAGTACTTAATAATCAATTACAAACCTTAACAGGTGTCAAGCCAGTGTTATCAGTACCCCGCATAAGAGCACTATAGAACTTGTAAGCAGATACCTTTGACTTGAAAGACAACAGGTGAAATTCATCCAAAACACGAAAGGTTGCTGCCGTTTTGGGGTCGGCTGTTGTTGAGGGAAACCAGGACATACGAAGTAGTTGCTGTACGTGTGATTTTGCCCCCGCACAGTTACAGAAATCGAGTAAGACCTCATGGATACCACAGGAATCGATGACAACGAAGTCATCATTGAAGGCTTGACAGGGGTTTGGGCATTTTTCGTGGACCGCATGGCCCAGCTGAATTCGGAGGCCAAGGTTCTTGAGAGTCACGCGTTCGAAATAATCCCCGTTCCATTTCTACAGAATTGAGTCAGTAATTGTATAGCAAAATATATATGATACTGACCTGCAACATGTGCAGCGGATGTCGTTGATGAGCGGCCGTGATGCAAGACAAACAGCGGAGATCAACTCCAAAGCAGTCTTGGCATCGATACAGAGGGCAAGAATCGCCACAACTGGAACAAGGCACTTCACGGAGCTCCCCTCTGCCCTCAAGGCATAACATTTCCTCCAGGAAGAAAGCACAATGCTCTAACCACATGAGTAGTGGATGATCCTAGATTGTGTCAGTAATTGAGGGAGTGATCTGACCATGACACTTACCCCAGCAGTGCGTCATCTTTTGTGAGGTTGGACCTCAACCAACGAAGGTGCAACATCGATGTCTGAGGGACCATAATTGTTGAAAGGATCTGGCATGGTATTTGTTGAAGGCTCCTGCACATGGGATTGCTGCGCATTCTTGGGAGGTTCGATGTAAGTGCGTGTATAGCTGATTGAGCCATCCTTGTAAACGTGATAATTGGTGTGCTGTCTTTGCTGAGCCGGCTGTTTTGAATTCCGTGCATATGAATGTAGCGTTGGTTTCTTCTTCCGTTTCCTTCCTGAGGCTTGTAAGGACCGGTGAAGCTCTTGTGTGCAGTGTATGACCTGTGCCGGGGCTGAGGACGAGGGCCCCGCAGATGATGAAGCAGAGGCGCTGCTCATGCTCACAAAACAGACTAGTACTGGCAGGAAGTATACACCCAGCGATCTGATCTCAGAGTTGTCAGTATAGCTACAAATAATCATAATTCAATAAATACAGAGTGATCTTCGACTTACCTGATTTTCTGAGTGCCATCAGCGATACTCTGTCCATTTGTGAACCAGAAATCTTTGAATTGGAAAAGCATCGGCGATTGGTGATGCCAGATGTACTGCCTATTCACGGTATTGATGCAATGATATATTGAAGAGCCACTTGATTATGTAATCACATTATCCTCATTCATTCACTGAGTCCGACACAGTCTGATGCCATCATTCAATATTCAAGATGCATACCCCACCCAGTTTTATTTGTAGTACCACTGCTGCTTGGTCTCTCGGTTTCCCATGGGAGGAATTTCCCACACATGCACAATTTGGTAGAGAATGGTACGTTTGTGAATCAGTCGGGAATCACGTTCCTTTCCTGATCCTCATTCATTCAGTTCCGAGTCCAACACTGATGCATCATTCAAGATGCAAAGATGCATAAAAGATCATCATCCAGCCAGGTGAGTAAAGGCTTGAGGTCCTAAATTTCTTTCACAACAATGGTGTCCCACAGTGTTTTGAACGGTGATAGTCATGTTGTCCTTGGTGCCTATTTTCTTGGTTAATTGACCGTCTCTAACTCACTCATGGTTTTCAGATGCCGTTTTGCACCTTCTAGCCTCTCTGATGCTTTCTGCCAATGATGCTCACAATCTTATACAGGTCATCGTCGACAGCACTGGGTTAGAGAGCTCTGGTGCCCCTGCCCATGATACTCCTGCTGCCCAGACTGTACCTCCCATTATTCCCGCTACTCAGATTCTGTTATGCTGACCGTTGGTCGGCGTGTGCGAACTAGGATAGGTCTTCTCAGCGACGGCTCGAGTGAGCCTACTGAAGCTGAGGGTGGTTCTCGGCTTGACGGAACGTCAAGGGTTCCTCTGGTGATCTCGGTAAGATGGTGCTCGTCGAGATACAGGGCTAGCGGATACGGCTAAGAAGCGGGGAGCGACTTAGAAGTGCGGTCTTAGGCAACTAAGCTGGGAGGCTTAGTTGAACAAGTTTCAGGGATGAACCTAGTAGATTAAAGTAAAGTCTAAGTACAATAATCTGTCTACTTATATGTGCTACATGTAAGTGTTCATGCTCAGTCTGTAATCTATAGTATATCTAGGATCTATGATAACAAGACATGAGGTTCAGATAAGGTACATGAGGCTTAAGCTCTGATCAAGCATGCAGTGCCAAGTGCGACTGCACATAAGTACATGAGGCGCCAAGGGCGCTCCGGATCTTCATGAAGCGACATGCTGTATACATGCACTGATCTAGGGTGACCATGAGGCGTACAGCCTCCATGGATCAGGTACAAGGCTGTCTAGGCCAGGGGCGTGTCACAGCGCCAGGGGCGGTGTCACAGTGGTCCATGCCGCTGTCTTTCTAAGTGCAGGCGGTGTTCCGCCACGTCGGGAGTCTAGCAGAGCGGAGGCTGGCATAGGCAGAGCTGGGGCTCCTGTAGGTGTTATGGATGCCTGTAACAGATTCTACCTCCCATTGCTCGTGCTACCCAAACTCTGCCCTTCATTGCTCCTGCTGCCCAGACTCTCTCCCCCGTCTCTCCCACAGCTCAGACTGTGCCACTCGCCCCTCCTCGCACTCAAGCAGCCACGCACATTGATCATGCTCCCCCACATGGCTACAATCGGGACATACCTAGCCTCACAACGACCAGAGTCATTGTCAATGGCGAGGAACATTTTCAGCAACAATACGAGGGCTTCACCTTTGACATTCCAAGCCCAGAAGCTAGTGGCCCATTCTACATCATAACCCGTGGTCGCTGTGTTGGCATTTTTAATACATGGTGTGTTTCTTCTCTGATTATAGTTCGTTATCTGACACTCTATTAGGACACGCACTTCTCCCCATGTGCTCGGTGTTAGTTGCTTGTCTTACACTCGTGCAAAGTCCTGGACCGACAGCATCCTTCGCATGCTTGATGCAATTGACCTCGAAGAAGCACAATTGCTGCCTTGAATGGACAACGTGCAACTCTCAAATGCAGTATAATTACTTGTGCCTTGTATATACAATGTATTACCTGACTAGTAGCATGCAATGAGAATCTCTTGGGTTGTTGGCACAGTACCTTTAATCGCTTGGTGAATCACCGCAAGAACTTCGTTGTAAAACATATTCAATCAAGACATCAGAATGCTATTCAAGACTACAATGCGGTGATATCGGGAGAGTTCTGATACAGTAGGTCGCCTCATGCATGATGATCAAATAAGGTATGCGGGTCGACCATAGCATGCATGAGGATGTCCTCCAAAGCTTTTGTGAAGCTGGCAACCCTTCCAGCCGTGAGCTCCACCTGAGACAACTCCTTCCCAACACCACGGCTTTGGAGAGTGGTGCAATGATACTCCTGAACACGTTGTCTGAGTGCATCGACATCCATGAGCAAAGTCTCAATGGACTGAATCCAATGGCCAATGGCTGTGGTGTCTTCGATTCAACAATCCTGGACTAACTGATCCAGGAGCTTGGTAGAGGAGCCGTTTACGAGGCAGGTCAGGGTAGCTTCTACATCTGCGATCTTACTACTCTTCCTGCTTCGGAAAGGTGATTGTTAGTATTTTGAAGAGATAAGACGCCCTTGTGGGACTCACCGACCACTACTGTCGGATGATACAGTGACTTGTTGTTTACAATACATCGAGCGAGATGTTTCTTGAGGGACTGCATTTGCACTACATAGTAGTAAAATATGATCATGTTAGTATTGTACAACTGGTTGAGAAAATGAATGTTAACTTGCCGCTGTCGTGCTCGATACTTTTGTTTGTGCTTTGAACTGATAATAGCATGATTCCTGAACATTGGCCAAACATGAGATTGAATATGCACCACCAATTGTGCACTGACTGATCTTTCATAATATGTTTTGCGGTAGCGACGAGCTGCTTTTAATTTCTCTTGAGGGGTACTGTACAATCGCGGACGAGTCATATTGAGGCTGAGTAAGTGCAGTGAGTTATGCTTATACAATGTGAGCTTAGGTGAGTCTAGTATTTACACAAGATTTACAATATATCATTCCGTCACATAGCCAGCGACCAATCGGCCAATATTGTTATGTTCCAGCATGTTCAGAAATACCACAGGTATATTTGGTCAATGATTTGACCTTGAGATTGAGCAGAATGTGTTCTCCGCATTGCAGTCTACAGAATTTTACACGAGATTTATGGATAAATAGTTCGTTTGTGGCCGAAAACATTTATGCAGCCCGAGTTGAAATTGTTCTGATTAGTAAGAATGGTTTCAACTCAGGCAACTTTAACTACTATACTACTATATTGTGCGGCTGCCCGGCTGAAGAGACATACTCCGCCACGGAGTTCAAAACCTTATTATTTGAGCGTCAGCGGTTATGTGTAAGTATATACTCAAGTTCACTGCCGAAATATTCAGGTACGTGATTGGTCGAATTAATGTTCATGCTTTGACAGTCAGGACAGACATGCCACCGGAATCAGATCCATATTGGACAAGTGAACAACTCAAATGGATGGAAGACCAGGTTGCCATGTACTCATGGTGCTATGAAGATAACGACCTTTTGCTCTTCTGGCCATTGTTGTTTGAGGTGTTTTTTGCATGTTGGCCGCAGCGTCAGGCCTTACTCGCTGACATACCTGAGTCTCAGGTTCTGACTGACGAGCAGCATCACACATTATCCAAGGCTGAAGATTATTGCAAAATGGTACGTGTTTCACAATTACACTACTACCTACAAGCTGAGTTGCTATGATAGCGCATTAAGACATGGCTCGAATATAAGCGAACTCTCTCCTCGGCTTGGATCCCATATGTACCGTTTCCAATGGGATCTCCAGACGTGCGGCAGGCAGTCTTGCAGTTGGAGGTTGATTTGGCTGGAGAATCTGGGAAAGCACGCTTAGAAACAGAGATGCCACCAACGCTCACAGAAGCATAAGTCATATGGTACCATTTGAAACATAGCTAGCTCTAAATGAAGTTGCCTGGACTGGATCCTCCACACTCAATTCTGGCCTTCCAAGGTAACAAATGAAAAAAAAAATGGTCTGTGCGTGTGATGATGAACGTACAGCTGCAGGATACATAAGACTTCTACAACATCATTCGAGTGGACACTTGCCTAAAGCTTTGTAACGCTGTACATTTGCGCTCAGACCTTATATTATTAACAGTACGACATCGAAAATTTTGGCCAAATGACTCACATGTGACTGATGGGTGATTACAGATGCCGGCACCCCCATGGGCATCAAAAGAGCAGACGCTCTGGCTTCACGAACGTTTTCCAGCATATCTGGAGTGTGCGAAAGACGGGGACTATACTGACTTCTGGCCAACACTCAATTATGGATGATTCGGAAAGTATCCAGAACACGCAGTCCTCTTTCCCGGCATATCCGAGAATTTGCTTTCTCCGGAGCAAGCTGCCGCTGTTGAGGTGGCAAAGGAAGCATGTAAGGTGGTAAGTGTATTTTGGGATATAGTACAATAGCGCAGCACTGACCAGTATTCCTCACCCAGCAACTTCAGACATGGTTTCACTGGCGCACAAATGGTTCTAGAAAAAACTGCAGCCTGAAAAAAAAAAGTACTGTTTTTGACGAAGCCTTGCATCCGAAGAAATGTGCGAAGTCCGAGGCCGAGATCTATTCGGAAATGTATTACGATGAATGAATTAAGCCATTAGTCGAGGCTGAGGCAGAAGCCGGCAATGTGGCAAGTTCTGGCAAGCACGTTGCACTCGGTCAAAAGTTCTCGAAGGAGTTGCTGGATGACGAGTCTGACAATGTTAAGGCTGAGATTCGCGCGAAGTACGAGGAACGGCTGAAAGCTCACAAGAACACCAAACGCAGGACTCATGCTCTTGATGATGATGATAGCGACAATGGTGAGACGGATGCAGAGTTCATCACACAGTATGTTTCATTTTATTCTAGAGGTTTTATTCAGATAGGCCAACACCATCTGCAGAGGTATTGATGACTTACCTGTGATTTGCCGTCGCTTCGCACAACTTGTGAAGCATAAGACTCAGTTCCTTGTGTCATTCATGTTTGCTGGGCCCGATCCAAGGAATAATTGGGACATGACGACTTTATCGTGAGTGGTATGGATTACTCTAGATTCACAGTGACTCACGATCAGAAGTTGTCATCCTTTGGAAACACCTGAAGGAAAATCATTTCCTGTGTTGTATGAGACAGCTGACAGAGCCTTCCTAGAGGCCTTTCAACAGTATGCTGAACAGATCTTTCGTAAGTTTGGTTGCGCTTGTTTTGGGGCCACTCACCAAGTGCACATTCCAGCTGCAAACAAGCGCAAACCTAGTGCAGGCGACAACAGCGAGAGCAAGATGGCCGAGGAGAGTGATGAAGGCGAGCCTGAGGGGGAGAACAAAAAGTTGGTAGAGGAGGATTTTCAGGGTGAGATGGCTGGGATGGGGATGGGGAACTCTGGCAACGGTGAGTGGTCCAGTCTTTATATGTTCTTGCATTGGTCTAATGCATCAAAGCGGCGGCCTTCCTTCCGATTCCTGGTGTGTCATTCACTGATGCATCAGCCAGCCCTATGACAGGAACAGTCGTCCTTTCGATTCCTGGTGCATTGGATCCATTAGTTGATGCATCAGTTGCGCCTGGCTTGCATCATGCAGTAAGTACACTTTGTGCTATCTAATTTTGATATCTTGATTAATTGATACTTTAGAATGACACGCATCATGGGAACGGCATGCAGACAACCATGCATGGGACACAGACTGAGCTGCCATACAGTATGCAGGCTCCTCCAGCCTATGACACACAGGCCACGTATGGGACGCAAGCCCACCTTGCCTATAACTCAGACTCACGGGCTCAGTACCATGCCCACGCTCATGCAACTGCATCACTCTCTCATGCATCCTTCCAGACTGCCCTTCCTCACACCAATGCATCATTTCAGCAAGGATTGTCACTCCCGATGCAGATGGGCAACTACCCTGGCTTCAGCGTCGAGCCTTCCAATTCATTCTCACAGGCTGACATCACCCCCAACTTTTCGTTTGCTGAGGGGTTTCAGGTCCCAAACTGGAACTTCTTTGACACAGGATTTCCTGCTCCTCAAGGCAGGTGGCCACTGTCATTAGGTCTTCTGTCCCCCACCTCTGCAGAGCGCAGTAGCACGGCTGAAATCAATGACGACTCACTTCCTATTATGCCGTCACCTGTTCCTGCTAAGACCATTGGAGCCTCCCTTCCCATGCTGCCTTCACCTGTTGACTCACTTCCCGTCCCTTTGCCTACTGCGCCTTCTCTCGCTCCAGCTCTAGAAACTTCTCGCCCTCCTAGCACGAAGGCTAGCATGGAGCCGAAACCTGCAAAGAAGTGTTCCAATGCCAAGTCTAAGACCAGCGTCTCCAAACCCTTGGTTGCAGCCGACACAATTACGGAGTTTGCATCCGCTGTACCTACTACTAAGAAGAGAAAAGGTAAAGCGGCCACCACAAATCCTGTTCCTAATCCCAAGGTCAGCATTTCAACAAATGCACCCTTCCTTGTTCCCATTCCTGGGACCAATGTCACTGGAGGCACTGTAGAGACTCATGCCTCTCATTGTGCAATATGGCAGTTTTCACTGGGGAGTACATGGCACGAACTTGTAGCATCACTCTGTGTGCTACCTGCAGCTATCTCTATATGAGGCGCAGCTTTCCCGCGCAATGCGCGCCATGCGCGCGTACCTTTCCCGCGCTTCACGATGTATATGCGCGCGCGCTTTCCCGCGCTGTAGCGCCCTATAGCGCCAGCCATCCAGAAGCATCCATCCACTGTCCACCAAGTTCCCTAGTGCGTATATTTCCATTTCTCACATTTGCAAAAAAAAAAAAAAAAAAAAAAAAAAAAAAAAAAAAAAAAAACTTACTCTCCCACCAGAACGACAGAGGACTTACTGGTTACTACCCACTATTCACCTAGCAGAACATAGTAGAAATCTATTTGTTTACACCTCGCATCTCTCTTCTTTTGTCTTACATCATATCACCACTTAAGCAAACTCACTCTTACTCTCTCTCATATCTGTATACACGTGCACGCTTTCCCGCGCTTCGCGCCATACACGCGCGCATTCCCGCGCCTTGCGCGCACCTGCGCTTTCTCGCGCTTCGCATTGGCCAACCAGTAGCGCTTTCAGCGCATACCTCTAGATCCTTGCTGCACTCGCTTCCCCTTTAGGGTCGAACGCACTTGTCGTCTCAAGTATAGCAGACTAGGCAACGCGCGACCTTACAACAATTATAGATACAGTCAGGAGCATTGTTCGTGCCTCGCTGTATCGTTGAACCTTCACCGCGCTTCACGATGTATATGCGCGTGCGCTTTCCCGCGCTTGAGCGCCCTATAGCGCCAGCCATCCGGAAGCATCCATCCACTGTCCACCAAGTTCCCTAGTGCATATATTTCCATTTCTCACATTTGCTTATCATTCCATCTTTATTTTTATCATGGACCCTTACTTACATATATCTTTACATACCTTACTCGGTAGCGCTTCGGCTCCGCATGACAGCGCTTAGGCACCATACTTAAGCGCCAGCAGTACATACACTCACTTACTCTCCCACCAGAACGACAGAGGACTTACTGGTTACTACCCACTATTCACCTAGCAGAACATAGTAGAAATCTATTTGTTTACACCTCGCATCTCTCTTCTCTTGTCTTACATCATATCATCACTTAAGCAAACTCACTCTTACTCTCTCTCATATCTGTATACACGCGCACGCTTTCCCGCGCTTCGCGCCATACACGCGCGCATTCCCGCGCCTTGCGCGCACCTGCGCTTTCTCGCGCTTCGCATTGGCCAACCAGTAGCGCTTTCAGCACATACCTCTAGATCCTTGCTGCACTCGCTTCCCCTTTAGGGTCGAACGCACTTGTCGTCTCAAGTATAGCAGACTAGGCAACGCACGACCTTACAACAATTATAGATACAGTCAGGAGCATTGTTTGTGCCTCGCTGTATCGTTGAACCTTCAGCGCCATAAGTGGTCAAAGTCAGTCAGAGCCGGTGGTGTCTCCCGTCAACATCGACTCCACAGTACGAATCAAATGTGTGCCAAAAAAGTCTAGGCGCAATGAGGCTGCAGATGCGATTGGCACTGACAGTGTTTCATTCTTGGCTGGAAAGGAAAATGCTGGCCAGGATACAGAAGCAGTGCTCTCATTGAAACGATCTGCACAGAATGAAGTCCCTGGCACTCCCAAGTATGTACTGTTCTTACTCTTACTTTTGCACATACAGTAATACTGACACGTCCATCAGGAAAAGCAAACCAAGGATTGATTATCCTCGGACCCTATGCCATTTATCTCATAATGTTACCTAGCATCTTGATAACACCTTTATCTTGTACTCCGTTCACGATATGAATGTAATGTGTCTTCTTGCGCTTAAGATGTTCATTGGTTCCTTGACATATACAATGAGATCTTATAATTTTTTGTCATATAGTAATATAGCATGTTTGACTTGTATTATAATTGTTCAAGACTTCGGGCTTCAAGGCTAAGTGGACTTGGCAAATTTCAATGATGCAGACCCGAACATCAGGCTGACTTATGCCGAAATCTTGTGTCATCGTTTGAAGCACGTTACACTGGCCCTTGTAAACGTAGATTGATTAATGAAACAACACACTATTGAACATGACACGTCGTAATATAAACGGAATGAATTGGGGCGAGAGGGGATCAACCAGCAACGCGCCATATTGAAGGGCGGGAGGATGTATGAGCCTAGAAAACGCGATGCATCAGTGAGAAAGATGCATCAAAGGGTGGGAGGGACGCATTAGCCTACTATCAAACGCGACGTATTCGTGAGAGGGATGCATCAAAGGGCGGGAGGGATGCATCAGCCTAGAAAACGTGACACATCAGTGAGAGGGATGCATCAAAGAATGCATCAAAGAGGGCAGAAGTGATGCATCAGCCTGGAAAACAGAATGCATCAGTGAGAGGGATGCATCAAATAATGCATCAAAGAGGGCGGAAGCAATGCATCAGCCTGAAAAACAGAATGCATCAGTGAGAGGGATGCATCAGCCTGTAAAATGGGACACATCAGTGAGAGGGATGCATCAAAGAATGCATCAGCGAGAGGGATGCATCAGCCTGTAAAACGGGACACATCAGTGAGAGGGATGCATCAAAGAATGCATCAAAGAGGGCGGACGCGATGCATCAGCCTAGTAGCAAACACGACGCATCAGTGAGAGGGAATGCATCAGCCTGTAAAATGGGACGCATCAGTGAGAGGGATGCATCAAACACGACACAGAGGAATGCATGAGCCTACTATAAAACGCGATGCATCAGTGAGGGGGATGCATCACAAAGGGCAGGAGGGATGCATCAAAGGGCAGGAGGAATGCATTAACCTGGAAAATGTGATGCATCAGGATTTGCAGGCCTACAGTTGTAAGACAAATGCATCACCGCAACTGCTGCAATCACAGCATTTTCTTGCATCAACACGACAAGGACGCCTGCCCAGCATCGCTCCTCCATTGTAGTGCGAACAGGATCAATTGGCAACATTGAAAGGTAGTTTTGGAGGCAATATCTTGCTAATGCTATGGTGGTATCCCAGATCACCTAAAACTATGTCAGTCTAGCATGACATCCAAATACTATGCATGCGTACGATTGCCGATTCATTTATAATCAGAGGTCCTGGTATCACTGGCACGACAGGTTCCGGTTGAGCGCTTGGCTAATAGCATTTAGTAGGCAGCGTGATACTTCGCTGATTGACTTACCATGGGTTCTGGTTGTGCTTGAAAGTAGTTTTCCATTGTATGTAGACTCGAGGATTGTAATATACGACGTTAATGATTATCGAGTTGAATGTCCTTACTAGCTAGTACGTGCATGCCTGCCTTTTTCGACACAAATATCTGCAAAGTTTCCCATCCATCAAACCAAGTATTGTCTATCGCTCAGCTAGTTGGATCACCCTGAGATTCAGCAACAACCAATTATTAGGTCTGACTATCAGACAAAGTCTTGATCAATTTGGTGTTTGCCTGACAATGCATTATAATATTTCATTGAGTCACATCACAAAATTTGCTTAACTAAGATGTTACCCAATTTAGACTGTTGTGCGCCACGGCACTTGACAAGTCACTGTCAGGTCATGTCGGCGACATCCCGACCTGATATAGATACATCACAATGACGTGCGTCTCGATGTGTTTGTATCTACATGATATATCCAATACATTGTTGATGAGATCTACGCACGCTCGATTTTCTCTAAGTCCTTTGTTTGGTACCCTTTGCCATGTTGCCACTTTTGCGCAAACTGTTGGGGTTGCCCAACAAGTTGAACTCGAGCAGCTCCCCAACAAGTACTTACCCACTGCTCTTCCCACCACCACCATCCTTGCGGCTATTGGTCATAGTTTATGACCTGAGTTTCTGTTCAAGGTAATGGCACTTAGTAGCTCAGTCCACCGCTTCTCATGCAGCATACTTACTATCTCTCCACATAGTGTATCCACATTTGTTACCTAAAGGTGAGTATATGTGCGCTGCTTCTATTCCAACACCGCACTGTGGCCTCAGTAACATCTTATCTTCATGAAGTGCACAATTTCATTGTGATGGTGCCATGGGGATGCCGGGAGTCTTTGGTAGGTGCATGTGTTTACCCAATACTGGTGCCACTGAATATCCCACTCCCAGACAGTGTGTGATATTGGATTATGGGCTGGGTCTTGATGGTACACTGGGCATGATCTGTTCCAAAGTGGTACATGATTCGTCTCTTGCATTACTTCACCACCGCTGATGGTATCATGGCCATGGCCCGCTCTCGGTTGTACATCCTCTTGTCTTTTGAGCTGCAAAAACCACATCCGGACATCGTCAAGCCTTAATAGCCTTGCTGTGATGCATGCGCATACGGCGCGCATCGTCATTATTTTGGTCAATGTCATCGAACGTTGTTCCTACTTCCTCTTCGGAACATGTTGCTTCCCTTCTCCCACATCTCTTTCTTGCACACCCACTGTGCCTCACCCATTCAATGGCGGGTCCAGATCGTACTGTCAGGTATGTTTGTTAACTTGTTACAAGTCTAATTTTAACATGTTTGAAACTTTGAAATGTTTCATGATACTGTCGCAGACCTCGCTTCATTCGTGCGCCCCATCGATCTCCCACAACCTGACTCCACCATCATCGCTCCCACTGACCACCTTCCCATTCAGAGACAACGCTATGGTCCACACGTTAATTTCTCCGTCCCGCCAGTCGTCTCCTATCTGTTTCCCACTCTTCAAGTTCCATACCTGCAGCAAGCTGTCTCATGAACAAGTCATTATCTGTTCTCCGCCTGGCAGATGTATAGCTTCCTTGACCAAACGGGTGTGTCCCTCAAATTTATGGCGGGGTGTGATCGCCGGTCCCTCCTTCCTTCTAATGATGGCACTTACAACAGTACGTCCTTCAGCTGCTCAGGATGTATTGGCAGCAAGACACAAAGGCCATTTAGGTCAAGAGTGCACTGCAAGTTTGAGTGGTACGGCTCAAATGTGTTTGATTCATCATCGAAATCTGACATTCATGAAACATATGCACAGGTCGAAACTGTGTTCTGACGTGCGCAGGTGAGTCATGTGGTTGAATCCTGGTTTCACAGCGACCTGCTCATGCTTACTTTGTCAGAATCGCAAATTCCTTACTCGAGCCGTGGCTCAGGCCAAAGCCATGACTTTTGGGCCAAGCCAGGCTGGAACATCACTACCAGGCTGAGGCTCTTACCATCAAAATACGGGCTCAAGTTCCTATTCTCGCACTGGGACTCGTGGTATTGTGCTCTCATTTTGCTTTTAATGCTATCTCAGTATTCTCTCATTCAGTGATATCCTGCTAGTGCAGCAGGTTCCTTACATTGTAGTGCCTTACAATACATTGTACTCTCATGATGATAATCAATATCTGACTTTAACTAGGGCTGCACACCGTCGCCATAATAGACGGTTTGTATGGCGACCGTCGACGGATACGGTTGCCATACCGGCGGGTCTGCAAAGGGAGGCAGACAGGTACGGTGTACGGCCAAGCCGTACACCGTACAAACCATCTTCCATACGGCCGTCGACAGTACCTTTACGGCTTATACGGTCGGAACAGGGTGCCGGTTTACCCAGTAGCTTCTTGCCCTGAACCGCCATGCCCTGCACCACCAACAACAACAACAGCGACGAGTCTGATGGCTTTCTGCATGTGCTTTACACTAATGGAAGCATCACTGTCAGTATGTTTGTTACAATATTTACTGAAATATGCAGTTGCAAATTGACTCGCTGAAGAACAACCTACATGTGTTACGCTGACCGTCGGTCGGCGTGTGCGAACTAGGATAGGTCTTCTCAGCGACAACTCGAGTGAGTCTACTGAAGCTGAGCATGGTCTGGCCTTGATGGAACGTCAAGGATTCCTCCGTGTTACGACAAGCGGTCGTGTGCGACTAGGATAATCTAACAGCGACAACCACGACAGTGGTACCGAGTGCTGAGAGTCGTCGGCCTTTACAGACAAGCAAAGGTTGCGTACTCGAACGTAGCTCGTGGTGGTTAACGAGGGGTTACGCTGAGATGATAGCAGAGGTTACAGACAGTGAGAGGCGTCACTGAAGGTACGAGTCGATGTCGAGCAGGTAGCTTTAGCGGGACAAGGAGTTCAAGGGAAAACCTAGTTGATTAGACTAGTTCTGGGTAGTACCTAGTAAGATTAAAGTAAGGAACATCTACTTTAATCTTCGACCTTATATAAGGCTACTCTATCGTATCTAAGCTCAGCTTGAAGCTGGGTTCTAATCTGCTTATCTACATGAGTCAGAGATAGCGTCCATGAGGCGGGCTTCTATCGTAGATAGCGTCCATGCGGTACGCTTCCATCAGAGATAGGATCCACGTGGTATCCTTCTATCGTTTATCTAAGGCAACACGATGCTTGCCTTCTATCTTCTATCTGTCCATGAGGCAGCACGAGGCTTGCCTTCTATCTTGATAACATAAATAGGTCTTCTAGACCTATGTCGTCATGTCATGTCACGTGCGGTCCAGACCGCTTATCTAAGCCGGCAGTTGCCGCTTATCGTCATCGTCATCTGTCGTCACAGAGCCAGTGATGCTCCGGTATCGTCTGTAGAGCTGGTGAGGCTCCGGTGTCGTCTATAGCCATGCGGGTGGCAGAGGGCTCTCTGCTGGCGGGGGACTCGTGCCATGTTACTGTAACACTCCGGCGATCTCGGTAAGACGGCGCTCGTCGAGATGCAGGGCTAGCGGATACGTGCTAAGTCGTATGGGGGCGACTTAGAAGTGCGGTCTCACACAAGGAAGCTGGTAAGCTTAGATGAGCAAGTTCTGGGGATGAACCTAGTAGATTAAAGTAAAGTCTAAGTACAATAATCTGTGTCTACTTATAGGGAAGTACTACAAGTATTCTAGCTCAGTCTGTAATCAATAGTATATTGTAAATCTATGATAGCCAGACATGAGGTTCAGATAAGATACATGAGGCTTAACCTCTGATCAAGCATGCTGCGCCAAGGGCAGCTGCGCATAGGTACAGGAAGCGCCAAGCGCGCTCCGGATCTTCATGCAGCGACATGCGGCATGCATGCGCTGATCTAGGGTGACCATGAGGCGTACAGCCTCCATGGTTCAGGTACAAGGCCATCTAGGCCAGGGGCGGGGTCATAGCGCCAGGGGCGGGGTCACAGCGGTCCAGACCACTGTCTTTCTAGGTGCAGGCGGCGCACCGCCGCGCGGGGAGTCTAGCAGAGCGGGGGCAGGCGTAGGCAGAGCTGGGGCTCTTGTAGGTGTTACAGATGCCTGTAACAACATGCCCTATATAAAGCTGACTATATCGCTACATCCATTGCATGGGACTGCACACCATCTACCAGCACAGGCCGCCATGCAGATGTGTCAGATGGCAGAATGTCCCCATCAAAGGTGAACTTTACAGCGAGGTATAAGAAGCGGACGAATCTGTCAGTGGACGAATTCAAGGAGTATCTGAAGCTTCCGCAAGAGGACTTTGACCTTTGCGACCCCATTCAATGGTGGGCAGGTCGCCGAGCACAATTTCCGAACCTCTCTCGACTTGCGCGTGATATCCTTTCAATACCTGGTGAGTACTTACTCCATGTCCCAGGTGTCTGTACTTAGTTCTCTTCTTTGTAGGATCTGCTGTTGCTGTTGAACGAGTTTTCTCTGGTGGTCGTGACACGGTTTCACTGTGGCACGCTAGTCTCAAGCCTGAGACTATCAGGACATTGATGCTCGTGAAGGCGAGGCTTCGTTTGGGTCGTTTGTAGTTGATTTGCATTCCATATGTACCGTACACTGCCGTATACGTCCGTATAATTCACCGTACCATACCGTCCACTTCATCCACCACCAATGTCATGTACAGTTAGGGATCCACATGGGTGAACCCCCGGGTGTCGGCAGGTCAACCCACACCCGCACCCTGAGGTAAACCCACACCCGCAGCAAGGGTACGGGTTGCACAGTGGGTAGCAAAGTAAGGACCTGGGGTACAACCCATCAAGGGTGTACCCGCGGGTCATAGATCCGCCAGTGCTTAGCACATATGTCCAGCACACGTCAGCAAATGCTGACGTGACTCGAACATATGTGGATGGCACAAGAAGGAGGAGGGGCGCGCGCGCTGGGCATTCGCGCATGGCATCTGTCGCGTTGGGAATGGCGTAGTGGTTGTTGGTGATGGTGTCGCTGGGATATGCGCTAGTGTCGGCGCGAATGACAAAGATGGTGGTGCGAATGATGGCAAAGGTGACGCGGATGGTGGTGTTGGCGTTGTGGATGGTGGCGTTGGCATGAAAGCTGGTGGTGGTGCGAGTGCTGGTGGTGGTGCGAGTGCTGGGTGCACAAAGATAGGCACTGGCGACGTGACACATATGACGTTGTTGTTGTTGCTGGGGGTAGAGTTTTCAATGTGAGTACTCACTTCCAGCGTGCCCAAAGTCTCGTCTCCTCGAGTTCCTCTTTCCTCCTTCATCTCTATACCATCCCTTCTCCCTTCTTCGATTCTCTTGTCCTTTCGTCTTCACGTGTTGTCCGCGTGCGTTTGCATCGCGTCAACACTTGTTGATGTGTTTCAGGCGCGCGCGCTGTGAACGTGGAGTTGGTGGACTTGGGAAGGCGCATTAGGTGCCGGTGTTGGTGGTGGTGCCGGTTGTAGCGTGCACGCGGGAATGCTGGGTGCGAAGATGTTGATAGTGGCGTGGTGAGCGAAGACGTTGATGATGGTTGCAGTTGAGGAGTGTGCGAGGACGAGAGGTAAAATTACCGAAGGCACGGGTATAGCTGGGGTACGGGTAAGAGCGCAAGTCTTAGAATCCCGACCCATACCCGTACCCCAGTAGTACCTGTACCCGTGACCCGCGCGGGTTACCCGTACCCATGCAGATCCCTATGTACAGTGTATGGGTTAGCTGTATACCATATTTATACCGTATGTATATGGCCGTCTACCGTATACGGTACGGTGTGCAGCCCTAACTTTAACTAGATATCTCTGTGTGATTTACAATGTCTGAATAACATCAGGAAAACCCCAACTTACTTAAACTTGCCTTAAACAGACTTAAGTCATACTTAGTGACTTAGCCTACTTTGCTAGAAATTCAGATTTGACATATTCGGGAAAAAGTTGTTCAGTCATATTAGCATACATATTTTGTTACAGGTTACACTAAAAAAATACAAAATTTACTAGGTAGATGATGCATGAGAGAGGAAACAAATGTGGCTAAGTTGATTAAGCAAGATTAAGTAAGTTGGGGTTTTCCTGATGAATCTAATTGAGATAATAATATATTTGCCTGGAACACGTTGTACACGCTCTGTCCATTGGACATTTCAGGTTCCAAGTCTGCTCAGACATACTAGACCCTAACCCTGATATTGTTGACAGTGTTGACACCGTATATATATCTATGTATTGTTATGTCTAGTATGAGCAATTTTTGTGATGCACTACAGAGTCTAACTATTGCTCAACTGGTCGACGAAGACTTGATCACCCTCCATCAACTTGGTGTTTGTCCGACAACCGATTATTAGGCACCTGACTGGCTGACAAAGTCTTGATCCCGCTCTATCAGTTTGATGTTTGCTGACAACACATTATAATATTTTATCGAGTCAGATCATCACTTACCTGACTGATGAAGGCTTTCAAACTCCGTCTAGTCAAACCAGCGACTCCCGCATTTCCTGATGGATACACTCTAAGTTGCTTGGCTGATCATGGCGCCGTTTACATACAGTACCTGGACAAAATGAAGTATGGTACTGAAGTCCTATCATTTCACCCGCATGCGCTTTCTTTTTGTAGCTGGCGGACACGAAAAATAGGCAGTAGACAACTTGAATTTGCTCTCAAAGTTGACACGGGTTTCATTGTGTGCTTCCCAGTCTCACGGTAGTCTTTAACGCGGCTGACAGTCCCATCAGCCATACTTTTTTTACCTTCACTTCGAGGCACCTCTGAAGCACCTTAAGCTATGTGACATCTCTCGCTCAGATCTTACTCGGCACTTCGGAGGCGGCCTCTGTGGTGTTTTGGAGTCAAAGCCGAATTCAATTTGGACAACTTGATCTTCCCGAACATACCTGTCCTTCAACCCTTGAACAATTTTCTTTCACGATCCTCTGCAAATATCTGGTTTATTATGCATGTTCGTGTTGGAGTCTGAGAGAACGGACGTACCTGGAGATGAGGGACGTCGGACGACGAGCGCAATCAAGCCATCCTCGGACTTCGAGTCCAAGAGATAAAGATAACCAACAGCACATCAAAGTTCCGATGAGTCGTGAACCGGACGGACTCCATAAGTTTGGGTCGGAACCGAGGATCAGATCTGCGGCACCAGAACCACCGCACCGGTGTGTCTCGGTTCGAACTTCGTACAAACGTCTATGTTTAGAATGGCGACCCACTGTACCGTACTTCCGCCTTGTCGACCTCCATTACAATGTTGTGTAAACCTATTAATGGTCGACGGTCCTCAGGCCTCAGGTGCCACGACCAATCCAACGGAGCGTCAAAGATTTGCCTTAATCTTCAGGTGAAGTCGAAATGTGTTGGCACTCACGCGTCCAAGTAATACCAACTTATCGCCAGGGCACCAGGCGCTTGACCTATGATACTATAGGAAGACTGCAATACGTGATTGGCACAGCTTTCATTGATCCCCGCAGGACCGCAGATATTCCATTCATGTGTGTACAAGTATAAGTCAGTGTAATCATGCACTCTAATCTCACTGTACCCGCCGCACATCACCACCTCTCTGTTCTGGAGTACTTAAGTTGCAAAGTAGCGGGGTATCTGAATCCTGACTATCAACAAGCTGGACCATTTGACTCACAATGGCGATTATCATTGCATACACCCTTATCATTATCTTAGCCAGCATCTGGACAGTGAAACGACGATATCAGGCCGCAAGGCGGTTGCCATTACCCCCTGGACCGCCTGGGCGTTGGCTATTTGGAAATATGATGCCAAAGTCATAGTAAGTCTTTGTCAAGGAACACTAATGTGATCTCTATCTAACCCCTCGCGCAGTGCGCCGTTTCAATTCGCGAGATGGACAGAACAGTATGGACCTGTGTTCTCGCTCACACAAGGCTATAGGATTTTCGTGATTATAGGACGTCATCAGGTCAGCATAAAACAATTCATTGTCTAGTCAGGCATGAAGTAGATCACGTCACAGGCTGCAGTGGATATCATGGAAAAAGAGGGAGCAAATCTTGCCGACCGCCCCCGTTCTATTGCAGCGCAAGAGACGTTGACTGATGGGTTTGGATTACTCCTTGAGGGCACTGGTGAAAGATTGCGCCGGCTGCGCAGGTACACATCTTGTCTATACCAGGTGCGATCAGCGAGACTGAATGTAATGCAGGGTCTTGCATGCGGGCTTGCAACCCAAGGTTTCGGAGACCTACGAGCCCATGCAGACCAGGCATGCGAAGAATCTGGTTCTAGATGTCTTGAATGATCCAAAGAAACACCAAGGTCATGCCATGCGGTACGAACTCTTACTCTTACTCCCGCGGTACAGGTGGTAATCCGAGGATTTTAGTTATTCAGCTTCGGTGGTCATGTCCTTCACCTATGGAAAAATTACTCCGACTTCATATGCAGATCCTGAAGTGGTTGCCGTCAATAAGGCTTTTGCGCGTTTTAGTCAAGCTATCCAGCCGGGAGCATACCTTGTGGAGACACATCCAATCCTGCGCTTCGTCCCCGGCTACCTGAGTCAGCTGAAGGCATGGCACAAAGAGGAACATGCTCTCTATAACGGGCAGTTGGACGCGGTGCGAACACAAATGGTTCGTGATTTTCTTGTGATGATATATGTCCTCGCTCACTGCCGTGAAGCGTGAGGGGACTACGAGGCCATCCTTCGCGAGGTTCATCATAGAGCACCAGAAAGAGTACCAGCTCAAAGACAAGGATTTGGGATACATTGCAGGAACGATGTTTGGGGCCGGTTCTGAAACGGTGAGCTCTTACATTGCATCACGTCTTAAGTTGACAACTGTTGTAGACTGCGTCCGCAATCACAATCATAATGATGGCTGCTACCACTCACACAGATGCGCAGGCCCGCGTACAAGAGGAACTCGATGACGTCGTGGGGCGTACGCGGCGTGGGTTATCCCTTTTCTTCGTGCATCAACTGACTCAAATAACTCCTGATTAGTGCCGACGTTTGCTGATCAGGAAATGCTGCCGCAGGTTACCGCGTTCATCCTCGAGAGTCTCAGGTGGCGACCTGTCACTATCGGAGGTACGTCTTATTTGAGTTGTGACGACGCGATGATGAACGACCACCTTGCAATTCAGGCTTTGCGCATCGCGCGACTAAGGACATAATTTGGAACAACTACCTCATTCCTGCAGGTGCGACTGTTATTGGGAACCATTGGTCAGTATGCAATCAGTTTCGTCCTCTCACTTTTGGTTCTGACGTTCGTGCTTCAGGGCTATCGCAAACGATCCTGAAGTCTTCCCGGAACCACACAAGTTTAATCCTCAGCGTTGGATCGACGATGCAGGTCGTGTGCGCAGTGATCTCAGGTTTTTTACTTTTGGCTTTGGCCGTCGGTAAGTGGCATCGCTCATGTTTCGACTCATTCTCACGCCTTAAAAATGTCAGTGTGTGTCCTGGTCAACATGTCGCGACTCGGTCCATCTTCATCAATACGGCTCTTATTTTGTGGGCTTTCCGCCTTTCTGAGAATCCTGCCGCAAAGATTGACACGCTTGCATTCTCGGACACTGCAAACATACATGCTGCTCCGTTTGAGATATGTTTTGCGAAGAGGGTCGATGAGAATGTGATCAGGGAACTATGCGCACCGGACAAATAAAAGGCGTCTATTCCAGAAACTTGAATCTTTGTGCAAAGGAACTCTTCCCCTTGCGTTCTAGAGTCTTTTCGTTGACTGTCGGACTCAAATTTCTTGTTACACCTAACTTTGTATATCTTCAAACAGGCATGATTATAATAATGAACTTGCACCCCTTGGTGTCACCACGCATCAAGTATCTCTCGATACACCGCAATACTCTCCAAGTTGCGTGGCTCATCGTGAACTTGGCATGTGTCGGGAACAGGAGGCTGCTTTAGTTTCGTTACGATACCCTTGTATATTGCGCCACATCATTTGTATCATACGTGTTTGTCTTGGCCAGGGCTTATTCAGTTCACTTCGTCACGTACCAATCGGATTTTACTGATACTCCGATTTGTACTAAAGCACAGCCGCACATTATGTCGTTTCTACTATCGCTGCTAGCTTCTACATGCATCGCAAATCACATCCCGTCCCTCTGACCCTTCCTGTGATCGAGAACACAAACGATCGATCAGTTTGATGCTGGTGCCGCATAGGGAAGTATGAGTAGTGTGAGAGGGGCTGGTGGCAAGTCGAGAAGATGGAGGGTAGATTAAGGCACCCCATGTGAAGAAGATGATATCGGATGGAGAGGAGGTGTATGCGTTGATTGAGACTTGTTCGGCTGTAGGGGAGGTAAATAGGTCTGTACGCACGACAGTCTGGAGAAGAAAATAGTTAGAGAACGATAGATATGGGACTTTGAGCTCTAGAAACAATTGGGTTGGATCGTGGATGGCAGAGGTGAGGACTGGTACTAGCAATCTAGTGGTGCGCGCGCGCACTTAGAGTTTGTGCTGTGGGATCGGTAATATGACGGGAAAACAGACCTTGAGACCAGATGCGCCCATGAACAACCCTTCAAGGCTCTATGGGACATAGCCCGTCATAGTCCATAGCCATGGTCGGGGTGCGTACAGTTAGCCCGTCAAGACCTGAGCAGTAGCGAAACCTCGCAACTTCATTCACAGGCTAACAACTCATATGTTAATTGAAAAGGGGATGCAATAAAACGAACCTAGTCAGATACGGGGAATATTTAGTGTGCGAGCTGAAGTTCCGGCTACATATCGCGAGGGCAATTCCGAAGCCTGCAAGAAGTTCATTGCTTGGTAATAAGACAATTTGAAGATGCCTGCAGCATTATTGATCAGAGACTGTAGAATGACAATAAATCAAAGTTTTATGCAAGACGCTGCGAAAAAATGTCAGCATCAATACATGTGAGGTCATGGGGCGCACCTGTACACCCACCGAACTCTATATCCTCTACAAGTACGACGCATATATGATGACAGTACTTATCGTCCTTTGCAAGTGCAATGCTGATCTCGTCAGTACCTTTCTTCATGCAAAGAAAATTGGGTTACTTACCTGACAGCATCCCGCAGGACTCGACACAAATTCATCTTGTGTCTCGCGGCTGCTGCGACTTCTCACATCGCAATGCTATTCCCGGTGTCCTGATATATACCCGTATTATCATATTATGTGGGGAGCTGAGAAGATGTGATGGAGGAGGGGCGAATGTGGGTAACGGGTTGACGGGAGTGGTACTCATTGTCATCTAACAGGTCGGACGGAACTGGTTTCAGGTCACAGGGTGAGTAATACCATAGGTCTCGGTGGGGAAGGAGACTTACCAGTGCGGTAGCGTAGACAGCTGACGAGAATATTTGGGATGAGGGTCGAGAAGAAATGAGGTCGGTATATAGTTGATCGATCGTTGGTCATGGTAGGGCCTGACAAAGACATATGAAAGTTAGTAAGACCGCTCAGGAATGATACCTGTGACTATCCACAAAGTAGGCTCCACGGAAGTAACTCCCATCTCGAGAGAATATTAACATACAGATACTGTGTGTCGTTCTCCCCAGAAATAATAACTTGTGATCCTGTTGGCGAATTGGATGGCTGACACTGGCTTATAGGACCTTGCCCGTCCCGCGGCTGTACGATGTTTCCTCCTAGTAGTAAGCTCCGCACGCTAGCTAGTAAATGTCACCAATACCCGCTCGAATGTCCCGTTGGTTACTACTGTTTATTACAAATACTCGACATCCATGGGGTGACCGAAGTCCTACTGCCTATTAGGGATTTGTGACACGAGCACGGCTGTCCTGTTTTCCATAGAAGACTGCAAGACGGTGATTGGCACAGGTTTGATTGATCCGCGCAGGACCGCAGATGTTCCATTCGTGTGTGTATAAGTATAAGTCAGTGTAATCATGCACTCTAATCTCACTATACCCGCCGCTCATCATAGCACATCACCACCTCTCTGTTCTGGAGTACTTAGTAAGTTGCAAAGTAGCGGGGTGTCTGAATCGTGACTATCAACAAGCCGGACCATTTCAATGGCTATCATCATTGCAGGCACCCTTATCATTATCTTGGCCAGCATCTGGATAGTGAAACGACGATATCAGGCCGCAAGGCTGTTACCATTGCCCCCTGGGCCGCCTAGGCGTTGGCTATTAGGAAATATGATGCCAAAGTCATAGTGAGTCTTTGTCCAGGGATAACAATGTGATCTCTATCTAACCCCTCACGCAGTGTGCCGTTTCAATTCGCGAGATGGACAGAACAGTATGGACCTGTGTTCTCGCTCAAACAAGGCCATAGGATTTTCGTGATTATAGGACGTCATCAGGTCAGCATAAAACAATTCATTGTCTATCCCATGAAGTATATCACGTCATAGGCTGCAGTGGATATCATGGAAAAAGAGGGAGCAAATCTTGCCGACCGCCCGCGTTCTATTGCAGTGCACGAGACATTGTCTGGCGGGTTGGGGATGTTGCTTCAGGGCTCTGGTGAGAGATTACACCGGCTGCGCAGGTACAGATCTTGTCTCTACCATGTGCGATCAGCGAGACTGAATTTAAAGCAGGGTCTTGCATGCAGGCTTGCAACCCAAGGTTGCGGAGACCTACGAGCTCATGCAGACCAGGCATGCGAAGAATCTGGTTCTAGATGTCTTGAATGATCCAAAGAACCACCAAGGTCATGCCATGCGGTACGAACACTAGCTCTTGCTTGCGCGGTACACGTCGTAATCTGATCATTTTAGTTATTCAGCTTCTGTGGTCATGTCCTTCACCTATGGAAAGATTACTCCGACTTCATATACAGATCCTGAAGTCGTTGCCATCAATAAGGCTCTTGCGCGTTCTGGTCAAGCTATCCAGCCGGGAGCATACCTTGTGGATACGTATCCAATCCTGCGTTTCGTCCCAGGCTACCTGAGTCAGCTGAAGGCATGGCACAAAGAAGACCTTGCTCTCTGTAACAGGCAATTGGACCCAGTGCGAAGGCAGATGGTGCGTGATTTTCTTGTGATGATAGATATGCTCACTCACCACTGTGAAGCGTGAGGGGACTGCAAGGCCATCCTTTGCGAGGTTCATGTTAGAGCACCAGAAACAGTACCAGCTCGAAGATAAGGAATTGGAATACCTTGCAGGAGGGATATTTGGGGCCGCTTCTGATACGGTAGGTTCTTACATTGCATCGCGTCATAAGTTGACAATTGTTGTAGACTGCGTCCGCAATCACATTTATGATAATGGCTGCTGCCATTCACAGGGATGCGCAGGCTCGCGTACAAGAAGAGCTCGATAACGTCGTGGGGCGTACGCGGCGTAAGTTATGCCTCTTCTTTGTTCGTCTACTGACTCAAATAGCTCCTGATTAGTGCCGACATTTGATGATCAGGAAATGCTGCCGCAGGTTACCGCGTTCATGCTCGAGAGTCTCAGGTGGAGACCTGTCGTTCTTGGAGGTACGTCTTATTTGAGTTGTGATCACGCGATAATGAACGACCACCTTTCACTGCAGGCTTTGGGCATCGTGCGACTAAGGACATTACTTGGAACAACTACCTCATTCCTGCAGGTGCGACTGTTATTGGCAACCATTGGTCAGTAGTCAATCATTTCCGTCCTCTCACCTTTGGGTCTGATGCTCGTACTTCAGGGCTATCGCAAACGACCCTGAAGTCTTCCCGGAACCACACAAATTCAATCCTCAGCGTTGGATCGACGATGCAGGTCGTGTGCGCGGTGATCTCAAGTTTTTCACTTTTGGCTTTGGTCGTCGGTGAGTGGTATCGTTCATCTCTTGACCATTTCTTATGCGTGATCAGAGTGTGTCCTGGTCAACATGTCGCTAATCGGTCGGTCTTCATCAACACGGCTCTTATTCTGTGGGCTTTCCGCCTTTCGGAGAATCCTGCAGCGAAGATTGACACGCTTGCATTCTCGGACACTTTCACTATACATGCTGCTCCGTTTGAGATATGTCTTGCGAAGAGGATCGATGAGAATGTGGTCAGGGAACTATGCGCACCAGGCAAATAAAAGACGTTTATTCTAGAAACTTGGGTCTTTGTGCAAAGGAGTTCGCCATGCGTTCTAGAGTTTTTTTCCCCTTGTCTGTCCGACTCAGACTCCTTGTTACACCTATGTACCTGTACCTTCATATATCCTCAAATAGGCACGATTGTAATCATAAACTGGGTTTGCCTGGTGTTACCACGCATCAAGTATCTGTCGATACACCACAATACTCTCCAAGTTGCCTGGCGGATGGTAAACTGTTTACAGACAGCCCCCGGACAAAATGAAGTGTGGTACTAGAGTCCTATCCTTTTACTATTCAATCATTTCACCCCGCATGCGTTTTCTTTTTCTAGCTGGTCAAAACGAAAAACAGGCAGTAGACAACTTGAATTTGCTCTCAAAGATGACACGGTTTTCATTGTGTGCTTCCCAGTCTCATAGTTCTGGTCACGGTAGTCTTTAACGCGGCTGACAGCCCTGACGGCAGCCGCGTTCTTGCATTAACGACAGTCGATAGATTGTCACTCCCTCAAAGGATAAAACCCTGCGAATCTGGGACAACGCCATTCAAGGGACATAACCTTTCCGTGAGTTCAATCCCTACTACCTTAACATGTATTAGAACTTTCCAGTTCCTAGATAAACGCCTTTCACTCCCCCGGTGCGCATAGTTCCCTGATCACATTCTCGTCGATCCTCTTCTCCAAACATACCTCGAACGGAGCAGCATGGATGGTTGCAGTATCCGAGAATGCAAGCGTGTCAATCTTTGCGGCAGGATTCTCAGAAAGGCGGAAAGCCCACAAAATAAGAGCCGTATTGATGAAGATGGACCGAGTCGCGACATGTTGACCAGGACACACACTGACATTTTTAAGGCGTGAGAATGAGTCGAAACATGAGCGATGCCACTTACCGACGGCCAAAGCCAAAAGTAAAAAACCTGAGATCACTGCGCACACGACCTGCATCGTCGATCCAACGCTGAGGATTAAACTTGTGTGGTTCCGGGAAGACTTCAGGATCGTTTGCGATAGCCCTGAAGCACGAACGTCAGAACCAAAAGTGGGAGGACGAAACTGATTGCATACTGACCAATGGTTCCCAATAACAGTCGCACCTGCAGGAATGAGGTAGTTGTTCCAAATAATGTCCTTCGTCGCGCGATGCGCAAAGCCTGTATTGCAAGGTGGTCGTTCATTATCGCGTCTTCACAGCTCAAATAAAACATACCTCCAAGAGCGACAGGTCTCCACCTCAGACTCTCGAGAAAGAACGCGGTAACCTGCGGCAGCATTTCCTGATCATCAAACGTCGGCACTAATCAGAAGCTATTTCAGTAAGTAGATTAACATAGCATAGACGCAACCTACGCCGTGTACGCCCCACGACGTCATCAAGTTCCTCTTGTACGCGAGCCTGTGCATCTGTGTGAATGGCAGCGGCCATCATCATAAATGTGATTGCGGACGCAGTCTACAACAGTTGTCAAGTGAAGACGTGATGCAATGTAAGAAATTACCGTATCAGAACCGGCGGCAAACATTCCTCCCGCAATGTATCCCAGTTGCTTGTCTTCGAGCTGGTACTGTTTCTGGTGTTCTAAAATGAACCTCGCAAATGATGGCCTTGCAGTCCCCTCACGCTTCACAGTGATGAGTAAGGAAATTTGTCTTCGTAGTAAACCCACGAACCATTTGTCTTCGCACAGCGTCCAACTGCCCGTTAAAAAGAGCGAGTTCTTCTTGGTGCCATGCCTTCAGCTGATTCAAGTAGCCTGGGACGAAGCGCAGGATTGGATACGTATCCACAAGGTATGCTCCCGGCTGGATAGCTTGACCAAAATGCGCAAGAGATCGATTGACGGCAACGACTTCAGGGTCTGTGTATGAAGTCGGAGTAGTTTTTCCATAGGTGAAGGACATGACCACCGAAGCTGAATAACTGTAATTCTCGTATTACAACCTGTACCACGGGAGCAAGAGCAAGAGTTCGTACCGCATGGCATGACCTTGGTGGTTCTTTGAGTCATTTAGGATATCCAGAACCAAATTCTTCGAATGTCTGGTCTGGATGGGCTCGTAGGTCTCCGCAACCCTGGGTTGCAAGCCTGCGTGCAAGACCCTGCGCTTCATATTTAGTCTCACTGATCGCACCTGGTAGAGACAAAATGGTTACCTGCGCAGCTGGCGCAATCTCTCACCACTGCCTTCGAGAATAACTCTCAGCCCACCAGATAATGTGTCTTGGACTGCAATAGAACTTGGGCGGTCGGCAAGATTTGCTCCCTCCTTTTCCATGATATCCACTGCAGCCTATGACGAGACCCATTTCATGCCTAGCTAGCCGATGAATTGCTTGATGCTTACCTGATGACGCCCTATAACTACG